GCCAGAATAGTCTGTTTCATGGCATCAGTCAGCCATCTTGCCCCATCTGCAATCCGATAACCCAAATATGTCACTGACCTTTTACAGATGTGAGTTTTCTTGGCACTTGCCCGATACCCAGCTCACCTAATTCCGTTAGCAGGTGTTCAGTAGCCTTGATGCACTCCTCTCGGGTTTCTGCCGCTAACAGTAAGTCATCAACATACTGTAATAGAGTGACTCGTGGGTGGCTCCGACGAAAAGGTTCCAGGTCCTGGCTCAGGGCCTCATTAAACAGGGTGGGAGAGTTTTTAAATCCTTGCGGCAGTCTGGTCCAAGTGAGCTGTCCGGATTGGCCCCCATCTTCTTGCCATTCGAAAGCAAATAGCGGCTGACTAATTTCTGACAATGGAATGCTGAAGAAAGCATCTTTCAAATCAAGGGTTGTATACCATACTTGCGAGGGGGGTAGGTGGCTGAGCAAGGTATAGGGATTCGGAACGGTGGGATGAATGTCCTCCGTCCGCTCGTTTACCTTTCGTAGGTCTTGCACAGGCCTATAGTCCCCGCTTCCCGGCTTTCGGACGGGGAGCAGAGGAGTATTCCAGGCAGACTGACAAGGCCGCAGTACTCCTTCCTTTATTAGCCTGTGGATATGAGGGGCTATGCCTCTTCGGGCCTCCTCAGGCATAGGATACTGTTTCACCCGAATGGGGAGAGCAGAAGCCTTCAATTGTATAACTACGGGCGGGAGGTGTTTGGCGAGGCCGGTTCCCGCAGTCTCTGCCCAGGCCGTGGGAAATCTTTTTACCCAATGAGTCATGTCCCCTCCTGGTTCCTGTTGACTCTCAAACAGACGATGCTCGTCAGCCAATGATAGGGACAAGACATGAATCGGGCTCCCTTCTCGATCAGTCACAATTATTCCATCTGGTTCAAAATGGATATGGGCCCCTATTTTGGTGAGTAGGTCCCGTCCGAGCAGGGGAGCGGGGCTCTCAGGGACGACCAAGAAGGAGTGTGTGACCTGGTGTTTTCCTAAGTTCACCTTTCTTTTGGTAGTCCATGTACATAACTGCGTACCGGTGGCCCCCTGAACAACACTTGTTCGTGCCTTGTTCAAAGGTCCATGTGCCTTGTTTAAAACCGAATATTGGGCGCCGGTATCCACCATGAACCCCATCGGCTTCCCTCCACATGCATTGTTACCCAGGACTCGGGGAGGGGGTCTGAGCCCCGTCTCCTTCAGTCCTCTTCTCCGGCTAGGAGGACTCTGGCCTGCTCTACTGCTCGTTCCCTTTCCCTGTTTTCCCCCGGTCTCCTTCCAAACCCTCTTCTTCCCTTTAACTTAGGACATTCTCTCTTCCAATGCCCCGTTTCCTTACAGTAAAAACAGTGTTCCTTATCCGGGGTCCTGGCGTGGCCCCCTCCCCTGGGTTGGTCCCGGACACCCGCTAGGAAAATACGAGCCATTTCTCTCTGTTGCTTTCGGTTTTCCTTAGCCTGGAACTCCCGGTCCTCCTTTCTCAATTTCTCCTGGGCTCCCTGTCTTCCTTTCTCTGTCTTTCCTCCCTTTCTTCTGGAGTTTCCCTAGCGGTAAAGACCTTTTCCGCTACCTGCAGCATTTCCCTTATAGTCATCTCCCCTAAGTTTTCCTGTTTATTGAGTTTTCTCCTAATGTCTGGAGCTGCCTGATTAATGAATGAGAGTACCACAGCAGACCGGTGGAGGTCCGCCTCAGGGTCAATAGGGGTGTACTGACGGTATGCCTCATAGAGGCGCTCTAAGAAACCGGCTGGGCTTTCGTTTTCCCTTTGAACGACTGCTTTCACTTTTGCAAAATTGGTGGGCCTTCTAGCGGCCGCTCGGAGACCGGCCATAAGAGTCTGGCGGTAGATCCGAAGACGCTCCCTACCTTCTGCGGTCCCGAAATCCCAATCAGGGCGGCGTAGGGGAAAAGCCTCGTCTATGGCCGGTTGGAGAGTTGTGGGTCTCCCATTATCCCCCAAGACGTTCTTCCTCGCTTCGTTGAGGATGCGCTCTCGTTCCTCCGTCGTAAAAAGAGTATTGAGCAGCTGATGACAGTCATCCCAAGTGGGACGGTGTGTATGCATGATGGACTCCAGAGATCTATGAGACACTTGGGGTCTTCAGAAAAGGGCGGGTTCTGCGTCCTCCAGTTATATAGATCACTGGAGGAGAAGGACCAGTACTGAAACTGTTGCCCTCCTCCTGGTCCCCCTTGGCCCACCATCCGGACTGGAAGTGTAGGGACAGTTTCCTCCCCCTGTGTTGATGAGGGGGGCCCGTCTTCCCCTCCCTTTCCCGGATCCCTCGGGGGCGAAGTCTTCGACCCATTCCTCCTCCTGCTGCCAGTCCTGTTGAGGAGGATGAGGAAATTTCCTCCTCCGGGGCACTGGCTTGGCCAGGGGGAGTCACGTATGGAGGCGGCCAATCTTCCTCTGCCCCTGCGAGGGATGGGTAAAGGGGGGAACTCTCTGGTAAGACTGGAGATGGTGAAGGAGATGCCCTAATTTGAGGACCGGTCAAGGTGGGAAGAGGAAGTTTTTCCTCCTCCTTTATGACCAAGGCGGGCGTGACTGGGGTTTTAGCCCCGGGGGCCGAACTGGAGGGGTGGGTCAGAAAAACTGTTAACCAAGGGGGAGGGTTCCTCACCAGATCCTCCCAAACCAAAATGTAAGGAACTTGGTCTGGATGGCCTCGATTGTCTGGCTGAAAAATGACTGCTTTAACCTTAGTGATCAGGTTTAGGGAGAGGGAACCTTGAATGGGCCACCCGACTCCAAAGGTGGGCCACTCTGCAGAACAAAAGGTGTCGAACTTACCTTTTTTGATGACCAGACCCGCATTTAATGCCCTTTTTTTAACTTCTGAAGAGTGAGAAAGGATCAGAGACTTTGGGGTTGTTTGTCCCTGTCCTATTGTGGAAGGAGACTCAAACACCAAGAGAGATAGAACAAAAGGGTAAAGGCAACAATAATTCCACACACACACAACACTCTCCAGCACTCGCTCGGACCGGTCCTTCTCTCACACTGGTGCGCACCCCATTCAACCTCCTCACCGTCCAACTGGGATATCAGGCCGAAAGGCGTCCACTTGACGGGTGGTCGGTCGACTAGCTCAATTAGTTCTTCACCTGGCGCCAGGGTTCCTAAAATGCTCGAGCCCAAATGAGAGGAAAGCCTCTCCCAATAGGACCCTGTGGTCCTCCTTGCGAGATTCCCAGAATGAATCTCCCTGGGGATTGGCCGAATCCCCGCCGCGGCCCAAATGGAACACTCAAGTTCCTCCAAATGAGGGTCTGGGATCCCCTCCCAACGCCTAGGACTTGGGATCGCCCCTGCTTTCTCGCAGGCAGGTTCTGTCTCTCGAGAAAATGAAATCTCGGTGGGACCTCCAAATGTTAGGACCCGGAATCCTATTTCCCCGAGAGACAGAGAGCCAGGCGTGAATGCAATCAACAAAGCAGAGTTTATTGGGCTGGCTAGCCAGGGTCGAGCTCCCACACGGACACGCAGGACCGGTTAGGAAAACACGACCCTGAGCCTCTTTAGGGGAAATCTTATATAGACCGCGGTGGCATGCATATTTTCGTTATCAACATTGGGCAAGCAGGCAGAGCACATCTTGCGTGTACCTCACATCTTGCACGTACTTCACATCTTGCATGTACCCCCCCGCTCACATTCCCCACATTCTATATGCCCTAACTGAGCCCTGCCGCATTGCTTATCTTATCTACATGGGGTGTTTGGTACTGGTTTCTCCAACAAGGGGGTTGGGGCCCGCTGAGACCTCCTATTCCTTTCAATACAAAGATCACAAGGTGGTGGCCTATAGACAATCTTGGTTTATTGTCTTTCTTTTTTTCTTTTTTTTGCAATACTGGGGTTTGAACCCGGGGTCTACACCTTGAGCCACTCCACTAGCCCTTTTTTTGTAATGAGTTTTTTTAAAGATAAGATCTCATGAACTATTTGCCTGGGCTGGCTTCAAACTTCAATCCTCCTGATTTCTGCCTCCTGAGTAGCTAGAATTACATGTATGAGCCACCATTGCCCCCATACCTGGCTATAGTCTTGTTTTTTATTTTGTTATAAAACTTCCTCCCTCCCTCCCTCCCTTCCTTCCTTCCTTCCTCTGTGGTGGTAGGGATTGTTTCTTCTCAATTGGGAAATTTCAAATAAAATCCAGGATATCTGATCTTTTAGAAAAATATGAAGATCTGACAACAATTAGATGGAACAAATAATTGCTACACCATCTAATTCCTTCTATATTTCCTGCAATTCCTTGTTATTTTATATGCAGCTATATAAATCAATTTATGTTGTCTCCCTGATACTTGTAGATATTTGAATCTGTGACTCCTCCTAAATGACTGGCCCCTGGCAACTTCTCCAGCCTCAGGTCTTGTCACTCTTCTTTTGTTCTTTAGCCATAATGAACTTTCAGTTCCCAGAAAATGCTTTGTTCCTTTTTACCTCTAAGTTTTATTTTCATGTATTTTGTTTTATAGAAGTTTTTTAGGCTGGTGAAAATGTTCTAATATTAGATTGTAGTAATAGTTACACAACTGTAAATATACTAAAACCACTTGTATACTCTGAGTGGACAAATTTTGTTAGTATGTGAACCTCAATGTTTTAAAAAGATGTGTGATGGCAGCAGATTAGATATTATGGGAAAGATTAGCAAAACAGAAGGCATAGCAATAGTAATTATCCAAAATCAAAATGTAAGAATGAAAAATAAGAAAGCATCAGGGGGCTAGGACATCTTTAAGCAGCCTAATATAAATGTGCAGATTTGAGAAGCTCATTATTCTAAGCACTGCCAACACTTGGGAGCCTGAAGCAGGAGGACTGAGAATTTGAAGCCAGCCTGGGCTACATATCAAGACCCCCTGTCTCAAAAAAACCAAAGAAACAACAACAAAAACTCTGTCCTTACAAAATCTATTTTGCTTCTTTTTTTTGTTTGTTTGTTCTCTTTAGAATGACAATATTCAGCCTATAAAGTATCCAATCAAACACCAACAAGAAGTGAAGATTTATTTTCCCATCAAGCTTAAACCCAACTTTCTGGCATTTCCTCATCATCCTCTAGAAATGTTATATCGTTATAAAGTACAGGTATGGTTTCCTATAATATAAGAATTCACAAAGAGATAAGTCAGTTTCTCTGATAGGTTAATTTGTTGAAATTTAATTAATGTTAAATCTTATTTTCCCCCAATCTTAACCATGTTCTTGAATACTATCATCCAATAAGACTTGGTGTGCTTTCTGTTTGTCTTCCATGTATCCTTTCCTTGGGAGGTGTTTTTGTTTTTGTAGCACTGGGGTTTGAACTCAGGAATTCATGCTTGCTAGGCAGATACTTTTACTACTTGAGCCACTCTGCCAGCCCGACTTTGGAGTTTTATGAGGTTTTATCAAGTTCCCTTATGCCTTTTTTTTAATCTTTTGTAACATTACCATTCTTTAACTCCCTTTACTGTTACTCTTTCCCATTTAGCTACTTTATTATAGCTCCACAATTGATGTGTGCAGAGATAATTTATTATAGTTTTATTATTTCGTAAGCTTTATTTCTACCAGTCAAGTTTGGCACTTTCACTTAAATGACACTTTTCCTCCTAAGGTGTTTTTCCCCCACAGGTAGAGGGTGGTAGTGGCAACTTCACTTGGACCTCCTCTAATGAAACAGTGGCTATGGTAACCACCAAAGGAGTGGTGACTGCAGGTCAGGTCAGAGGGAACAGTACCATTTTGGCCCGAGATGTACAAAATCCCTTTCGATATGGGGAAATTAAGGTAAATGGTTTTCAAAGAAATCACCTGTTTTTTTGTGTGCGTTTTTTGTTTGTTGTTTTTTGGTGGTATTGGGGTTTGAACTCAGGGCATCTTGCTTGCTAGCAGGCTCTCTATCACTTGAGCCACTCTGACAGCCCTTCTTATCATCTCTGGAACACTGCTGTTTAAAGTACACTAATGTTTCAAAATACTTTTAGTCCAACTTGAGTATTTAAAAATCTTATTCAAATTCAATCTGAAAGTACATGTCCCTTAAATACTTCAGGACCTGGGTTGAATCCTGCTTCACTTAATAGCTAGTATTTTAATCTGTTTTTTTTTTTGGGGGGGGGTGGAGGGGACAGTACTGAGGTTTGAACTCAGGGCCCATTCCACCAGCCCTTTTTTGTGATGGGTTTTTTTTGAGATAGGGTTTCACAAACTATTTGCCTAGGCTGGCTTCAAACTGCGATCTTCCTGATCTCTGCCTCCTGAGTAGCTAGAATTACAGGCTTTAGTTACCAATGTCTGGCTAGCCCTGTGTATTTTAAATCTATGTTTCCTCATCTTTAAAAGGAAGATAATGTTAGTATCTAGGTCAAAGGGTTAGTGTCAGAATTAAATGAGACTATGTTTACTCAAGTGCTTGGCTTAATGTTCACTGTTTTTGTTACAGTTTTTATACACATCTTTAGAGGCTTTTATAATGATTTTGTAAGATTGAACACCCTTTTTTTACTGTATTATATTACTGTTTCCTATTTTTTTTCCATGTTGCGTTTCTGGTATGACTTAGCATTTTGCTATCACTTAGTGATCCCTTACTGAACATTCCTTAGGTTCTAGGGCTGGTCAAGTGGCAGAGTGTTTGCCTAGCAAGCGTGAGGCCATGAGTTCAAGCCCAGTACTGCCAAAAAAGTAAATAAAACCCTAGATTCTAATACTATCTTAGGACATTCAAAAAATGCATAATGTATCATCCCTACCTTAGAGAAGCTAAAGTTTAAGTAAGAATATATGCTCGCATGAAAAGCTAACTAAATTTTTTTTGGTACTGGAGTTTGAAAACAGGGCTTTGTCCTTACAAGGCAAGTAGGCACTCTACTAGTTGAGCCACTCTGCCAGCCTTTTTTGGTGTTGGATACTTTCAACATAGGGGCTCACACACTATTTGATAGGGCTGGCCTCGAACCACAATCCTTCTAATCTCTGCTTCCCATGTAGCTAGGATGATAGGCATGAGCCACCAGTGCTTGGCTTTTTGTATACATGATCTTTGTTTTGTTTGTGGTACCAGGGATTGAAGCCAGATACATGCTAGACACGTGCTTTGCCACTAAGCTAAACCTCCAGCCCTAGAAGTGTGGCTCAATCAGTAGAGTGCCTGCTTTGTGAGTGAAGCCGTGGGTCAGACCCCAGTCTCACCTAAATAAAAGAATGAAGGAACTGGGTGTGGTGGTACATGTCTATAATCCCAACTGTGTGGGAGGTGTAGGTAGGAGAATCATGGTTTGAGTTCAGCCGCAGGAAAAAACAACAAAAAAAAATTGGTAGATACTATCTAAAATAAAGTGCTGGAAGTGTGAGCTCAAGGCATTGAGCTCAAACCCCAGTACTGTAATTAATAAATAAATAAATAAATAAATAAACAAACAAACAAACGAAGTTATAAAATAACTAAAGCAAAAAAGAGCTGGAGGCAAGCCCGGTACAGGTGGCTCACACCTATAATCCTAGCTACTGAAGAGGCAGAAATCAGGAGGATAGAGGTTCGAAGGCAACCCCTGGCAAATAGTTTGTTTGAGACCCTATTTCAAAAAAACCCATCACACACACACACACACACACACAAAATCACAAAAAAAGGGCTGGCAAAGTGGCTCAAGCAGTACAAGTACCTACCTAACAAGTGTTGAGGCCCTCAGTTCAAACCCCAGTGCTAGCAAACTCTCCCTCCCAAAAAAACACAAAGAATGAAGAGTGACATGTTCACTGTCTGGGGGGGTTGTTTGTGTGTATATATGAAAAATAGTTCATAGTCATTCCTCAGTGTCCAACAAGGATTAGTTTCAGGATGTCCACAGATACAAAAATGTGTGAATGTTCAAGTCCTTTATATAAAATAGCACAATATTTACATATAACCTATGTATGTCCTTCCTTATACCTTAAATCACCTCTAGATTGCTTATGCCTACTATAATGTACTTGCTATGTAAAGAGTCATTATACTGTATAGTTTAGGGAATAATGACAAAGAAAAAGTCTGTACATGTTCAGCAGAGACACATTTTTTTAAAAAATATTTTCCATCCTCACTTGAATTCATGGATACAGAACCCAAAGAAATGAAGGACTGATTCTATGTATATATTTTTATACAAAACCTGTATAGCTTTTTTTTTTTTTGATTTGTTGAGACAGAGTCTTGCTATGTATCTTAGGTTGAATTTGTACTCAGAATCCTTCTGCCTCAGTCCTCTTGAGGGCTAGGATTACAGCCATGCACCACCACTCCCAGCCAACACACATACACACACACACACATACACACCACACGCACACATATTACGTGTATTTAAGTATTTAAGAAATAATTCTCTTTTTCTAAGACTTTCCTAAAAGGTGAATTATTTTTCCTCTAGATATATGTCCTAAAACTAGACAAAATCGTACTGCTACCATTTCGTGCTGATGTGGAGATTGGCCAGATTATAGAAATCCCCATTGCAATGTATCATGTAAATAAGGAGACCAAAGAACCTATTGCATTCACAGACTGCTCTCATTTATCTTTGCATCTGAACTCAGATAAGCAAGGAGTCTTTACTCTTTTCAAAGAAGGTAAGATTAGCCTCTTTTCATTTTCTCCTTCCTTTGTCCTTGATTGAAGGGACCATCCATCAATTTAGAAACTATTATAGTTTAAATTCACATAATCTCCCCTCTTTTTTGAAATTGGGTTTTACTATATAGCCCAAGCTGGCTGGAACTTGCAATCCTCTGGCCTCAGCCTCCCAAGTGCTAGGATTATAGGTATGCACTGCCACACCCAGCTATCCTTCTTTATAAACCTTCATTTATTCTATCAACCGCCTTTTTTGTGTTTGTGCTACTGGGAAGTAGACCCGGAACCTTGCACACATTAGGTAAGCACTTTACCACTTGAGCCATGCCAAGTGGTAATTGCCATGCCGACTCAAATTTTGTCAGGCAAGATTTTTCTATTTGCCATCCATATGTTTTTTTTTTTTTTTTTTTTTGAAGGTACAGAGGTTTGAACTCAGGGCCTTGCACTTGCTTGGCAGGTGCTCTTCTATTTGAGCCATGCCCCCAGCCTTCAACTGCCTTGAAGTACACATTACTCTACTTGTTTTAAGTTAGATTGTGTGTGTGTGTGTGTTGTGTGTGTGTGTGTGTGTGTGTGTGTGTGACTGGGGTTTGAACTCAGGGCTTCCTCTTTATACTAGACTGCTTAAGCCACACTTCTAGTCACTCTACTTCTTTTCTAAGCAGGCACTCTACCTCCTTGAGCCACATCCCCAGCCCTACACTCTACTTCTTTTATAAATGTAGAAACAAAGTACAGAAATTGAAGAACTTTGTAGTTGAACAATTTATCTTCAGGTCCTAGGAAGAAAGTCTGTTTCTAGTACCAAGCTCTTTTCCTCTTTGTTTCTTAAATATACATACTTCTTTTTAAAAGGAGTGTGGTGTCTGTATGCGTTGAACTTATTCAAAAAGGAGAAAATAACTTTTTCTAATGAAAAGGAAAATATGAAAAATCTGTAAAGATCAACATCCTTTCCTACTGTTGAACCTTGATCCTGATCTTCATTGTTTATTCAATATAACGACAGTAGTAATATCTAACATTATTTAGCAGTTACTATTTCCCAGTCTCTGTTTTGAATTTTTGTGTATATGTGTGTGATACTAGGGGATGAATTCAGGAGTCAACGTTTGCTGAGCAGGTACTCTATTACTTGAGCTATGCCCCCAGACCTTTTTGCTTTAGTTATTTGTCAGGTAGGATCTGATGTTTTTGCCCCATCTGTCCTGGACTGTAGTCCTCCCAATCTGTGCCTCCCACACAGCTGGGATTATAGGCATGAGCCACCATATCTAGTCTACTTGTCATATACTAATTAATTTAATTCTTATAATACAACTATAGGGGTACATCAACTTGAACTTCTTTCTTGCCCTTGTTCATTAGCATGTAGTATTCCTCCATTTCTCTGCTTTCCTCTGTTCTCAGAGTATCTCCTCTAGTTTTTAGGTCTTCCTTAGCACTTATCTAGAGTATAACAATATCATTTTAGCTGTTGTTACCCTGATAATCATGGCTACCAGAGGGATCTTTGTGAAGCTCAATTTCAGTACTACTTTTTCTATCCAAAAAATTTGAAAGACTTTTGTTGGTCAGTGGCATAGAGCCAAAATCTTTTAGTTTAGTCTTCATGGCCCTATACAATATAACCCAATCTACTTTTCATGACTGCATATGTTGGCTTCACATATGGTGCTAGCTAAAGCAACTATGTTAGTTCAGTTTTCCCTTTTATCTCCATCCTGTGCTTGTAATGTCTTATTTATATTTCTTTGTTCATCTTGTTTTCTCAAATTGAGATATTTTATCTAGGGTTGGGGGTGTAGCTCAGTGGAAGAGTGCTTGACTAGCATGGTGAAGGACCTTGGTTTGATACCCACCACACACACACACACACACACACACACACACACACACACACACAAATGGAACCAGATGTGGTGGCTTATGCCTATAATCCAGCAATGTGAAAGGCAGAGATGAGAAGATTGCAATTAGAGGCCAGCCCTGGCCAAAAAATGTTACTAAGACCCTTTCTCAAAAAAAAACAAAAACAAGCTAGACATGGTGGGGCACACATGTAATTCCAACTATGCAGGAGGCAGAGGTAGAAGGATAATGATGCAAGGATGGCTTGTGGAAAAGTGAGATTCTATCTGAAAAACAAACTAAAAGCAAAAAGGGCTGGGGTTGTGGCTCAAGTGGTAGAGCACAAGCACAAGGCCCCAAGTTCAAACTCTAGTAATGAAAAAAATAGAAAATAAATATTTTATCTAAACTTTCCTTGGGTCAGGTATGATATCAAATGCTTGTAATCCTAGAACTCAGGAGACTAAGGCAAGAAAATTGAGAGTTCAATGTCAGTCTGGATTACATAGTGAGACTTTCTAAAAACAACACCACCACCACCCTGTGTGTAGTAGTGCACATCTATACCCCTCTACATGGGAGGTGACATTAGGAATATCTTGTGTTCAAGGCCACCCCAGGCAAAGTAAGACCCAATCTCAAAACAGAATACAAAACAAAAAAGGGTTGGGAACATTGTGAAGTGGTAGGGCACTTGCCTAGCATTATGGAAGCCCTTGGTTCAATTCTAGTATCACACATACACACAGCCCTAAAAAGCCTTTCAATCTCTCTAGAAATCATTTTCCTAATTCCTAGATCTCTATATATCATTTATCTTTCTAACTCTTTTGCTTATTTTTATTGTTTATGTCTTAGCATACATTAATACTTATCAGTTTCTAATTTTTTAAGTAACTTATATACACTGTCTCCTAAACTATAAATGGCTTGAGATCAGGGTTTTTACTCATATTTGTTTTCTTGGCACACATAGTATTGTGTTTTACATGGTATATGCTCTTTCTTGTTTTTTGGGTGGTTACTGTTGCTTGCTAGGCAGGCACTCTACCACTTGAGCCACTCCACCATCCCTGTATATGCTCTTAATAGAAGAAAGAGATTTGTCTTTGTTTTTGTTGTTTTTGATGGTGGGGATTAAAGGTAGGCTTGAGCATGGTAGGCAAGAAACCAGCTCAAGAAACCAGAGTTTTATATCAACTTGATATTAAAAATTGGGATCTAGTGGTTATATCAAGGTGGAATTTTTTTTTTTTAAGTACTGGGTCTTGAACTCAGGGCCTACACCTTGAGCCACTCCACCAGCCCTTTTTTTTTGGTGAAGGGTTTTTTTTTTTGAGATAGGGTCTTGCAAACTATTTGCCCAGGCTGGCTTTGAATTGAGATCCTCTTGATCTCTGCCTCTTTAGTAGCTAGGATTACAGCTACTGGTGAGCCACGGGTGCCCGACTGGAATTTTTAATATATTAAAGTTCCTCTCTTTCTATAGCCTAATATCCTTGAGAAATAAATGGTTATTACCCTATTGAAATCATGTGTTTTTCTTGTTCTTTTGTTTTTGGAGGTTTTGGGGTTTGAACTTAGGGCCTCATGCTTGCTAGGCAGCCACTCTACCACTTGAGCCACTCTGCCAGACCTGTTTTGTGCTGGGTATTTTTGAAATAGGATCTTGAGAACTATTTGCCTCAGCTGGCTTTGAACCTCAATCCTCCTGATCTCTGCCTTCTGAGTAGCTAGGATTACAGGTGTGAGCCACAAACACCCTGCTAAAATCATATATATATATATTTTAATTCAAAGGTATTCAAAGACCTGGACCAATGCACTGTTCCAGTACACATATAGCAGCCAAATCTCTAGGCCATGCTCTGGTAACAGTCAGTGTAACTGAGTATGAAGACTATTTGGAGAGCAGTGCCACATTTGCTGCTTATGAACCCCTAAAGGTGAGATATTTTATGATAAGGCACTGACATTTCTTTTCATGGGCCTACCTATGTGCACTTAGGGACTGCCTAGCCAGCTGTGGTCTCTATTAAGGATTGGTGGTGCATGGGTGGTTCAGTGGTAGAATTCTCTATTAAGGATTGGTGATATTTGTGATCTTTTTACTTACCATTATTTTACTTATTTATTTAATTTATTCATTCATTCATTCATTCATTCATGTATATATGTATTTGCTTATTGCAGTACTGGGATTGAACTCAGGGCCTGGAGATGGTTAGGCAGGAGCTCTACTACCTCCAGAACACCACTATTTTGTTTTCAATCTATGCTCTCTCATCAAACTTGAGTCTCAGGGAGTTTACTCCCTCATGTTTCCTAGATAAATATATTCAGGAATTATATCTTTAACTTGCATCAGTTATTCTTCTTTCTCCTTTTTTGCTGAGGTATAAAATATGTACAGAAAAGTATATTAAGTACACCATCTTAAGGTATTATTTGAATTTTTACATGTGCATATATTTCTGTAAACACCAATATACAGAACACTAACATAGCTCCTTTTGTTGGGGGGCCAGTACTGGGGCTTAAACTCAGGCATGCTTGCTAGGCAGGCCCTCTACCACTTGAGCTACTCTGCCACCCTGCTCTGATTATTTTTGTTATTTTTGAGATAGGGTCTCGCGTTTCCTACCTTAGTTGGGATGACAGTCGGCCGTGTGCTGGTTGAAACCAGGGTCTCATGAAGTTTTTGCCTGGACTGGCCTGAAACAATGGTCCTCCCAGTCCCTCTCAGCCTCCCAAGTACCTATGGTTAGAGGCGTGAGCCACTGGCACCCAGCACTGACACAAACACTTAGCCCCTTTTGAAGAATCATGAGAGATAGATAACTTTCTGTTTTACCCAGAGGTTTAAATTCAAGACTTTGTGCCCTACCGCTTGAGCCATATCTCCAACCCTAATTGAATTCAGTTTTTTACATTATATACTTAACCATTTTCAGCCCAAAGGATTGGTCATTATAAAAAGGAGATTATGGGGTGGGGGCGTGATTCAAGTGGTAGAGTGCCTGCCTAGCAAATGGGAGGCCCTGAGTTCAAATTCCAGTACCACCAAAATAAATAAAACAAATAAAAAGTAAATTAAAATTAAAAAAATAAAGAACAGATTATGGCAAGTAGCTTAAAATAAAAATAGAGCCTTTCCATATACTTGATTCCATCCCAAGGTAAAAACGTTATCTATAAATTCTTGCTGTTAGAAACTGGCAAATCCTGGCTCAGTGCCTCTTAGAATAGGAAAAAGTTGACATTACTGAAAGGAGCAAGGTAATTAATTTAAAAAAATTCTGGGGCTGGGGTGTGGCTCACTGATAGAGTACTTGCTTAACATGCTCTAGGATCTAGGTTCAATTCCCAACACCACATACACACACAAATATTGCTGGGCGCCGGTGGCTCACACCTGCAATCCTAGCTACTCAGGAGGCAGAGATCAAGAGAATCAAAGTTCAAAGCCAGCCCGGGCAAAAACCCATCAAAAAAAAAGGGGGGCTTGTGGAGTAGCTCAAGATGTACTCTGAGTTCAAACTCTAGCACCACAAAAAAAAAAAAATAGAAAAAGAAATTGAGTATAAGAGATGAGTGGATGTAGGAGGATTGTGATACTAGGCTGGCCCAGGAAAAATTGTAAGACCCTATCTGAAAAGTGAATTAAAAGCAAATGGGCTGGGGGTGTGTCTCAAGTGGTAGTGTGCTTGCCTAGCAAGCACAAGGCCCTGAATTTAATCCTTAGTAATGCCAAAAAACAAAAAGGAAAGAAGGAGAGGAAAAGAAATTAGGTTACAAGGTACTCTGTCCTCTTAAGGAATATATAAAACTAGAGAACACAAAAAGAATTATTAGACTTATACATAGCATTTGGTGCATTTAAATAACTTTGGGAGATGAATAAGTATACAAGAGTGATAGAGATAAATACTGTAAGACTATAAGAGTAGAGAGGATGCAGAAGTGGTTGTAGTCTGGAATGACTAGTCACAAATTAGTGGAAAAGGTGACATCAGCTAGGCTACAGTCATAGGTAGGATCTTTAGTACACAAGTTGAAAAGTATTTCAAGTGAGGGACGAGGTAGAAATGCCTTTTCATTTGAGAATTAAGTCTAATGTCATTTTCAGCATACTCAGATAACTAGTTTTGCTCCCTAAAAAGTTGTTGAGCCACTCCTGTGGCGGTTGAACAGGAAGATTTCTTAAGTCCAGGAATTCAAGACCACCCTGGGCAACATAGTGAGACTCTACCTCAAAAGATATAAAATAGGGCTGGTAGAGCCCTATTCAAGTGATAGAGCACCTGCCTAGCAAGCATGAGGCCCTGAGTTCAAACTCTGGTACTGCCAAAAAAAAAAAAGTTAACAAAAAAATAACATAAAATAAAAACTGTTTAGTTCCCTAACCATTAAGGATTAATTTATTTAAGGCTCTAAACCCTGTGGAAGTGGCACTGGTAACATGGCAGTCTGTGAAGGAAATGGTATTTGAAGGGGGTCCTCGTCCTTGGATCTTGGAACCTTCCCGATTTTTTTTGGAGCTAAGCGTGGAGAAGACAGAGAAGATTGGAATAACAGAAGTCCGTCTGCCAGCTAAGAGAAAACAGAATCAGTATATCTACCGCATACTCTGCCTAGATTTAGGGGAACAGGTAAGAAAAATAGCCTCTCTAACATTACCATAATTAATACTTTTAGTATAATACTCCAATTCTTTTTGTACTTCTAACCATGCCTTTTTAGATTTCAATAGATTTAGTATGGACTTGAAAAACAATTTTTTTGTGGTAGGCTGGCTTTAAATTCATGGTCCTTGTGCTTCTATCTCCTGTGTGTTGGGATTACAAGCATTCACCATCATATCTGGCTAGATAAAAAGTTTCTTATTATTGATTAAAGGGCCTTTTTAAAAACGAAAAGCAAAAAAAACCTTCCTATCCTTTAAATGTACCCAGTGGTTTCACTTTCACTCATCTGAGAATGCTAACGGTTTATTAACTAAACAATTCAAGATCTTTTTAGAGTAGTGAATTTATATTATTTTCCATCAGTTTATCCCTGTAATTTATTTCTTTGTTGTCTATACTAGAGGATATTTGATTTCTACAAAGGATTCAAGGAGCCTGTCATGGTGGCGCATGCCAGTAATTACATGAGAAGAGGATGAAGCAGGAGGATCAAGAGTTCAAGGCCAGTCTAGGCTACACTTTCAGGCTGTAGGTGTGGCTCAAGCAGTAGAGCCACACTGCTTTGCCAGTGCAAAGCCCTGAGTTCAAACCCCAGTTCCACCAAAAGAGGAACTTTAAAGTGTCATGTATGTTTAGCAATTTTGAAGAACTAGTTAGATCTGCTCTAAGAGTGACAAGTATGTAGTCCTCTATCGGTTAAATTCATTTTGATTATTTTTAGAGGTAGTGATGGATTTACATAGTTCTTATTCAAGGTTGCAAAAAAAAAAAATCAAGCATATTGAGGTGTCCCTTCCTATTGCAGTAATTTTTTGTGGTACTGGAATTTGAACTCAGGGCCTCATGCTTACTAGGCAGGCACCCTACCACTTGAGCCTCTCTGCCATCTCTGTTTTTGTATTGGGTATTTTCAAGATAAAGTATCACCAGCTGTTTGCCCAGGCTGGCTTTGAACCACAATCCTCCTGAGTAGCTAGGATTACAGGCTTGAGCCACAGGCACCCAGTGTCTTTCTCTTCTTTGATTAATTCCTAAGTACATTGTTTTTTTTTTTTGTTTCTTTGTTTTTGGTTTTTGCCACACTGGGGTTTGAATGTGGGGTCTCACAGCAGGTGCTTTTACCACTTGAGCTACTTCACCAGCCCTTTTTTTTTGTGATGGATTTTTTTTTAACTTATTTGCTGGGGGCTGGCTTTGAATCACCATCCTTATGTTCTCTGCCTCCTGAGTAGCTAGAATTGCAGGCATGAGCAACCAGGGCCCAGCTTTTTTTGTTACTTTAAATAGAATTGTTTTCATAAACAAGTTTTTGATCTCCTTGGTTAAGTTAAATCCTAAGTACTTTGTTCTTTTTGATACTATTGTAAATGGACTTGCTTTTGTAATTTCCTTTTCAAATCATTCATTGTTAGTGTATAGAAATGTAATTGATTTTTGTATGTTGACTTTATATCCTGCTACTTTGCTGAATTTATTAGGCTAATGTTTTTTGTGAACTCCTTAGAGTTTTCACATACAAGATCGTATTATCCAAACTGGGCACAGGTGGCCCTAACCTATAATCATAGCTACTCAGGAGGCAGAGATCCAAGAGGATTGCAGCTCAAAGTTAGCCCTAGGCAAATAAAATAGTTCAGGAGACCCTCTCTTGGGAAAATACCCAACACCAAACAGAGTTGGTGAAGTGGCTCAAGTGATAGAGTGTCTGCCTAGCAAGTGTGAAGCCCTGAGTTCATACCCAAGAGTCACCAAGGAAAAAAAAGATCATATTATCTAAACTGGGTGTCATATTACATGCCTGTAATCCCAGCATTTGGCAGGCTGAGGAAGGTTTATAAGGTCAAGGCCAGCCTGGGCTACATAGCCAGACTCTGTCTCAAAAAAAAGAAAAGAAAAAAAGATCATATCGTCTGTGAACAGAAATAATTTTACTTCTTCCTTTCTAATTTCATGCTTTCATTCTTTTTTGTGATACTGGAGATTGAGCCCAGGGTCTTGAGCATGCTAGGCAAACACTTTACCACTGAGCTAATCCCCCTCTAGCCCTTTTGTTTCTTTTTTCTTTCTTTGGGGGTGGGGGGAAGAGGGACTGGGGTTTGAACTCAGGTCTTCATGCATACAAAACAAGTGCTCTACTGCTCAAGCCACACCTCCAGTCCATTTTTTCACTCTGGTTATTTTGGAGATGGCATATCACCAACTGTTTGCCCAGGCTGGCCTCAAACCGGAAATCTCCTAATCTCAGCCTTCCAAGTAGCTGGAATTATAGTCATGAGTCACTAGTATCTGGCTTTGTTTCTATTTTGCTTTTAACACAGGGTCTGTTAGCTATCTTTACCTGGTCTGGCCTTGAATTTGGGATCCTACTGTTTCCTCCTTCTGAATAGCTGAGATTCATAGACATGCACCACCATACATGGATCATTTTCTTACCTAATTGTTCTTGCTACAAGGATATTATAGTAAAATGTTGATTAATAGTTGGACATTCTTGCCTTTTGTTGTTTTGGCAGTACTGGAGTTTGAACTCAGAGCCTCTTGCTTGCTAGATAGGTGTTTTACCACTTGAGCCATACCTCCAGCCCTTTTTATTTTGGTTTTTTTGGAGATAGGGTCTCACTTTTTGCCCAGGCCAGCCTGGACTTCATGAACCTACCTACCATTTTATACTTTATGTCATCTCTGGGATGATGTTTTTTTTCCCACTGAGATGAGCTCTACAAAACTTTTTTTGCCCAGGCTGGCATGGAGCCATGATCCTCCCAATTCAGCCTCCCAAGTAATTAGGACTATAGGCTTGAGCCAAGAGTGCCCAGCTTCCTCTTTCTTTTTAATGGCTGCATAATATTCTGTTGTATGGAGATGTCATAATTTATTTAAACAGCCATTTATTTGTGGACATTTGTAGTATTTCTAATATTTTGCTATTACAAATGATATTGTAATAAATATCCTTTTGTCATTTTTACTGTGTACTTTTTATTTTATGAAATACTACAAATGTAGCTAAAAGTGGCAGGCCAGCCATTTTTAACAAAAATGCTTTGTCTATCTGTTGAATAAATTTGTCATACTTTACAATAATATATATTTTTTTTTTTGTGGTACTGGGGCTTAAACTTAGGGTCTACACCTTGATCCACTCTACCAGCCCTTGTTTGTGATGGTTGTTTTCAAGATAGGGTCTTTCAAACTGTTTGCATGAGCTGGCTTTAAATTATGGTTCTTCTGATCTCTGCTTCCTGAGTAGCTAGGATAACAGTCATGACCCACTGGAGCCCAGATGATTTTTTTTTTTTTTAAGACAGGGTTCACTATGTGGCCCAGGCTTTCTTCAAACTCCCCATCCTCCTGCTTCTGCTTCCAAAGTGCCGGGATTATAGGCATGAACCACTTACTTAGCTCCTCTACAATTTTACTAATAAAAATAAGTTCCAAAGAATAGAAGAATTTTGTCTTTCTCATTCCTTTGACACTTCTTGAAATTACAAACTCATTTATTTATATCCCTCTTACAAGGAAATAAATCTCTTGGAATTAGCCACATGAAAGTCACCAGTGACACTGGTGATAAAGCTGATTTGGGATAGATGTAGGAGTGTTTGGTTCAGAACTTGGAGTGAATAATGCTTTCAGTTTCTTATGTAACACTGAGTAAGATGTTAGTTGTGGGTTTTTCAACTAAAGCTTATATTTTATTGAGGTAGTTTTCTTTTCCTAGTTTATTGAGTGAACTATTAGTAATTTCAGACCTAATTAACCTGTATTTGGAGCTCCCTAACTTTTTTTTGTTTTCATATTCTAATTATTTATTAGTACTTTCACTAAAGACAAATTGAAGACAAATTAGTTTTTCCACTTTTTATCAACTAGTAACTTTTTATCAACTGGAGGAAAAGACTGAGCTAATTCATCAAAGTTAGATTTTTTTTTTTATATTTCATTTGTTTTCAAGTTTCCATGATACCTTTAGCTCCTTAGCAGAGATAATTAATAATTATAATATCTTTAAGGAATTTGTCTGATTATAGCATCCAAAGGGATTTTTCTCTGTAATGGAATTTAAATAGCTGACACATTTAGAATGGCATTATTGACATCACATGACCATCCACAATTATCTCTTGCTCTAATATTTCCTTAAAGGTTCTTACTTTCCGAATTGGAAATCACCCAGGTGTCCTGAACCCTAGTCCAGCTGTAGAGGTTGTACAGGTGCGTTTCATATGTGCTCACCCCGCCAGTATGTCAGTAACACCAGTATACAAGGTGCCAGCTGATGCACAGCCATGTCCTCTACCACAGCACAACAAACAACTGGTAAGTATGACTGTGTTTCCAACAAATGTACTTTTGTCTTGCATGGTTTACAGATGATAGATCTGAAATACAGCTTTTGGCTTATTAAAGTTCTCTGATGGTTTCTGAGAAGAAATGAGTAAAATAAGTTAGAATTGGTTATACTTAGTGACATGACTTTGTTTATTGTAAAGGTACTCAGTCAGCTTGTGATTATGGCAATAGACAATTGATAACTCTCTAAATAACTAACTTCTAAATACTTTTGCTAATATCCTCTCCTTTTCTATCAAGTCTCTCTCTCTTTAAAAAAAAATTTTTTTTTTTTTTTTTTTTTGCAGCACTGGGGCTTGAACTCAGGGCCTCATGCTTGCTAGGCAGGCACTCTACCATGTGAGCCACTCCACCAGCATTTTGTTTTGTTTTGCTTTTTGCAGAACTGGGGTTTGAACTTAGGGCCCTCATCTTCAGCCACTCCACCAGTCCTTTTTTGTAATGGCTTTTTTCGTGATAGGGTCTTGCAAACTATTTGCTCAGGGCTGGCTTTGAATATTGATCCTCCTGATCTCTTCCTGAGTAGCTAGGATAACAGGCATGAGCTATTGGCACCTAGCCCTACCAAATCTTCTCTTATCTTTATTAATAAGTAGTGAAATTTACATCTACTTCAAACCTACCATGAAGAATAGTAGTAAGCAATAACATAGCTATTAAAAAGAGACTGGTAGAGTCATTTAAGTGGTAGAGCACCTGCCTAGCAAGCTTGACGCCCTGAGTTTAAAAATAAGATTTTGGAAAATTGAACTATTGACTGTACATTTGATGACATCGAATTCATGTTAATATTCTATTTTGAGGGGGCAGTACTCGGGTGTGAAGTCAGAGCTTCATGCTTGCTAAGTTGGCATTGTACTGTTTGAACTATACCTCCAGCCCATTAATATTCCTGTATGTGGTATTATTACTTTTCTTACATAGCAGAATGTTTTTATTCTTAAGAAATCCATACTGAAATATTTAGAAGTAAAGTGCCATGATACTTATGTTAGTTTAGTAAACAAAATGAAACAAAAAAACATCCCCTGACGCCATGCATGAGGAAGGAAGAAGAGAGAAAAAGAAAGAAAATATAAGTAAATGTTAAGAATTGGTGAATACAGGTGAACTTTTATACAGATATTCATTATGTTGTTCTTTCATTTTATCTGTGGGTTTGCAAATTGTCAAAGTAGAAAGAGAGAGAAAACATGATTCCTATCTTCAGGGTTATCTGACTTTTAAGGCTATTGAATTTAAACAAAATTTTCTTTCATTATTTTTTATTTAATGCAGATTCCTGTATCAAGCTTGAGGGACACTGTTCTAGAACTGGCAGTATTTGATCAACACAGAAGAAAGTTTGATAATTTTAGTTCACTAATGCTAGAATGGAAATCTTCTAATGAGACACTAGCCCATTTTGAAGATAAGTCAATGGAGATGGTTGCCAAAGATGATGGCAGAGGGCAGACTCAGTTACATGGTATTGTGAAAATTTATGAATCCTTTCACATAGTGTACCCACTTGGATTTCATCATATTTCACCTTTCATCTTGAATTTTTTTTTTGTGGCACTGGAGTTTGAAACTCAGGGCCTCATGCTTGCTAGGCAGGTGCTCTACCACTTGATTCATATCTCCAGTCCCTTTTTGCTTCACTTATTTTTCAGATGTCTCAGATTTTGCTCCTCCTACCTAAGGCCTCTCACCTGTGACTGGGGCCACAGGTGTGCACCACCATACTTAGTTTGTTGTTTGAGATGAGGTTCTTACTAACTTTTTACCATGGCTGGCCTTGAACTGTGGTCCTCCAAATCTCCACCTCCCAAGTAGCTGGGATGACAGGCATGAGACACCATACCCAGTTGATATTTGTGATTTTGTTAGAAAACATAAAGGTACCCACTCACTGCCAGGCCCTATCTTTTGTTGGGGAGGTCAGGACATGGGAGAGAGAGAGCAGTATAGCTGGGTCTGGAACTCTGGTACTCTGGGAGTCAGGACACTTTCTCTGCCATAACGTTGGCATATTAGAGGGTTACTGTCTTTCTTATAAAAATGGAGAAAGAAACCATTTACATATTCATCTAGGGGCTGCTACATGACTGGGATGCTATAACACGAGCATTTCTTTATAAACTGTGAAGCCCTGTACACAAATCTAAAGACTATACTGCTAACGGAATAAATTTTTTGCATTCCATGTGTAACCATTAATTCATCTCTGGCTAAAAAAACCCAAAACCAAACCAAACCAATACAAACAAAAAAACCATAAAGGTAGGGCTGGGTAGTAGTTCACTGCTAAGTGCACTGTGTAGCATATATGAAGCCCTGGGTTCTATCCCCAGCACCACCAAAAAAAAAAAGGAAGGAGGAAGGAAGGAAGGAAACAAAGTTAGATTTCCTGTTTACAAAACTAGGGTGTAGGGTCTCATAAGAATATAAAATTAACTGGGTGTAGTAGAACATGCCTATAATCCCAGTATCTGGAGGCTGAGGCAGGAGGATCTCAAATTGGAGGTCAGCCTGGGTTACATAGTGAGTAGTAAGTTACAGGGCAACATGAGCTACATAGCAAGACCCTGCCTCGAAAAGGGCTGAACTGGGTATGGTGGTGCATGTCTGTAATCCCAGATACTTGGGAGGCAGAGGTAGGAGGATGAAGAGTTTTGAGGCTAGCCCAGACGAAGTTATCAAGACCCTATCTCAAAAAGTACAAACCAAAAGACCTGGGGTGTGGCTCAAATGGTAGAGTCTTGCCTAGTATTCAAGAGGCCCTGGGTTCAATCCCTAGGACAACATAAAAAAGGGGGGAGGGGAATGAGGGAGAATGAGGGGAATAAGGGAGAGGATAAATCTAAACAAGGTACATTGTAAGCATATATGGAAATGTGACAATGAAACCAATATATACTAATAAAAATGTTTAAAAAAACAACCAATATATACAACCAATATATACTAATAAAAATGTTTAAAAAAACAAAAAAGGGCCGGCAGAGTGGCTCAAGTGGTAGCATGCCTGCTCTGCTTAGCAAGCATGAGGCCCTGAGTTCAAACTCCAAGACCACTAAATGTATATATATATATAAATGTATATATATACATAAATATATATAAAATGTATATATATACTAAATGTATATATATACATATATATATATATACATATCACTAAATATAAATATATATCACTTAGAAACTTTGGAACTTTAGCCAGGTGCTACTGGTAGTTCACACCTGTAATCCTAGTTACTCAGTAGGCAGAGATCAGGAGAATTGCAGTTCGAAGCCAGCCTGGGCAAATAGTTCTTGAGACCCTATCTCAAAAATATCCATAATAAAAAAGGGCTCATGGAGTATCTCAAGCAGTAAGAGTACCTGCCTAGCAAGTATGAGGCCCTGAGTTCAAGCCCTAGTGCCACCAAAATAAATAAATAAATAACCTGAGCAAAATGGACAAGAGGTGTGGCTCAAGCACTTGCTTTACGAGAGTGAAGCCCTGAGTTCAAACCCTAGTCCTACCATAAACAAACAAACAAAAAACCTGAAACTAAAATCAAGAATAGTTAGCCATTTAATTTTTTAAATTTTATTAATATTTATTTATTTATTTTGGTGGTACTATGGTTTGAATTCAGGGTCTTGTGCTTACTAGGCAGGTGCTCTACCACTTGAGCCACTGTGCCAGCTCTCAAAAATTTTAAATGGAGGATTGAAGGTATGCTGAAGGAAATTGTAAATTAAACAAAATTTTCCCAATACATTTGTTTTCAGCCTGTTTTTCAACTCACAGATCATCACAGCTATAAAGAGTTTTAGATTTTTGTCTGGCCCAACTTCTCATTTAATAAAGGAACTGAGAGATAAATTGGTTACTCTGTCATATAGGAATATAGTGGCAGAATCAACACAAAAACCCAGTTTTCTATTTCTTGTGTATTTTCTCATCAGTGTTTTTTTCTCCCCCACAGTAAAACATCTTTTGGAAAAAATACTCCACATGGTATTTTGTTGTGTTTTGTTTTCACAGTATTAGGCATCAAACCCAGGTCCTTGAGCATGCTAAGCAAGTGCTCTTCCACTCAACTACATCTCCAGCCTTGGCTTTTTGAGAGAAGGTCTTGCTGTGTAGCTCAGGCTGGCCTGGAACTTGAAATCCTCCTGCCTCTACCTTGAGATTGCTAGGATTATAGATTTGTGTCATCACCCTTAGCTATGTTATATTTCAGAGTATTTGTCTGCTCTTTTTCAGGTCATCAGATCCTTAAAGTACATCAGATAAAAGGGACTGTACTCATTGGAGTCAATTTTGTGGGCTATTCCGAAAAGAAAAGCCCAAAGGTGAGTGGAGTTTTTCTGGGGGGTGGGGGGGTTGGTAGGGGAAGAGGAGGAATTAAGACAGAGTCTTAGTATGAAACCCAAACTGGCCTCACACTCTTCTTCCTCCTGCTTCAGCCTCCCAAGTACTGGGATTATAGGCATGTACCACCACCCCTAGATAGAGATGAATGGAGATTATGGTATAAGAAATATAAATTACTGTTATACCACTCCTGGGGATATAGCCAAAGGAATGAGATACTTGTACACCCATGTTTAACAATATGCCAAAATACAGAATCAGCCTAGGAGCCCCTCGACCAATGAATATATAAAGAAAATGTGGTATATATACAAAGTGGAGTAGTATTCAGTATTATTCATACTGAATAAAGAAGAATGAAGTAGGGCTGGTGGAGTGGCTCAAGTGGTAAAGCACCTGCATAGCAATGGTGAGACCCTGATTTCAAACCCCACTGAAGAAGAAAGAAGAAGGAAGAAAAGGAAGAGGGGAAGGAGGGGGGAGGGGTAATGGGGGAGGGGGGAGGGCAAAAGGAGTAGGTGAAGGGGGGATTAAATAAATAAATAAGAGTCTCCCCTGCACTTCCTGCACTGAAATAGTCACTGCCAGGTCATCTTTGCCAGCTTGCTCTCACTGGTGGTGCTAAGGTGGCCTTCAGCAAGTCCTTGACTTCACTGCTGCTGCTCTTCTTCTTGCTCCATAATGGCCTATTCTGTAAGAAAAGTAAAAAACCACCATTACAGAACAATGAGAAGAAGAAAAAAAAATGAGTAAGCTGCGGAGGACTGTGTTTTTATCAAGGCTCTCATGGATTCTGAAAATCATGGTCCCTAGAACATTTTGTAAAGAGACAGGATACTTGATACTGAGTGCTGTAATGCTGGTATCTCATATATGGTGTAATGTCTGAATGATTCACAACAGGACACTCATTGAAAGGGGTATCACTAGTCATAACAGTAAAGACTTCAAGAGATACTTAACTTCCTTGCTACCTCTCATCTTTCTGGTTAATAACTTCTTTAAGTATGGGTTAAATTAACTCAAACTGCTTCTGAGTAAGGCTCACTAGACACTACTAAGAGTATTATCTCCAAGCTTTCACATATTATAAAATGGTAAATCTGGACAACAGAATAGCCAAAATCCAGACCAGCTGCTTACACAAGATGTAGAAAAATTTTATAACAGTGTAGTTCATCTGTATTCAAATCTTAGTAAACTATTTTTAGATATATTTTTGTATATTTTAAAGTTAACAAGTGCAGTTGGAGCTTAGGGCCCAGCAAGTATGATGGCCTACTTGCTTGTTTCTGGGCTGTTCCTAATTTGTCATCTTACCAAATGAAACACATTGGTAAAATGACAATAACTGAGCAAAATTATATAGGTGAATATAGATAAGTTAATTCATATCTCATTACACACAATGAAGAAATTGCCTTTACAGTGGGAATAAAAGAGAAAAGCCAACAATCTATTCACATCCTCCAAAAACTGGTGGGGCACCTGTGTGATTTCATTTTCTTTTGGCTTTCTACGGGCTTCATTGATAGCATAATTGCCAGATACATTGACACTGTAGTCAGTTGTCATTGTCTTTTCCTAGATTTGTCTCATCCTCACCATCTTAAAAGAACACATTTAGCTGGACATCAGTGGCTCATACCTGCAATCCTAGCTACTTGGGAGGCTGAGATTAGGAAGATCATTTGAGGCCAGCCCCAGCAAATAGCTCATGAGACCCTATCTCCAAAATAACCAGAGCAAAATAGACTGGAGGCATGGCTCAAAGCGGTAGAACACCTGCTTTGCAAGCACAAAGCCCTGAGCTCAAACCCCTGTCCTACCAAAAAAAAAAAAAAAATATACATTCCAGACCTTCTGGGGGATTACTACCAATGTGGAAGAATGCTTTTACAAATGTCTTTTTTTTTTTTTTTTTCTCTTCCCCATGGCTTCCCAGTCACAATACAGACCAGGCACAGGGCCTGGGCTGAGGTGTATATGGGGTAGGTTTACTTTTTCTCCTCTTTCTATACAGTTAGTGTAAGAACACAGCCTGTGGTAAGCACCAGGAGGCCTTTTGCGAATGTCTTAAACTCTGAGTCGAATAGTTTTGGCTGGTCATAAAATGATAAATTGGCTTTATTGCTTGTATTACAGAATTAATGCAAGTACAAAGAATTTAGATCATGGCAAACATGAACACACAATGGTCTCACAACAGAAAAAGGGTATTGGAGTACAACTCAGTACACCAGTACTTGGTGTTGGAGAAATCATCAGTATAGATAACATTGTAAAGTTTGATCATGTGTTTTTGTTTTTGTTTTTATTTTGCAGTACAGGGGAGAACTGTACCCTCTTCAATGAAATAAAATCATTAACATTTAGGAAGACAATGTACATTGTAAAATAAAGCTAAGACTGTGTTTGTGAAAAAAAAAGCAACAAATTAACTAGGTATAGAATACTTGAGAACATGTTAAAACATTTAATATTATGTAAGATATTGCTAATTGTGTATGTGTTGGTTTTATATTTATATTTTATGGTACTGGGGTTTGAACTTGGTTTAATTATTAATATGTACTAAGAATGTCCTTATTCTTGTGGTTAAAAACTTGCCTAAATTCAATTAAGCTTAAATCAGCATAACCTGATTCATTCTGGGATGCAAACCATTTGAAGTCAGCTAATTTGATTTTTATGGCTCTTATCTTCAATAAAGAAACCTGTTTAAAACTAGGATCATTCTATCAAAATAGGTTTGGGTTTCATTTTCTTGTCCCTCATGGTGGTGGGAACCAAACAAATTACAATTATTGAAATGTGTAACATCATTGCATAATAGCATTTATTACATATTGGCAGATTTCTTTATTTACCACAGTATACTCTTTCCTCATATATGCCTTGGGATACATTTGACTCCAAGAAAGCCATTTGGATTTTCTTTAGCGGAATAATAAATGCACCTCTTTCAATCTGTAGGATCGAGTTGTTTGAGGGTTCTTTGTGGTGGTGTAACAAACTATATGTGCATTCTTGCTTATTACAAGGGGTAGTTACCACACATTTTGCCTAATCTTCCCAGTGTTTAGGATATTAAAATACAGTCCTTATGTGTCAAGTTCAAGATCTTATGAGAGTTTTAGATTTTTAAAAGAATCAGATTTGTGTGTGTTAGAAATAATCCATCAGAAGTGTTGTGGTGGTTATATGGTGTTCAATTCCAGATGAGCCATAGGAATGCATTACATGAAGTAATGCACTGAGTATGTAACACTGTCACCATCTTTGTGATTGTATTTATGATTTAAAAATGTCAAAAATTGACTGCGCACTGGTGGCTCATGCCTGCTTAGCTACTTAGGGGGCAGAGATCAGGAGGATTGCAGTTTGAAGACAGCCCGGGAAAATAGTTCTCAATACCCTATCTTGAAAATACCTAACACACACACACACACACACAGAGAAAAAAACACTAAAAATTATTAAGCACATGGGTGAGTTATATTCCTAGGTACAGAATTATATTATCTCTGTGAACACTGAATAAGTTTTTTATATTTGGGTTATTATGTTAAACTATCCTAAGATAAATCAATTTCAGCCTACCAAACTACCATTAATGATGCTACATGTATTATTTGCACAAGAAGAACTGCAACTGAATATAGTCAATAATCTAGACATTAAATAAGTTTTATCAAATGGGTTCAGAGAGTGTATTTTATATTCTTATTTCTTCATAACTGATTTTGTTTTTTTGTCTAATTAAGAATCACCAGCTACCAAAGTAAACTTAATGTACTGATTACATAATATATAACTCAATTTCTATCACTTCTTTTTAGCAAATTTACATACTTATTTTGTACTCAGATTTTTAGAAAATCAGATACCCCCCAAAAATAAAAAAAATTAGTGCTGTGCATGGTGGCACATGTCTGTAATCCCAGCCTGGGCTACATAGGGAGACCCTGTCACCAAAAAAAATTTTTAAAAGCTGGAGGTGTGGTTCAAGGGTTAGATCACCTGCCTTGCAAGTGAAAAGCCCTAAGAGCAAACCCCAATGCCCAAAACAAAACAAAAAAAGACTATAAATTAAACAATTGAAATTTAAGGCTCTTGCTTTTCCTTTTTTCTTTTTGGGCAGTACTGGGGTTTGAACTCAGGGCCTCACACTTGCTAGGCAGGTGCTCTAACACTTGAGTCACTCCACCAGCCCTAAGGCTTTTCTTTAAAAGTTGTTGCAACTGCTATAAATCAGAGAACTATGCATCTCTGTGATTCTGTTATCTTTGACACTTCAGTGAATACTGGAATTTTCTGTTACTAAACTGAGGAATTAGAAGTTTATATTCACCTTCGTGGTTCTTGTTACTTTGCTAGGAAATTTCCAACTTGCCCAGATCAGCAACAGTGGAGCTGCTGCTGGTGGATGATGTAACTGTATTGCCTAAGAATGCAACCATCTACAACCACCCTGATGTGAAGGTAAAAGCTTCATAGATCTAGTTAAATGGAATCATGTGGGAGGGAAGGGGATTAAAAAATTAATAGTATGAAAATAAAAAGCTCACGTATGTATTGAAAATCACTGATATGTATATATATTTTATATATATATATATCAAATAATTAGATGCAGTGTCCTTAAGAGTTATCCTTTAGTAATCATATTTTACCTAAATTTTTTAAATTGTTTAATCTCATACTCTCAGATAATTAGAATTTATTTCCTTTGAGTTATTTATAAACTAAAGGGAATGGAATATTGTTTGTCTGATTTTTCCATAGGAAATATTTAGCCTTGTGGAAGGATCTGGTTATTTTTTAGTTAATGGCAGTGAGCAGGATATTGTCACTATCACTTATATGGAAGCAGAAAGCTCTGTTCAGGTAAGTTGTAGAGATATTCCAGATTGAACAATTCAAGTCAAAGTGCATTCTTAAAAGAAAGATTGGAAAAAAATCCATGTGCGTCTAAACTTATTACAAAAGTAACACTTGCCCCTCTTGCCATCTTTAACCTATGTACTTCCTTAACCAAAACTGAGGGTTTTGGTTTTTTGTTGTTTTTTTTTTTTTTTTTCTTTTTCTGTAGCTAACTATAAAACTGGGCAATTTTTGCTTCTGGTTGAACTGAAATAGGTATAGGAGACATCTAATTAGATTTCCATTCAACAAATGTTCAATTTTTTCTTTTTTTTTTAAAGATCATTTTTATAAGTTTTAAAGCACATAATTGTATAGACATTTACATGTGCTATTGATTTTTATACATTGAGTATATGTTGATTTCAGCCAGCATATGACAGTTCAAAATATTAAGCTGACTCCATAGCCAGTATGCCAAAGGATTTGCTTTGTTAATTTACAGTAATAAAAACAATACCTTCTAGGGTTTTTTCCTGGTATTATTGGGGTTTGAAAAAACACCCCAAAATAATGCTTTCTATTAATACATGTATGTATTTCTCTTTCTCCTAAGAGCTCAAAAGAATTTAACTTACCTTAATCGTAGTATTTGTTTTTTAAAATGAAGACTAAGGCACTAGTGCAGACCAAGGATGCAAAAAACATTTTGTTGTTCAGGAGCTGAGGTGGTACAAAGAAGTCAGCTGATGTTTTCTCCCCAACTTGTGATTACAGCATGTATGGACTTGATTTTCTTCATGAAATATTTTCCCTGTTAATAATTAAGAATCTGGATATGTATGTTAGATTCTGCTTAATTAGTAAATACTTGGTAAGGTACATATTTTGCCATGAGCTGCAACATTTTAAGGGTATGGACTATTATATCTGCAACATGTAACCAGACCTTTCAGAATTCCCATCTCAAAGAAAGTAAGATCTGTATTCTTCTTTGGGTGAAAATACTTGCTATGATTATGCCTAGAGCATGTTTGCTTCTTTACCCAGCTACCATTCCTTCCTTCTAGTTGATTCCAGTACACCCTGGATTCCTCACCTTAGAAGTCTATGATCTGTGCTTGGCTTTTTTGGGTCCAGCAACAGCCCACCTCAAGGTGTCAGACATACAAGAGCTGGAGCTTGATCTGATTGATAAGGTGAGAAATGTTTGCATTATCTCAGAAATGAAAGAAGTTTTATTCTCACTCCCCAGCATATCTCTCTCTCTTTATCCTCCTCCATCTCACCTCTTTCTTCTTCTCTCCTTCTCCTCTCTCTCCTTTTTTTTCAGTACTGTAATCCTAGCTACTCAGAAGTTAGCGATCAGGAGGATCGAGGTGCAAAGCCAGCCTGGGCAAATAGTTCCACGAGCCCTTATCTCTTAAAAGAAACCAAACCACATCATAAAAAAGGGCTAGTGAAGTGGGTCAAGGTGTAGGCTCTGAGTTCAAATCCTAGTACTGCAAAAATATTAAAAATAAGGCAGGAGGGGAGAGGGAGGTTATAATGGAGGGAGTGGACTTATTCAAACTACACTGTCCATATATGGAATTATCATAATGAAATCCTCTCATATTGTTAATGTATGCTAATTCAAAAATAAAAAATTTAAAAGGCAAAAGTAAAATAAATGATCAAAAAACTTAAGGTAGTACTCATAGATTAGGTTTATTTGATCAACCGCTAACCAGGAACATTGTCATGAGCAAAAACAGTTTGCCGCTTTCAAAGAGTTAGACTGACCTTGGTGAATGAGATATTACAATCTACCTTTTTTTTCAAACTACTAGGTTGAGATAAGCAAAACTGTGTTAGTGACTGTGAGGGTTCTTGGCTCTTCCAAACGCCCGTTCCAAAATAAATATTTCAGAAATATGGAGCTCAAACTGCAACTGGCATCTGCAATTGTCACTCTGACGTGAGTAGCATTTCAATACTTCTTTCTCCTTATGTTTAATATCATGAGATTCTCCTGGATATATTTCTTGGTTAGCCTCTACTTCGATTATTACAGATTTTCTCCTATCCTTTTTTGTTTCTTTGTCTTTCAGCCATACTTTCTTCCCATATTCAACTCTATACAAAATACCCATTCAAGCTGGGCACTGTGGTACATGCCTATAATTCCAGCACTCATGAGATTGAGGCAGGAGGACTATGAGTTCAAGTTCAGCATGGACTACATAATGAGATGTTGTCTAAAAAAAAAACCAAAATACCAGAGCCAGGCACCTATCTACTCAGGAGGCAGAGATCAGGAGGGTCATAGTTTGAAGGCAGCCCGGGCAAATAGTTCAGTTGACCCCATCTCAAAAAACCCTTCACAAAAATAGGGCTGATAGAGTGGCTCAAGGTAAAGGCTCTGAGTTCAAGCCCCAGTACCACACACACACACACAAAAAAAACCTAGTTAAGGCCCTTAGATGTCGTGTTTGAGGGTAAAATTTGTATGTCATTAATATTTTTATTTTCTGAAATTTCTCTGTATGGTATCTTTTGGGAGTGTTTCAGACTAAAGGACCTTTAAAAATCTGTTGAGAAGAAAAAAAAGAGATAAAATATAAAATAAATAAACAAAACATAAAAGAAAAAAATCTGTTGAGAAGCAGAGGTACTGGTATTCTCTTATGAGAAAAGAAAATACAGGACTTCCAGAAAATCCGCGAATTTAGTATTCACAATTTTGCTGGTCTCTGTCTACATTGCCCTTATTTCTTTTCTACCTTAGAACATGTTTTTTTGTCCCTTGGGAGTTTCCTGCCATTGCCATGAATTTTATCTTGACTGTGGACATTTATTTTTTGGAAATTCCCTCTAATCAGAGTTAATGTAAGCAGAAAATGTTAAGTATCTTGGAAAAATACATTACTGGCCATTCTCAAAACTGAGTTTTTCACATGGTTCTTTGCAGATTAATGGAGGAGCAAGATGAATACTCTGAAAATTATATCCTTCGAGCTCTCACTGTTGGGCAAACCACACTTGTAGCTATTGCCAGAGACAAGATGGGGCGAAAATTCACATCAGCTCCTCGGCAAATTGAAGTAAGGAATAATCTCATTCAAAATTTGTACTTCATCTTATTTAGCATTGTTTATCTTTTCCTATTTAGTTTGCACAAGTTGAAAATCATTTGGCTAAAAAAATGAGTTGTTTCTTATGTTGTTAAAGGATAATTGTTAGAGCCAGGTACAATGACTCATGCCTGTAATCCCAGCTACTTGGGAGACAGAGATTGGGAAGATCAAGGGTTGAGGCCAGGCCAGAGCTTAAGTTAGTAAGATGCGATCTCAATAAAAAAAGCAGGGCGGGGGGGGGGAGATATCTGGGCTCAAGTGGTAGAGTGCCTGCTTAGCAAGCGCAAGGCTCTGAGTTCAAACCACAGTAAACTAACAATAAATAAATAAATAAAAATAGGCATGGCTGCACACCTGTCATCTCAACTACACAGCAAGCATAAGTAAAAGGATCATGGTCCAGGCTGGCCTGAGCAAAAAAAATGTAAGACCCTACCCAAAAATGACCAAAGCTAAAGGGCTGGGGGCATGGCTCAAGTGGTAAAGTACCTGCCTAGCAAGTCTGAAGCCCGGAGTATAAACCCCAGAACTGCTACTTCCCCAGAAGGGATAATTGGTAGTCATGTGTTGATAACTGTTGAGCTGAGTGATGCATGACTGAGAGTTAATTATACTGTTCTCTCTATTTTTATATTTGTTTAAAAGAGAAGGTTAATTGTAAACATAATTTTATTCTTTGCTTTCTTTTTTTCATTATTTATAAACCTAATTTTTTGTTTCGTGGTACTGGGGTTTGAACTCAGGCCTCACGCTGGCTAGGCAGGCACTCTACGCTTGAGCCACCCACCAACCCTTTTTGTGTTGGGTTTTTTTTTTTTTGAGATAGTGTCTCACTTTTTGCCCAGTTGACCTCAAATCACAATTCTCCTGATCTCTGCCTCCTGAGTAGCTAGCATTATAGATGTGAGCCTCTAGTGTTCAGCTGTAAACATAATTTTAACGGTCATTTTTACTCAGGAGATCAATAGTAACTTATTTAAATTTAAAGTTTTTGCTATTGTAAATAAAATAAAAATACATATCTTTGTGTAACTTCTTTGTACATAATTAAGAGTTTTTCTTAGAATAAAATCTTAATGCATCTGTTGACAGACCTGGAGCAGTTACCATCTGCTGCTAAGTTTTCCACTACAGATGAAAGAAAAAAATCATCCTTGCGCTTCCTATTTGTCTGATGTGGCAGCCAAAATTGAATAGAGGAATACAAGGGGAAAACAAAACAAGATCCTAGTGGTTTGTTATGACATTGACTCTAGTTAATCATTGTTGTCCTTTTGGTTTTCCACTTCAAGGTGTTTCCTCCATTCAGACTTGTTCCAGAGAAGATGACACTGATTCCAACTAACATGATGCAGGTGAGCTTTTGTTGTTTTGAAACAGGGTATCCAGATGGCCTCCAACTCTCTATCCTCCTGCCTCAGCTTCCTGAGTGCTACAATTATGGGTGTGTACCATACTTCTTGGCTCAATGATGCAGGTGATCTTAAAGGCAGAAAAATCAGGGTTTTTTTACATAAATTTTTATTGGGAGATATTTGTTATATAGGAGGGGATTCATAGTGACAATTCTGATTAGACTTATATTGTACATTAGTTACATTGCCCCCATTGTTTCTCCCACTCAACTCCCTCCCCACCCACTTAAAGTAATTTCAAGAGGTTTCTTAGTTCTGTTTCATATAGGTATATAAGGTCCATCTATCATATACCATCACCTTAATCTCCATTCACCCTACCTCCTCCCGCTAGTACCCCCAGAAAAATCGATTTTACCTTTCCTTCTTTACACACACACATGCACCTCTCTTCTGTTGTCCTCCTCTTGTGTACTGACTGATACAGGAAAAAAAAATTAGTATTTTTCCATAATCTGTGATATACATGGAACTATCTCTAGGAAGCCTGTGGATCATTTGCAGCACTTCTATTTCTTCTGAATGCATTTGAGTTGATGTAGGATATGCACTTGAGGAAATGGGGGAAGATAAAGAAGTCAAGTTGCTTGGACAAAATGTTGGGAAAAGAGATGTGAATTCTCCCCCACATTCCACTCATTCTCTGGTATATTTAAATTCCAGGTAATGTCAGAAGGTGGCCCTCAGCCCCAATCTATCATTCACTTCTCCATCAGTAATCAGACTGTGGCTATTGTTAATAGGAGGGGGCAAGTTACAGGAAAAGTGGTTGGCACAGCTGTGGTCCATGGCACCATCCAGACAGTAAATGAAGATACTGGCAAAGTCATTGTATTTTCTCAGGTAATAGTTCTTTGCTGTGCTCTGCTTCTATTCTTCCATTTGGGAACCATATTGAGGGGTTATGGAGGGTGATAAGGAAGGTATCAACAGCCAAGGACCATTCTTTTAGTCCCTCTCACCCGGTATTCTCTTAACAAGGCATGAAAAACATCATCTTTAGTAAAAAAAAAAAAAAAACCCAGCGTGCTTGGCATTGTTATAAGACACAGCCATATCCTTAAGGATTTGTGTGTGTGATACCCAGGGCCTCATGCTTGTTAAGCAGGCGCTCTATCGCTTGAGCCACTTCACCAGCCCTTTTTTGTGATGGGTGTTTTCGAGATGGGGTCTCTCAAACTATTTGCCCTGGCTGGCTTCAAACTGCGATCTTCCTGATCTCTGACTCCTGAGTTGCAAGGATTACAGGTGTGAACCACCTGCACCCAGCCTTAAGGAATTTTTTTAAAGAACAAAATCAAACATATCTATGGAGATTTTTTTGTTGTTGCTACCAAAAGCAACACAACAAACTAGTTATCATAAGCATCTCTGACCACCCATAGAAACTCCCTCTAAGCCTAAGCTTGCTCTTCTACCCTGTTGAGCAGGATGAAGTGCAGATTGAAGTTGTTCAGCTAAGAGCTGTTAGGATCCTTGCAGCTGCAACTCGACTCATCACAGCTACTGAGGTCAGTGTGATGACTTTGTTCTGGGTTTGTTATTCTGAGAATGTCAGGTGAACAGAATATATAGCACAATATCACTTTTTCTTTTCAGTTATTTTTTTTGGGGGGGGTACTGGAGTTTGAACTCAGGACCTTGCACTTTCTAGGTAGGTGCTCTATTGCTTGAGCCATACTCCAACTCCACTTTTTTTTTTTCAGATGCCAGTTTATGTCATGGGAGTGACTAGTACCCAAACCCCTTTCTCCTTCAGCAATGCCAACCCTGGGCTCACATTCCATTGGTCCATAAGCAAAAGGGATGTATTGGATCTGGTACCCAGGCATTCAGAGGTATGAATTTATCTGTTTATTGTATTACCTTAGAGATCTTGAGGTTAAATTTTTTCATAACAAATTTTAGACTGATTAACTCACTTTCTAAACTATAGTATTATAACTTGTCTTCTTTTCTTTTGTCTTTGAACTCTGGAAACCTGAAAATCATATGAAGAATCCAAATTTGAGTACTCAGATAATACTATCTGATTTTTACTTTTTTTGCTGTAAAGAACTTACAAAAGTAATCTTTTCTTTAGTATTGCATTTTTGGTATAATGTCATAATATATCTATTAGCATATGACTATATTATTATATATGAGAATCATATTATGAATATAAATATACATGTAGGGTTTATATACATATTTTAATAGGTTCAGACACACATTTGATTATATTCATAATTGTCTTTGTACTGCATTATGGGCAGTTGACATCAAGAAAAATATTACTTGACTATGAATCTTTAAAAAGAAGAAAATTAGAGATAAGGGCAAAGTAGTTTCTGCAGGGTATCGAGGGGGTGGGGGGGAGAGGGAGGGGGTGGAGTGGGTGGTAAGGGAGGGGGTGGGGGCCGGGGGGAGAAATGAGCCAAGCATTGTATGCACATATGAATAATAAAACAATAAAAATTAAAAAAAGAAGAAGAAGGGATGGTGGAGTGACTCAAGTGATAGAGTGCCTGCCTAGCAAGCATGAAGCCCTGAGTTCAAATCCCCCCCAGTACCACCACCATCCCCCCAAAAGAGAAAGATACAGTGGATTGTGGTTATACATGTCTAATACCAGCACTTGAGAGGCTGAGGCAGGAGGATCTCAAGTTAAAGGCCAGCCTGGGCTATACAGCAAGGACCTGTCTCAAAACAAAACAAAACAAACAGGGATATGGAGGGCTGCAGGTGGCAGTGCAGTACCAGTCTGGTTCCTGAGCTTGTCCTACTAAGAGCTAAGGTAGAACTGGATTCCCGTAGTGGGGATGTCAGGCACTATTGGTGCTGAAGGGATGTTATAGCCCTTTTGTTTGGCAGCTGATTCTGGACTGGATGCCTTATATTAATGGCAAATTTAAGAAGGATGAATAATTAAACTGTGGTTCTCTTTGGTATCTCTTGGTGTTGGTTTCTTCCAATTTAGTACCTCCTATGTCTGGAAATTATGGAAGTCTTCAGGATGAACATTGAGGAAATCCACAATACAACTTAACACTTTATGTTTCTGGGGCTGGACGTGTGGCTTATGTAGTAGATAGAGTACTTGCCCAGCAAGTACAAGGCCCTAAGTTTAAACCCTAGTACCATGGCATGGTGGGGGCAGGGGTGTCTTTATGTTTCTCAAAATAGTTCTAATGTGTTTATGCTCATAGCATCAAACTTCACTCCAAAACCTAAAAAAGACAAAGAAAGTTTGATAAGAAACTAGGTAAAAGGCTAGTGGAGTGGCTCAAGTGGTAAAGTGCCTGCTAAGCAAATATGAGTCCCTGAGTTCAAACCCCAGTACTGCCAAGAAAAAAAAGAATGGAACTGTAAAAAAAAAAAAAAAAAGAAAGAAAAGAAACTAGGTAAAGTTTTTCTGTAGCAAATAGCTACCGGATTATTCAAAGTTGTTACCTGATCATCACTCTGATGTAATCCACCCAGGGTGGTCTGAGGAAACCATTAGCCACCTAGGTCTGAGGTATTCCTTAGGAAAAGACACCTGGAAAGGGTACTCAGTAGGTCACAACTCAGTGCCAATAAGAATAAAGAGTTGGAGTTTGATCATGGGAGAGAACCAGAGGTGTTACAAGAGCCAGCTAAAAAGAAAACAGGAAGATTGAATGTGGTTCAAGTGGTGGAATGCCTCCCTAACAAACGTGAGGCCTTGAGTTCAAACCTTAGTATCACAAAAAAAAAAAAAGAAATCTGGAAAAAGTAATAACATTTATTTATAATCTTTCCAAAACTATCCTAATCTATAAGAAAACTATGGTGGTTGAGTTTTCTGTCAGCAACTTCCCAGACCCTGATAATATTTGGAATTGAAGAAGGATGGAACTATAATTAGTTATATAACTAATTAGTTCAACATAGTGATTTTGCTTTTTTCTTAAATAGCCAATAGCGGTTTTGTGAAAGGAAGGAAGGCCTAGTTAGACCTTAGCCTCTGTTCTACTTCTCCCTTCAGCTTTCTTACCTAAAGCATCACTTTTCTCTAGTAAAAAAAAATAATAATAATAATTGAGAGTCGTACAGTGATTTTCTTTTCCTACCTCAGATCCAGCATAGGCAAATTGGTTGATGAAATGGACAATAGGAAAGAAAAGAAAAGAAAAAAGACAGGCACCAGTGGCTCATACCTGTAATCCTAACTACTGTGGTTCAAGGCCAGCCCAGGCAACAAAAAAGTGAGACCCTATCTTGAAAATGCCCAACATAAAAAAAGGGCTGGCAGAGTGGCTCAAGTGGTAGAACACTTGCCTAGCAAGTGCAAGGTCCTGAATTCAAACCCTAGTACCACCAAAAAAAAGAAAAAAGAAATGGACAATATAAAGGTCTCCATGTGAACCAGGAGTGGTAGTACATACCTGTAATTGTAGCAAATGGGAGGCAAAAACAGTAGTGCTAGTTCAAGGTCAGCCAGACAAGCAGAGTGACTCAAAGTGACTCAAATGATAGAGTGCCTGCCTAGCAAGCGTGACATCCTGAGTTCAAACCCCAGTAATGCCAAAAAAAAAAAAAAAAAAGCTGTTTCCAACATACATTTCCTATTTTACAACAAAGAAGGAAGAACACCATATTTATTCATGAATATTTCTTAATCTATCCCTGCACTGTCTAGGTTTTTCTACAGCTTCCAGTAGAGAATAACTTTGCTATGGTTGTCCATACAAAAGCAGCTGGCAGAACCAGTATCAAAGTCACAGTTCGGTGTACAAACAGTTCCTCTGGGCAGTTTGAGGGGAATTTGTTGGAATTGTCTGATGAAGTTCAGATCCTGGTAAGCTCACAAAGCTAAATCTTGTTTCTGTATATCAAAGAAAAGAAAGTTATATTCTTTTGTCATTCATGAAGAGCTTAGTGTGAATAAAGAAGTTTCTACAGAGATTCCTGAAACAGGTTTTCATTTCCCAGATCTTTGTCATTCATAATTGCTCCTGTATAGTATTAACATTGGAACCTTTAGCACATGCCTTCCTTTCAACTCCCACACTGTAAGTACTATAATTACTAGAGAGGGACTTATTTCTGAGCCTCTCCTAATAAAGATATTACAATATAGCCATTTAGATAGACTCACCAGTAGAGAGAAGCATAAAATACAATCCTAACTTCTAGAAAGGTGTAAGAGTGAATGGTGAATTATGAATAGTTTCTACTTATATTCTCAGGTTTTAGCTAAATTAGGTCCCTATTGTTTTGGAATTCAAAAGACAATTACCATTTTTGTGGGGAAAGTGAGTTTCTCTACCTTTGAATTTGGGGCTGATTTTCTCTTTTTCTTTTCCCTTTATTTTGGCTTTGATTGATTCAGTATAAAGAAGAAAGTGCACTTTACTAGAAAGTGGAAGAACTAGATGATGATGACCCTTGTAAATTTAATGTTTAAGGTTTTTAAATATTAATATTTAATATTAAGGTGGGGGGGGTTGGTGGGACTGGGGTTTGAACTCAGGGCTTTGCCCTTGCAAAGCAGGTGCTCTACTGCTTGAGCCATACCTCCAGGCCCTTTTTGGAAGTACTGGGGTTTGCACTCAGGGCCTCACACTTGCTCTACCACTTGAACCACTCTACCAACCCTTATTGCATTGGTTATTTGCAAGATAGGATCTTGCTTTTTGCCTGGGTTGAACTCAATCTACGATGTCTCTCAAGTAGCTAGGATTACAGGCATGAGCCAGAGGCTTCTGGCTCACCATTCCATTTTGCTCTAGTTATTTTGGAGATAGGCTCTCATGAACTGTTTGTCCAAGCTGGCCTTGAACCACGATCCTCCCGATCTCAGCCTCCCAAGTAGCTAGGATTACAGTTGTGAGCTACCCAGTGATATTTGCCCAGCAATATTATAAGTTCTTTGTTCCCAAACTTCATTTCAGGTTACCAGACCTAAAATTAGAAATTTCAATTATTTTATGCCCAAATAATACAGAGGATACAGTAAGCATAAATTTTGCCCTGTGCCCACTGTTTCAGTCAAAAGCAGGATTATTAAGTTATATATTCTAGAATAACTAGGTATGCTTGAAGTATTTGGTTCATTTTTGTAAGGAATAGTCCAGAAAATTTTAAACTAATTAGAAGTCAAACACACTGTTGACTCATAGTTATCATTTACTTTATCCTTTTAAAATTATACTGAAGTCCATGTGACTAAATGTCATAATTTGTCCTTTCCAGAATTGAGAAGAACATTATTTTCTTATTATAGGTCTTTGAAAAACTCCAGCTTTTCCATCCAAAGTGTCAACCTGAGCAGATTCTAATGCCTATGAATTCTCAGCTCAAACTTCATACCAACAGGTAAAGAAAAGGGAGAAAAACTTTAAGTATCTTCAGTAAAAAATTCACAACTGCTCGTTCCTTGAGTAGGTGATTTTTATAACTCCTGAATATTTTTTTTCTTTTTGTTTTTCTGAGCCAGGTTCTCACTTTGTAGCCAAGGTTGGCCTCAAACTCTCAGTCCTTCTGCCTCAGCCCCCCAATGCTAGGATTACAGCCATGTCTGGCTCAAATAATTTTTTTATTTGAAATGAAATCTCATAACATAAAATAGCCATTTTAAAGTGTAAAATTCAGAGGGCTGGAGGTGTGGCTGAAGTGGCAGAGTGCCTGCCTCTCTAGTGTGAGGCCCTGAGTTCAAACTCAACACCGCTCCCCCAAAAATAATTCAAATAAACTATTAAATAATAAAATTCAGCAGTACACGTAAAATATTGTACAACCACCATCCCTGTCTAATTCTAAAACATCTTCATCATTGCCAAAAGAGATTCCATACCAATTAAGTAGTCACACCCCACTGCTCCTCTGCCCCTAGCAACCACTCATCTGCTTTCTGTCTTTATTATTTATTTATTTACTTACTTTTGGCAGTACAGGGATTTGAACTCAGGACATTGCACTTGCTAGGCAGTTGTTTTACCACCTGAGCTATTCCACCAGCCCCCCCCACACACACACACACTTTTTTTTTGCGGTACAGGGGTTTGAACTCAGGGTCTACATCTTCAGCTACTTCACCGGCCCTGTTTTTTGCAATGAGTTTTTTCAAGATAGAGATCTCATGAACTGTTTGCCCAAGCTGTCCTTGAACCACAATCCTGATCTTTTGAATAGCTAGGATTACAGGCGTGAGTCACTGGCACCCAACTTCCCCAGCTTTTTTTGCTTTAATTATTTTTTATTTTTCTACTTTTTTTTTCCCCCACAGTACTGGGGCTTGAACTCGGCTTCACACTTGCTAGGCAGGCGCTCTACCAATTGAGCCACTCCATCAGCCCAAACAAATGGCTTCATCAATCTGTAACTCTACATTATTTTTCTAATAGGGCCTCACCATATATGCTCAAGCCAGCTTGAACCTCAGGCCTCCTATTTATGCTTCCTACATAGCAGGGATGACAGGCACGCATCATAACGCCCAGTTTTCTCATTGGTTGAGATGGGGTCTGGCTAACTTTTTGCCTACACTGGCCTTGATCTCCTGATCTCCACCTCCTGCATAGCTAGGATTACAGATGTGAGCCACTGGGTCTGCCTTTTTTTTGTTAATTTTTGAAACAGGGTCTTGATCTGTAAACCAGATCTGTGGCTTCAATCTCATGATCCTCCTGCCTCAGCCTCCTGAGTGCTAGGATTTACACATGTGCACCACCATGCCTGACCTGCTTTCTGTCTGTATAGTATTAACTATTGCAGACATTTTATATAAATAGAATCATACAGTACAACTTTTTGTGTTGACATCTTTTGGTTAGTATTGTATTTTTGAGGTTCATCCACATTGTAGTATGTCAGAACTTCATTCTTTTCTATGGTTGAATAATTTTCCATTGTATGAATAGATCACATTTTGTGTATCCATTCATCCACTGATGGGCAAAATTATTTTACTTTTTTTTTTTTTTTTTTTGGTGGGCCTAGGGTTTGGCCTCAGGGCTTCAAGTTTGCATAGCAGTCGCTCTGCTGCTTTCAGTCCATTCCTCCAGTCCATAATCATTTCCTGATTATTTTGGAGATAGGATCTTGAGAACTGTTTGTCCAGGCTGGCCTTGAACTATGATAGAATTACAGGTGTGAACCCCAGGCGCCCAGATTTTATTTTACTTTTTAACTGTAATGAATAGTGATGCTGAGCTGGCAGAGTGACTGAAGTGGTAGACTGCCTGCTTAGTAAGTGCAAGGCCCTGAGTTCCCCCAGTACTGCCAAAAAAAAAAGACCCCTCTCCAAAAAATAGTGCTGCTATGAACATTCGTGTACAATATTTGTTTGAAAACCTATTTTCAGTTGGTTTTGGCCAAATTTTTTTTTTTTTTTGCAGTGCCTGAATTTGAACTCAAGGCCTACACCTTGAGCCACTCCTCCAGCCCTTTTTTGTGTTGGATATTTTTGAGATAGGATCTCACAAACTATTTGCCTGGGCAGTTTGAAGCCATTCAAACTGTAATCCTCCTGATCTCTGCCTCCTGAGGACCTAGGATTACAGGCATGAGCCACCAGCACCTGGCTTCCAAATAATTTTTAACAATAAATATGCAATAAGATTTGATTTTTCTTTTTTCCAGAGTGAGGATTGAACTCAATCTCACACTTGCTATGTAGGCACTCCACCACTCAAGCCACATTCCAGCCCTTTTTGCTTTAGTTATTTCTCAGGAAGGGTCTCAAGTTTTTGCCCAGGCTAGGGCCTCCATCCTCCTACTATAACTCCCAAGAAGCTGGTATTGCTGGAGTGCACCATCATACCAGGCGTATTGGTTGAGAGGGAGTCTTGTTAACTTTTTTGCCTGGGCTGACCTTGAACCTCAATCCTCCCAATCCTGCCTCCTGAGTAGCTGGGATTACAGGTGTATACCACCACATCAGGCTTTGGGATTTGATTTTTTCTAATTGTGTTTTTGTTTTTTTCAGTGCTGGGGATCAAACCCAAAGCATTCTAGGCAAATGTTCAACCACTAACCTATACCCCCAGCCTCAGAATTTTGATTTTTAAAGAGAAAAGCTTAACCCAAAGGCAGATTTTTACCTGAGGAACAAATAAACATGCAATATAGATAATGACAAGCAGTTTGTTGGAATACAAACTCCAACAGAAGTCCTGGCAATCTTCACTTCTTTCCCTCTGGTCAGACAGGATACTTGCTCCATTTGTTTCCTAGGGAAGGAGCTGCCTTTGTGAGTTCCCGTGTTCTCAGGTGTTTTCCTAACTCATCTGTTATTGAAGAGGATGGTGAAGGGCTCCTGAAAGCTGGTTCCATTGCAGGTACTGCTGTGTTGGAAGTCACTTCTATAGAGCCCTTTGGAGTCAACCAAACAACCATAACTGGGGTCCAGGTGAGTTCAGGGACCTACTCAAATAAATAAGAGGGGGCTGGAGGTGTAACTTAGTGGTAGAGTACTTGCCGAGCATATACAAGACCCTGGGTTTGATCCCCAGCATCACACACACAAACGACAAAGAAACAAATAAGTAAGAAAAAGGAAGCCAGGCATGGTAGTTCAAGCCAATAATCTTAGTTACTTGGGAGGTAGAGATTGGGAGGATTTTGGTTCGAGGCCAGCCCCAGCAAAAAAAATTAGACCCCCATTTCAGCCAATGGCTGGGAGTGGTGACATGTACCTGTCATTCCCACAAACAGATGGATCAGGGTCCAAGCCGGCCCAGGCATAATGCAAGACCCTATATCAGAAATAACCAGTGGCTCATGTCTATAATCCTAGCTACTTGGGAGGCTGAAATCAGGAGGATCACAGTTCAAGACCAGCCTGGGCAAATAGTTCATGAGGCTCCTCCATTTCAAAATAAGCAGAGCAAAAGTGAACTGGACATGTGGGTCAAGTAGCAAGATCCCACTCAAAAAATGCATAAAAACTGGGTTCTGGTAGATTGAGGTTTGAAGCCAGCCCAGGCAAATAGTTCACAAAATACTATCTTGAAAAAACCCATTACAAAAATAGGGCTGGTGGAGTGGCTTGAGATGTAGGCCCTGAGTTCAAACCCCAGTAACACACACACACACACCACCTCCCCCCCCCCAAAGCAGGGCTGGTGGAGTGACTCAGATGGTGAGAGAACTTGCCTAGGAAGAATGAGGCCCTGAGTTCAATCTCCAGTACCACCTATATAGAAAGCAAAAACTGCTGAGGGCATAACTCAAATGGCAGAGCATCTTCAGGTGCAAAGCCCTGAGTTCAAACCCCAGTATCAACACACTCCCCACCAAAAAAGAAGTTCAGCTTCTCTTCACCTCCCACAGTTTTATTAATAGTCATTTCCTGTGTTGTTGTCATATTTCTTTGTCATCTCAAATCAAAGGCTATTGCCTATAGGAGAGGAATATCACTCCATTTTTATCAGATTATGTACCTTATGGTAGCAGTTCTTTTCCAGTGCATCCTTCTTTGTACTAGTAGTTCTATCTCCCACAGGTAGCACCAGTGACATACCTGCGAATGAGCAGCCATCCCAAGCTATACACAGCCCAAGGAAGGACCCTATCAGCCTTTCCCTTGGGCATGTCGCTCACCTTCATTGTTCAGTTTTATAATAGCATTGGAGAGAAATTCCACACTCACAATACTCAGCTTTTTCTGGCTCTGAACAGGTATGGAAGTCAAAGGAATGTTGTTGACATTGTGGTAGATATCTTACAGGTTAGGTTAGTATTATGTAACAGCTCACATTTTGAACTTGGAATATGATCTCTATTTCTTTTGCTAAAATTGGGGAGTAAAGACAAAAAGTACAAGAAAAAAAAAAAGAAAGAACTGGGCAAGGTGGCACTTGCCTATAATCCTAGCACTTGGGAGGTGGAGGCAGGAGGATCACAAGCTCAAGAGTGCCTTCCTAGCAAGTGTGAACCCCTGAGTTCAAGCTCCAGTACCAAAAAAAAAAAAAAAAAAAAAAAAGCAAGCTTTTAAGTCTTAGCCTTACTGGTGAAAACTCACTACCATTGTTCTCATCATAACTGAGGAAGCAAAAGTCTTATTGGGCACTGTATATATGAAGGTAATAGATTGATCCTGGACTTGCAGTTGCTTACTCTTTGTTGAAGAATTCTTTCTGAACTTTAGTTTTTGAGATAGGGTCTTGCTGTATAGCCCCAAGTTGGCCTTGAACTCACTCTGTAGCCCACACTGGCATAGAATTTGTGATCTTCCTGCCTTAGCATTACAAGGGTTGGGATTACAAATGTACATCACCACACCTGACTCTCTCTGAACTTTAAATGCTGAATGTAAATGTTGTGATGGGTTCTTTCCCCAAAACTATTTCTCACCTATTGTCTCTTTAGAGATACTGTTTGTTGCTGCTATTTATTTTGTAGTGCTGGGATGGAGCCCAGCTGGCTTGTACATGCTAACCAAAACATTCTTTTCAGAGGTATCTGCCTTTCATGTCTTTTTTCAGGGATGACTTGCTGCTTATTGGACCAGGGAATAAGAACTATACTTACATGGCCCAGGCTGTGAACAAAGGGGTAACACTTGTGGGGCTCTGGGACCGGAGACATCCAGGCATGGCAGATTATATTCCTGTTGCTGTAGAGCATGCCATTGAGCCAGACACCAAGCTTACCTTTGTTGGAGATGTCATCTGCTTCAGTACTCACCTCGTTAACCAACATGGTCTGTATACCCACCCTTTCTCAACCTCACAATTGACAGTGCTAAGGATTCAAAAGCAACTAATCTCTTGGAGGATTTCCCCCCAAGTTATCTACAATTTGAGGGCCTGTCTAAGGAATAAAATACTTTTGAGTGTTTTAATTATTTGAAGGTCATTATGTAGGTTCTCTTTTATTTTGCTGGCATGATATAGGAAGGGGAAACTGACATTCAGGAAATAACTGTCCCTAAAGTTGAGTGTTCTTCCTAGGAAGAGATACCTACATTTTTGAAGATAGAATGGTCTTCAGTGGCCTACTGATTTGAAATTTCAACTTATATCAAAGATTGCAGCCAAGTGCTTTCTCTTGTCTTTTTCTAGGTGAACCTGGGATATGGATGATATCTGCTGACAACATTCTACAGACAGACATTATCACTGGAGTAGGAGTGGCCAGGAGCCCAGGAACTGCAACAATTTTTCATGACATCCCAGGAGTAGTGAAAACATATAGAGAGGTAAGCCTAACAAGTGGGTTGAAGAGACTAGGGTAACTGTTTTCATATATGAGAACACGCATACAGAAAACATATCGTAGGGAAAGAAATACACTCATACAACAGATATAAAGTCATTTAGCAAACTTTACTAGAACATAAACAGGGTTTAGGATTCTTCACCAGAAGGATGACTAATTTGATTTCTGTTTTAAGAGATTACTGTGCTACGTTTTGATTCTAGACATTAGAGGCAAGGGTAAAACTTGAAAAACCATTTAAGAGTCTGTTGCAGTAATCTAGGTGAAGTATGATGGTGGGCCCCACCCACCCACCCACCCCAAAAAAATGGGCCTGGGAATATTGCTCAGTGGTAGAGTGTATGTCTGACATTCATGAGATCCTGGGTTCTACCCCCAGCACTGCAAAAAAGAATCTTTATTTTTTTAGTAGTACCTGGGCTTGAACTCAGGCCCTACACTTTGAGCCACTCCACAGCCCTTTTTTGTAATGGCTTTTTTCAAGATAGGGTCTCATGAACTATTTGCCCAGGGCTGGCTTCAAACCGCAGTCCTCCTGATCTCTGTCTCTTGAGTAGATAGATTACAGACATGAGCCACCAGTGCCCCTCAAAAAGAAATTTTAAAAAAGAATTTGTATATATATATGTATATATATATATTTTTTTTGAAAATGGGACAACAGATTCGAAATGAGTCAGTAGAGAATGAAAATTTGATACAGGAGTAGGGAGATATCTAGCCATCTTAGTACTTAAGATGAGTGAATAGTTGGCTGGAGGCATGGCTCAAGCTATAGAGCACTGCCTAGCAAGCACAAAGCCCTAAGTCCAAACCCCACTATCACCAAAAGAAAAAAAAGATGGGTGAACAGGTGATGGGCTTGACTTTATAAAGCTTTTTTTTAAACCCCTCCCACTTAAATACATGTGTAATATCTTCCTCTGTTTCCCAAGTATTTATTCTTCTTTTCATTCCACACACATAGTAGCTATCATTTTTTGAGTATCTACTATGGGTTTGGCTTCTTTTTTTAATATCCCAATACATCTATAATTTTAATTTCCACAACCTCAATGAAAAAAATTTTCTTTTTTCCTCTTTGTATTTCCAGAAGCCAGCATGATGCCTCCCACATAGCTGGCTCCATTGAGTGTGTGCTAGTTAGTAAATAATTTCTTCTTTCATTGAGCTCTTAATGTAACTCTTGGATTTTAAAGTTCTTGAATATTAAAAAATGAACAGTATTGATACATTTAAATTGAAGGTATTTGGGCAGAAAAGGTCACATCATCTTCTCATTATAATCATTAAAACATTTGCCTTTTGTGTGTGTGTGTGTGTGTGTTATTGGGTTTAAGCTAAGGGCCTTATGCTTGCTAGGCAGGTGCTGTACCAGTTGAGCCATGCTCCTAGCTGCTAACATTTTTTTTGCCTGGGGCCAGCCTCAGACCAAGATTCTCCCACCCAAGCCCTCCCATTTAGCTGGGATGGCAGGTGTGCACCACTACACCTGGCTTATTGATTAAGGTAGAGTCTCGCCAACTTTTAGCCCAGACTAGCTTTTAAACTATGATCCTCTTGATCTCCACCTCCAAGAAACTGGGATTGTAAGTGTGAGCTTCTGCACATGGCAACACTTGCTTTTTATACATAAGTTGTATGATGATAAATTAGGAGAATTTCAACAAATATAAAAATACCTGCATTGAGACAGGAGGATAGTGAGTTTGAAGTCGACCTGGGCTAGTGAGACCCAAGCAAAAAACACAAACAAACAAAAAAACCCACAATGTAAGGCAGAACACTACAAATATATTGAGAAAACAAAATCATTTTTGATGTTTCAGAAAAGATAGAGATTATATTCAAGTAGAAGAACATTTTAAGAGCTTCCTAAGAAAGCTGCCATTGTTTTCAAAGGTTTTTTTTTTTTTTTTTTTTTTTTTTTGGTAGGAATGGGGTTTGAACTTAGGGTTTCACACTTACAAAGCAAGTGCTCTATTGCTTGAGCCACACCTCCAGTCCATTTTGCTATGATTATTTTTGGAGATGGGGTTACAAGAACTAATTGCTTCAAAGGCATTTTAACAGGGACTCATGGAACTGGAAGGTATGTCAAAAGGACTGGACAAAAACTTCTTTCTAGAAAAAATATATTTTCTTCTCAGCCAGGTGCCGGTGGGTCACACCTGTAATTCTAGCTACATGGGAGGCTGAGATCAGGAGGATCACGGTTGGAATCCAGACCAGACACAGTTCTCAATATCCCCATCTCCAAATAACCAGAGTAAAATGGACTAGAGGTGTGGCTCAAGCAGTGGTAGAGTGCCTGCTTTGCAAGCACTGAAGCTGAGTTCAGATCCTAGTCCCACTTAAAAAAAAAAAAAAAAGAATTTTTCTTCTCAAAGGTAAACATTTTGTCTTTTGTGGTTCTCAAACGTGGTCATGGGCTGATGGAGCGGCTGAAGTGGTAGAAAGCCTGCCTAGCAAGTGTAAGGCCCCCAGGAGTGACAAACAAACAAACAAAAAACCATGGTTATGAGAAAGGTCAGTTTGGATTTGTGTGAAACAGATGCTTTTGGTTAAAATAAGTTACAAGGGATGGAAAGGGAGGGAACCAGATTCTCAAAAAACATAGGTACAGATTTTCCTTTGGTTTGCTGGCAGGTAGTAGTCAACGCATCAAGATTAACGCTCAGTTATGACCTCAAGACTTATCTCACCAATACCCCCAATTCAACTGTATTCAAACTCTTCATCACCACTGGCAGAAATGGTCTCAATCTTAAAGGTCAGAAATCTCTTTATAGGTCTGAGTGATTTGTCTTTCCCATCTTCCCATTTATCCCTTTGGATCAGTAACATAAATTTTTTTTTTATTTCAAAGTTGACTCCATCTTAAATAATTCAGATCTAATAGGCCTCAGAAATTGACTGGATTAAGGTTTTTTTGTTTTTGTGGTCTTGGGGATGGAACCCAAGCCTTGCACATGCTAGGCAAGCACTCTGCTATCAAACTACACTCCCAGCTTGGGGTAACTTTTTCAAATAGATTCAATCTCTCCCAGCTTGGGGTAACTTTTTCAAATAGATTCAATCTATCCACTACTTTTTTTTTTCCCTTGGCAGTTCTAGTGTTTGAACTCTGGGCCTTTCACTTGCTAGGCAGGCACTCTACCACTTGAACCACATTGACAGCCCTCTTTTTTTTTGGTTTTTTTTTTTTTAACTTTTTGTACCTTTTTTTATTTTCTCTTTTTGGTTTTGATATAGACTTCACCCTCAATAAATTCAGGGTAAGGTCTAGGAATCAATTACTTTAAAGCTTCCCCAAAACTTAGAATTGTTGGAATAGGTAATATCTGAAATGGTTTTGCTTAGCAGTTTGCCTTGCATTTTTGTTTCTTTTTTGTTCTCTATTAGCCTATGATTTACTGCATGCCAGGCATGGTGGCAAACACCTGTAATCTCTGCACTTGGGAAAACATCTTGGGCTACCTAGGGAGTTTCAGGCCAGTTGTGTAACATAGTAAGACCCTGTCTCAAAAAAACAAAAAGCAAATAGTAAAGGTGGGTGAGAAGGAAGAAAACTAAAATAAAGAACCTCCTAATCTGGGTATGGTAGAACATGCCTGTAATCCCAGCACTGGGGAGGGTCAAGTAGGAGGATCCTGAGTTTGATGCCAGCCTGGGCTATACAGCAAGACACTATCAAAAACAAACAAAAATTTCCTAATAGATTCTTCCTCAGAATCCTCTAAAACCACAGTTTATTGAGAAACTTCCTGCATCAGTCCTAATGATGTTGCTGATAGTTTTTAAGTGATCACAATAGTCACTGCACTGCAGGCAATGCTTCAATAGACTGAAACCATTCAGAAACTGCAAGGGCAAATCTCGTTAACAGGACACTAGTTTCAATTTAAACTAGAAGAATGCCACCCATTGCAGCTGACTCAACCATGGTGTCACTGAACTTCTTCTTGGGTATGTAGCTCCTCTTCAGCCATCACTTGTGAAGTCCTAGGGATTTTGGCTTAAATCATATTGCATGGGTTATGGAAGGTGGCACAAGCCTATAATCCTAGCTACTTGGGTGAGATTAGAATCACAGTTTAAGGCCAAGCCCAGGCAAACAGTTGAGACCCCCATCTCCAAAATAACCACAGAAAAATGGACTGGAGGCATGGCTCAAGTGGTAGAGTGCCTGCTCTGTAAATGCAAAGGCCAGATTTCAAACCCCAGTCCCACCAAAAAGAAAAATTAGCAGAGGCAAATGTCTTATTCTTTCACCTTGATTGCAGCAAAGCTGGGCAAACCAGCCAGCACTGACTCTCTGCCTCCCATCCCCCAAAATATATTGGGGTCTTTTTTTTTTTTTTTTTTTTTTACAGTAATAAGTGCTTAAATTCAGGGCTTACACCTTGAGCCAGTCTACCAGACCTTTTTTTGAGGGGGAGGGAGGGAAAGGGCTTTTTGGAGATAGGGTCTCATGAACTATCTACCAGGGCTGGCTTCCAACAACAATCCTCCTGATCTCTGCCTCCTGAGTAGCTAGGATTACAGGTGTGAGCCACCTGTGCCCAGCTATACTAGGGTCTTGAACTTGGGCCTCATACTTTCTATGTAGGCGCTCTAGCACATGAGTCATGCTCAGTCCTTTTTTGCTTGTTTTTTGGATAGGATAATTTTCTCCAGGGCCACTGGTCCTACCTTCTGCCTCCTAAGTAGCATGGTGCCTGGCCCCCTTTTACACATTTCTGTTATTTACGTCTCTGCTTCTTAGGATCCTGCACCCCAAATCAGGCTTTGGCAATTACAAAAGTACTTCTTCCAGAGACCCTCATGCTGTGCCATGTACAGTTCAGTAATACTTTGCTAGACATTCCAGCAAGTAAAGTCTTTCATGTCCACTCAGATTTCAGCATGGAGAAAGGTAAGGTTCAGCAGTTGAAATTTTCCCTCTTGTGTTATTTGTACAATTGTTACTTTATTGGATTCTATTTATAATTTTTTTTTTTTTTTGTGGTACTGGGGTCTGAACTGAGGGTCTACGTTTGAGTCAACCCTTTTCTGTGATGGGTTTTTTCAAGGTAGTATTTCACCAACTATTTGCCCTGGCTGGTTTCAAACCACAATCCTCCTGATTTCTGCCTCCTGAGTAGCTAGGATTATAGGCATGAGCCACCTGTGCCCAGCTTTATACTTTCGTTTTATCTGGCATCCCAGAAATTATAATAGCATACCCTGTGCTATTATAATTGGCTATTTTTTTTGTTAGTCACCATTTTCTGAGGGTCTGCAACATGTCTCATTCATCTTTTGACCCCAGCATGCAGCAGTATATGAATGTTTTTGAACTGAAGGATATTGCATCAAGTGGAATGTTAAAAGAGACATAACATTGGGATGACTTGATATAAATCAACCTAATGAAAGGATTCATGTCAAATGTAAGGCATCAACAAGATACTGCTACATTATAGGAGCCTCTAATCCTACATTATGTAGTAATGGTAAGAGTAAAGAGCAACCAAGTTCACTCAGCAAACTGATGAGCACTGAATGAATGTCTAGTACCAAGACAGAAACTACAGTTAATACTAAAGCTTTTGGGTTTTTTTTTTTACTATTTACCACTGATTGTACCTCAGTGGTAGAGCATTTGCCTAGCATGTGAAACCCACAGACAAGTGATTAAAACATGCTCAAAAAGCTTGTCTTCACTGGGTGGTGGTGACTCATGCTAGCTACTTGGAAGGCTGAGATTGGAAAGATCTTGATTTGAGCCCAGCCAGGGCAAATAGTTTGTGATACCCCTTCCCCAAAACAACCAGAGCAAAATGGACTTGGAAGTATGGCTCAGGTAGTAGAGAATCTGCTTTGCAAACTTCAAATCAAAACTTGTTCAAACCCCAGTCCCATGAGGAAAATTCATTCTTTTCCTTTAATTGCCCTGCTTGTGTGACATTCCTAGGTATGTTCACTTACCATTGACAGTTTTCTTAGATAGCAAATTCCGATGTGGTTTCCCTGGGGAGCTGTTTTTCTTCAGTTATCTGTCTCATGGTGACTACTAGTAAACTTTTTATTTTTCTCTTCTGAATGTACCATGTTGCCATTTTTCCTGAGTCTCTGGGCCTTCCAGCTCAATTTTTTCTTCTTTTCAGGGGTTTATGTCTGCTTAATCGAAGCTCGTCAACAGCCAGAAGAGTTGCTCCAGGCCCTCAGTATGGCTGACACCTCAGTCTATGGGTGGGCCACACTGGTCAGTGAGCGTAACAAGAATGGAATGCAAAGAATCCTCATTCCTTTCATCCCAGCCTTTTACATTAACCAGTCAGAATTGGTTCTTAACCACAAAGACATTGGGGAGATAAGAGTACTAGGAGTTGATAGAGTTCTTGAGAACCTAGAGGTATGTTAATGTCTGAACAAAGAAAAACGGTATGGGATTTTTTCATTCTCATTCCAAGAGTGAAGGAAATTACTGGGTGACCAAATAACCACCATAGGAATTTCTTAAATGGGAAGATGAAAACCTGTCCTGTCACAATCTAGGTAGTCTGGACATAAACATTAGTGCTACTTTTTTAAACAATGTCTAGAATTCTTTTTTTCTGGTCTACTATGTAGTCTTTCAGCTCATTTTCTCCCTTGATCCTTTAATATAAGGGGTGAACAAGTAAATGATTTAGTGTCAGCTAGCTAGAAACCCTGATCTTGACAATTCTTGTACCATATGTTTAAGATTGTTAACATACTGATACAACACTGATTTTTCTTCTTTCAAATAAGTGCTATTTTTTTCTTTTCTTTCTCCAAGGTCTTCCCCAGCTCTCCATTTCTAGTGGTCTCTGCCCATAGGCACTCTCCCTTCACGCCTGGCCTGGCTATCTACCCAGTAAGGGTGGTCAACATCACTGCCTTCCAGCAGATGCAATCACCTGTTTTCATTAATATTTCCTGTGCACTCACCAGTCAAAGTGAGGCTGTAGTAGTGAGGGCTATGGACAAGTCTGGTGCAGGTGAGCATTGGGGAGGGGGAAGGTCCTGTTTTTAATCTAGAGGGAAAGAAAATACAATGTCCATTAATAATTCTGTTAATGGGAAACATTCAGCCATTTGACCAAGATTACTCAAATGTAAATTACCTTCCATTCAGATCTACCCAAAATATAACCTTTTCTTTGCCATACTAGGGTATGAGCTCTACCACTTGAGCCACTCCATCCACCCAAATGGCTGGGTTTTGAGGGCCTATTTTTTTGAGTCCAGGCTGGCCTCAAACTTGCTATCTTCTTGTCTCTGGTATGCTGGGATTACAGATGTGCACCCCAGGTCCAGGACAACTAGACACTATTACGTTTTCAAATGAAACATCTGCTTTGGATGTGGTATGAAAGTAACAATGCTCTTGTCGTGTTATGGCCAATTCACAGTTCAATGTGAAGATTCAGGTGTCTTCAAGCGGTTCATTGGTTCTTACCAGATCCTCCTCTTTACCCTTTTTGTGGTGTTGGCATCAACAGCTTTCATCGTTCTAGGTAAGGAGTCCTTATGTTCTGCATGAACTTTTGACTTGCAAAGTGCCTTTTTAGTTCACAAACTAAATGAAGATGAAAATTAGCTATTTGTTGCATCTAATTTGTAACAAGTAGTTGACACTGAGTTAGCCTCCCCAGCCCAATCACCTAGTGGGTTAGCAATAAACTAGATGTGGCAAACTAAGAACATCCCAAGTGGAAATCACTGCTCAACTTTGATGTAACAAGTATCTTTGTTCCAATTCATAACTAAGGATTCAATACAACCTATCACTATTTTCTATGCAACATGTTTTCGCCTATCCTTTAGCCAAAAGTTGCAAGGAAATCTCTAAAATGGGCAAAATTGCTGGGCACTTGTGGCTCACGCCTATAATCCTAGCTAGTCAGGAATTGGAGCTCAAGAAGATTGTGGTTCAAAGCCAGCCCTGGCTTATAAAAACCCCATTTCACAAGATACATAGGGCTGGCAGAGTATCTCAAGGTGAAGGCCCTAGTTCAAGTCCCAGTACCATAAAAAAAAAAAAAAGCCTATTTTGTTTAGCTTATAGCAAATAGCAAGCATTTCCAGTAAATCGAAAAATAGCACTCAAGAAATCCTAGAAGAGGGCAAAATTAAGATAAACAAAAATTTCCTATAGTAGTGTATTAAAAATAATGTTTGTCCCTTAGTATATGTGGGTGATTGGTTCTGGAATCCCTTTCAGGACACCTAAAATCCCAACACCCAAGTATACTGTGTAACATGGCATTTCCATTTAATCTAAGCACATTCTCTCATATGCTTTAAATTACCTCTAGATTACTTAAAAATGCCTAAAGCAATGTAAATGCCACACAGTTGTTGCACTGCTCAGGGGATGACAAGGAGAAAAATTACTATGGATCATTCTTTTTTTTTTTTTTTTTTTTTTTTTAGTATTTTCAACCCTCAAATGAATCCATGGACAGGACATACTGATATCTGAAGCACCTTTTATAGCAACACTTATAACTGATTTTTTTTAGTTGACCTTACTCATTAACGCCTTCAATGAATTGAAATCATATTAACCCATTTTTGTGACATCTCCCTTTTCCAGCATACAATGTCTTCCTAAACAAAATACAGACTGTTCCAGTTGTTTATGTACCAACTATAGGATCATCACAGCCAGGTAATGAACCATTGCCTTCATCTTTGAGAGTCTCAGATACGCATTTGCTCAATCCCTCATCATTTCTCTTTTACCTTCTAGGTTATTATACTGCTACATGTTCTCCCCCTCCCTACATGAGTCCACAAACCCCAGTGGCCCAGAGTCGGTTACAACATTGGTTATGGAGTATAAAGCATTAACATAACTTGGCTAGGTCTCCCTTATATAGGGGAATCTTGATTTCTAGTTCTAGACAAGGAGGAACCCAGCAGCAAACTCTACACTAAGCCTCCAAAGCAAAGCTTCTTAGAACTATAAATAAAGGATCTTGAACAGTTTGTTTTTGATTAAGTCATTTCTTTTAATACTAACAAAACATAAGCGGAAGTAAAAATTCCATTTATATATAGCATCCCAATTTCTAAATCAAGCTCAAGATTTACCAAATGAGCCTATGTGGATATAATGTCCTAAACGGACGTTTTAAAAACTTGGCCACTTACTGCCCCAAATGTCTCTTAGTGCTCCACTCTTCTGAATAGTCGAGGATGGAACTTCCTAGCAGTTAAACAAGACAAACACTATATATCCAAAATGTATTTATTGGGATGGTTTTGATTTCCCACTCATCTTGATTCAGGGTGCTTTTAATGCTGCTTCCTTCTGAAGGAACATCCTGGAAGAGAAAGTTTAGAAGGTTACCTGACATCAACCTTCCTATTCTGCCCACTCCCCCACCCCCATAAAACTAGCAGATGCCTAGTGATCCATCCCCAGAAAGCTTTAGTCTATTTGAAGCTCATTTATCAAAATCAGTCTGCCCTATCTTTGAGATTAATTCGTTTTCTGACAATACCTACTTTAAAAAAAAAAGAGAAACTAGGATCTGGTCCTCTTTACAAGTCAGTCTGGAAGTTCACATTATGCATGATCCCTCTTACCTCAAAACCAAAAAGCACCATTTAAATTATTTACCTTCTGTAAGCCTTGCTTTTCCTCCTGTGGGCTGGCAGAGGACAGTGGAGCAACCAACACACAAAACTACCGTTTGTGCATGGCTAAAAACGGTGGTGATTTTATAGCATCCTGGAAAATAAAACCAAGTTAAGAAACAAAGGGTTGCCGGGCACCTGTCATCCTAGCTTCTGGGGAGGCAGAGATCAGAAGGAACGCGGTTTGAAGCCTGCCAGGGGAAATAGCTCTCAGATGCTCTCTCTCTCTCTCAAAAAAAAAAAAACTCATTACACACACACAAAAGGGTTAGTGGAGTGGCTCAAGGTGAAGGCCCTGAGTTCAAACTCGAGAACCGCAAAAAATAAATAGCAAAGGATTTACGTTTTTTCCAGTATTACTCCCCCATTCTTATTCTTTGCTTAACCCAACTCATCATTCCATTAATGTTTCCTGACACAGAAGTACCCTGTGGACCCTCTGTGTGGAATTTTGATGGACCACTGCAATACCCGCCAACCACATACATTTGAGACATAGCTCTATCCGTTTTACAAATTTAAACTGGGGCTGCCGAGTTCCTTTAGGGGCAGGGCACAGCTCACACTAACTTTTACCATCTATCTGTTGGATCCCAGAGCTTTCCCCACTCCCGCAAGCCATCTAACCTGGGCACTTCACATCCATGAAGTAGGAATTGGGGCTTTGCACCAGGCGCTTCTTCTTGTGTTTCCTCTTCTCCTCCTCTGGCGAGGGATGAAGAAGATCCTTTGCGAGCTAAGGGGCAGAAATGCAGAGACTTAGCAACGAACGGTGAAGGGGAATGGTGGAAAGCAGCCCCAACTGTCACACACCGGGGGTAATTCGCCCCTCGCTGCCCCTGGTGTCTGCGCAGCTGGGCCGCCATCTTATGTCCTCTCCGCTCCCGTCTATGCGGGTGGCCAGTGGGCCGCTGCGGTTCCTGGAGTTAAGGTCCTAAGAAGTGCGGAGGACAAATGTGGACCCTCTACGCCTGAGGGGAGTGCGTATAGAAGAGCTAGATCTCCGCCGAAACCTGGACCAAGGAACTCACAGGCATGTTCTCGCTAGGAGGTTCTCACCGCCGGAAAGGGGCGGAAGAGGAAATCCTGCTCCTTATATCAGGCATCCTACAGGAAGTGACGCAAGGGTCTTGAGTCGCCATGTTGGGAAGGTCCTGCTTTCCTTTCGTCTGCAGTGGGACGAGACGGGGATTGCCATTTTCAGAAGGTCTCTAAATGATAGTCATGTCACAAATGTATCGCCATGTTCTGAGAGAGCTTTCTATCTTGAGTTGAGCTTTTAGTTGCTGTCAAGCGATAAATGGACACTTTAAATTTTCGCTACACTTTGACAGCCGGAGCCTAGTAAATAAGGAAACACCAGTGAGATTGAGCCATATCTAAGACTTCTTTTTCAATTATCAATGTATTTTTTACTATTTTTCAGTTTATCTATATTTAACAATTTTGGATTAAAATACATTTTTTTAATGTGTGTGTGGAGGGGGAGGCTTTGCATTTGCAAAACAAGTACTCTACCCCTTTAGGAACACCTCCAGTCCATTTTGCTCTGGTTATTTTGGAGATCAGGTCTCTCCAGCTCTTTGCCCCGGGCCTTGAACCTTGATCTTCCCAATCTCAGCCTCCTAAGTAGCTAGTATTTCAGGCCTGAGCACCAGAGTCCAACTAAAAATATATAGATCGATTGATAGATTTTTTTAAAATTTCAGCATTGAAATTTTTTGGGGGGCAGGGGGCACTTGGGTTTGAACTCAGGGCCTCAAACTTGCTAGGCTGGCACTCTTACTACATTTTTTTTTTTTTTGTGATGGGATTTTTGAGTTAGGGTCTTGTGAACTGTTTGCCCAGGCCTGGCTTTCAACTACAGTTCTCCTGATCTCTGCCTCCCAAATAGCTAGGACACAGACATGAGCCATCAGTAGCTGGCTTGAATATATAAATATATATTTGTCCTTTCTCTTTTTTGATGCTGGGATTGAACCCAGGGCCTCATGCAGGCTAGGGAAGCGCTCTACCACTGAGCTACATCCCAGCTCTATTCTTTTTGTTATTGTTGGGACTGGGTTTGAACCTCAGGGTTTTGTGCTTTACCACTTGAGCCACACCTCCAGCCCCAAAATATAGAAATACACATTTTTTAAAAACAGAAATCCCTCCTCATATTTCACTCAACTTAAACTAACCCTAGTGGTTACCATTGCTAATTCCACGTCCTCCACCTACCTCACCAAGCCCCCCAAGCCCCCTCCCCAAAGAACCCAAGAACTATGTACCACTGAGCTACATCCCTAGCTCCCATCTGATCCTTTGCCTCTGAATAATATTAAAATCAAGCATGTATAAGGTACTTACCATGTGCTTTATTTTTATTGCTTTACTTGTGTTATTAATCATAATTCTATTGGGTTGATCTCTTATTATCCTATTTTGCACATTTTTGTTTGTTTGTTTTTCGTTTTTTTGAGACAGAGTCTCACTATGTAGCCCAGGCTGGCCTTGAGCTCTCCATCTTCGTGAGTGTTGGGAATACAGCATGCACCACCACATCCATCTTCACAGATTTTTACATTGATGCACAAAGAAGTTAAATAAATTGTCCAAGGTTAAGTGAATATGTGTCTATGCTGCTGTGGACAGCTTTACACATATATGTATAGGTCAAGAATCCCTTATTACATCTATAATCCTAGCTACTCAGGAGGCAGAGATCAGGAGGATCATGGTTCAAAGCCAGTTTGAGAGACCCTATCTCAAAACAATCCACCACAGGAAAGGGCTGGTGGAGTGACTCAGGTATAGGCCCTGAGCTCAAACCCCAGTACCACCAGGTGCTGGTGGCTCACTTCTGTAATCTTAGCACGCGCTCTCTTTCACGCGTGCACTTTCTCTCTTTCTCTCTCTCTGTTTATATCAAGTGGTAGTGCCTGCCTAGCAAGCACTAGGCAACTGGAGGCCTGGTGAGTACCAAAGAAGAAAAAGGTTGAGGCAAGGCAGGTAAATTCGAATTCATTCATGGGTGTGGTGATAAAGGTTTAGCAACCAATTCTCTGAAGGGAAGCTCTGTCATTTGTAGTGTTTCCTAATCTAAGTGATGTGAATACTCCCACCATGGCTAATTTCAAACTGCCAAAGTGGCATTATTGAACATGGAATTGTTAAGAGGTACAAAATCTAGTCTTACGAGTCAGAAAGAAATAATTCCAGAATGCTACTGGTGGGCCAGAAAAACTTCTGAGGAAGTGACATTTAGGCTGAAATCTGAAAAATGGGTAGTGGACCATGCAACAGTCCTGGAGGAATGAGTATTCTAGACTGAAGGAAGAACTTGTGAATGTAAAACCCAGGCTAGAATGAACCTGGCATAATTGAAGGAGTAAAAGTTAGTCATGTTCCAGGCTTTGAGAGCTAAGGGGAGGGTACTTGAGACAAAGTTCTAATGACAACAGGTGTATAACAGCTTAAGTCACAGAAAGGTGAACAAAAAAATAATACATTGCTGGGAATTAAAAATTCAAACCCAAGCCAGGTGCTGGTGACCCACACCTATAATCCTCGCTACTTGAGAGGCTGAGATTGGGAGGACTGAGGTTTGAGGCCAGCCCTAGCAAATAGTTTGAGAGACCCCATGTCCAAAATAACCAGAGGTGTGGCTCAAGCAGTAGAGCACCTGCTGTGCAAGTGCAAAGCCCTGAATTCAAACCCCAGTCCCAGCCAAAAAAAAAAAAAAAAAAAATCTGGAGCCAAGCAAATTATGATGATAAGAAAAAGAATTTAGGGTCTTTTAAACAATCCATGAAAATTTAAGAGTAATTTAAAGAACAGATATGTGCTGGTTGAGTGGCTTAATGGTAAAGCACCTGCCTAGCAAGCCCTAAACTGAAACCCCAGCACTGCCAAAATAAGTAAAGAGAGAGAGAGAGAGAGAGAGAGAGAGAGAGACAGAGAAAAAGAAAAGCCTATTCAGAATTCTCGATATGAACCCCCCCCCATACAATGAATATATCCTAATAAAAAATTTTAATGAAAGAAAGAATGGAAAGAGAAGAAAGGAGGGAAGGAAGGACAGATGAGACATGGTTTGGTCAGTGAAGAATAATTGAAAGGACTTAATACAAGAAAGGTAATTGAGGCTGGGGATGTAGCTCAGTGGTAGAGTGCTTGACTAGAAAGCTCAAGACTCTGAATACATGAATTCAAACCCTCCCTATTACTGCCAAAAGAGAAAAGGAACTGGGTGCAGTGGTACACACTTGTAGTCTCAGCTACTGGGTAGGCTGAGACCCGGAGGACCTCTTGAGCCCAGGAATTCGAAACTAGGACTTTGGATAGGCAACGCAGAGAAACATAATAAAAAAAAAAAGGCACCAGTGACTCATGCCTGTAATCCCACTTACTTGGGAGGTTGAGATCAGGAAGGTCATGGTTTGAGACCAGCCTGGCAAACAGTTTTAAGACCCCCATCTCCAAAATAACCAGAGCAAAATGAACTGGAGGTGTGGCTCAAGCTGCTTTGCAAGCATGAAGCCCTGAGTTCAAACCACAGCACTGCCAAAAAACGAAATAAAAAAACATGGACATAAGCTAGGTGCGGTGGCTCATGCCTGTAACACCTGTAATCTTAGCTAGCTACTCAGGAATCGAGATTCTAAGCCAACCCAGGCAAATAGTTTGAGAGACCCTATCTAGAAAAAAAAAATCACAAAAAAGGGCAGGCTGAAGGTATAGGCCCTGAGTTCAAACTTCAGTACCACCAAAAAAAAAAGGACATAAGGTGACTAAGAGAAGGGAAGTCACAGAAGATGCCTTCTAACAACCAGTACATTACTGGTTCTACTGATCTACTGTTAGAACAGATTATTTTGAGTAATTTTTCCAAAGATAAGGATAAACTTGATTTTTTTGGTAGTGGTAGAACTGAGTGGTTGAACACAGGGCCTTGTGCTTCCAGCCAACTTGCTTCTTTATAGCCATGGTCTCCAATACTGCAGCATCTCAGTTGCCAAGGCTACATCACAGCCTATTGATAACTGCAAGGTACCAGGATCACTGCCTATTATCAGGGCCATGTTAAAGATCCCAATCTCTGTGTTCCTGAGCTAACTAGCCAAAGAAATCACAAACCAGGTCTCGGAAAGAAAAATAGTTCAATTGAACCCCCAGAATGTGTGTGTGGGGGTGGGGGGTGGGGAGTGGCGTTGTATGTGCTGGAATGTATGTAATTATTTTAATCTGCACCGTGTTCCACTAGAGGGCATAAGAACCCAGCCAATAACTTCCTACTTCTGGGATCCCGCTTTTTTCAAAGGGAGTTGGATTCATAGAACTAAGGGCGTGGAACTCTTAACAGTATTCTAGGACCTTTTAGCTCAGCCTCCAGAAACTATCTAGCTTCCTTGAATAACACCTCCAAGAATTAGCCTCCAATTTTTGTCAGTTTCCAGCGTCATCCCTACCTCCATCCTTAATGACAAAACTTCTCGTCCCCTAATCTCTCTAAAATGCCTCTTCCGAAGGTCGTCTGAGTTCAACCTCTACTTCCCTTCACTTCAGCCTCTCCAGCTGAGAGTAAGAGTCAGGTTCAAAGAGCGGTCCAAGGAGAGGAACAACAGCTAGCAGAAAGCTGCGGGAAGTACTGCGGGAGACAGGCCCGCCTAGGCTGGAAAGGGAAAGGCAAGAGGACTGGGGGCAGACCGGCCTTCACGGGCCGAAAGGGGTGGAGCCGGGAGAAGCACCGCCTCTCCTCTTTCCCGGAGCCTGGGCGGAGAGGGAGGAAAACTTCCTGGCCTGAGCTCAGGCTGCTCTGTCTGCCAGCCCTACAATCCCGCCTACCAGTACCGGGTGCTTCCTACCCCTCCCCCGGCGCCCCCAGTGTTCGCCATGGCCAAAGCCTACGACCACCTCTTCAAGTTGCTGCTGATCGGGGACTCGGGGGTGGGCAAGACTTGTCTGATCATTCGCTTTGCAGAGGACAACTTCAACAACACTTACATCTCCACCATCGGTGAGCCCACTGGCCATATCCCAGACCCCCAACTCCGTTGTGCTCTTATCCTCTGTCTCCTGTATTACTTAGGGACCCTACTTTTCGGAACCTTAAAGAAAGGTTCCTAAACTCCAGTCTCTCAACCTCTGTCTCAGACCCATCCCCCATACTTATCTCTGAATGGTACCCAAACCTCTAACTCTCTGAGGGCTCCAGGTAACTCTTCAGTTGCTGCCAGTCCCTAATTTATGGAACTATCTCCGTAGTCTCACCAAATCCACAGGGATTCTCTTCTTTTCCCTCTAGCTCCTCTTCCCCCACCCCCATTCACCTAGAACTCTCTTGATCCACTCTCCACAATTCTTATATCCCTCGACCCCAACATCTGTCTCCCAATTCTCCTGGCCTCTTTCTGTCCTACTGAGCTTCAGACTTGCCCAATGCATTCACACTCTCCGATCTGGTTCCCAGTTTCCCTCCCCCCGACAGGGTATTGAAAAGGGTGGAACAGGGTGACTGGGTGTGCTGGAGGACTTGTGGTCATGAATATGCAATCTCCTGAGGAGGAAGGTGGAAATGAGTGGACTTTTGGGGTCTCTGAGTCAGCCTGGCGACTCATCCTGCTCTCTGGGGCCCCCAGCAGGCTCAGAGGAGGTGCCCAAGTTTCTACTAAGAACATTGCCTTCCTTCCTTCCCGCATCTTCATCTTCTCTAGCCTGGGAAGAAAAACGGGGCTAATCTCTAGATAAGTCCGATTACAAAGGAAAACTGCCCCTCTCACTCAGTCTCAGAGGAACCCTGTTGCACCTTAGACTTTCTCAGGTCCAAGTCTGGCTCTCAAGTTAATACACAAAGACTGGCATGAGTTGTCTTTTGCCTTACTCTTTACCCTGTAGTGCTAGGATGGTGGGTAGAGTACCAACAGTGAAAGTTCTAAGAAAAGCAAAGGAAAGAAGAATGTGAAAGGGATATTTGGGAGAAGACAGAGTCCAAAGTGTAAGAGTTGTCAGCAGGCACAGACTTAAGCCCTCTGCAGAATTTTCACCACCTTCTCTCCCCCTAAAGATCCATAAAGTCTAAGTAAAAACAGTATGTTTGCTTTACAAATACAACTTTGGGAAAACCTTCCCAATTGTACACTTCCAAGTTACTCCATCAAGTGCCTGCCCTGCAGAATTATTGATGTGTCTCTGGTCTCTCTCACAACACTCTTTTACACACACACACACACACATCTGAACTTCAGTGCACACCTTCCATCTCTAGGAATTGATTTCAAGATCCGTACAGTGGATATAGAGGGGAAGAAGATCAAACTGCAAGTCTGGTAAGTAATCCCCCAGGATACCTAACCACACTTCTCCATTTACCTCCTACAACTCTTTGCTGTTTTCTATTCTGCTTCACTTCTCTCCCTTTCCCTGTGGTTTCTTCTAGTATGTCTCCTGATTTATTTATCTTGCTTACTCAGCGGTTCTTCCATCTTTCTTCCTGCTCTCCCAACCATTTGCAGCTTGTTTGTAACTCTTGCCTCCCCCAGGGCCAAAGCATTCTCTGAACTTGAAAACAAATATCTTCTGAGCTATAATGCGGAAACAGATTCTAAGAAGTTAAAGGGCAAGTAGCAGAATTAAGACTTGACGCCAAGGGTAGTGCTCTCTCTAAATTATGGGGAGCCCAGGAGACCATGTATAGAGGTTTGACCTGACTGTCATAAGGAGCTGGAGACCTGAAGGTGTTTAAGTGCTATGAAGCTTTAGCGGAGGAATTATGAGATGACAGATAAGAGCAGCGGGGGCTCTGGGGAAACACATGGGGAAGGGTCCAAATTCTGGTTCTGTTACTTTCTGCCTGACCTTCATTAGTTATCTAGTCTCTCCAAATCTGTTTCCTCATTTATAGAATGGGGACTAAAATGTGTCTCAGAAACATAAAGTGAGGATTAGATTAAATGATACATACACAGAGTGTTACTTGAACAGTGCTTGGCACAGAGTAAGCATTCAATGATTAAACAAGAAGCATCCTGTTTTGCTGGTGGAGTGGCTCAAGTGGAAGAGCGCCTGCCTTGAAGCTTGAGACCCTGAGTTCAAACCCCAGTACTGCCAAAAAAAAAAAAAAAAAAAAATGAAATCTCCTGTTTCTTGAGCTTTTATCATCTCAATAGCAACCCAACTGTTTTTCATCCCTTTTCCCCTTTACTGCTTCTTCCTGATTCTGTTCCTTTCAGCCTCACCATGTTGCAGAAGCTAAATTCTTAGGGTGGGAATTCTCCCCTTGGAGATTCCTTCCTTCTATGACAGCCCATGAAACCTTCTTCTTCAGGGACACGGCTGGCCAAGAGCGATTCAAGACAATAACTACCGCCTATTACCGTGGAGCCATGGTATGACATGTGGTTCTGGACAAGGGCTGAGGGTATGGGACAACAGAATGTAGTTTTATGAGTACAAAGGGTCAGGGGTTGGGGCAGAGAAAAATGAGGACAACATAGTGAAGGTTGCAGAGAGCCCACATGGCCTATGTTTAGACTTGCAGAGTCACTTAGAGGGTAGTGGGAAGCCTGCTACCTTCTAGGTAGTAGAGGAATGTGGTCTAAGGTAAACTTTGCCACCCCTCAGGGCATTATCCTAGTATACGACATCACAGATGAAAAATCCTTTGAGAATATTCAGAACTGGATGAAAAGCATCAAAGAGGTGAGAACCCTCCAAAAGAGATGGGAGACCTGAGTAGACCTTGGAGGAGGAAGGGGCCTGTAAGGATGGGCAGGCCCCAACTTTTACTTGTTTTACTCTGTGTTCCCAGAATGCTTCAGCTGGGGTAGAGCGCCTCCTGCTGGGGAACAAGTGTGACATGGAGGCCAAAAGGAAGGTGCAGAAGGAGCAGGCTGATAAGGTGAGGGCCAGGGTGGGCAATGTTTCACACCTGGACTGGAAGTACCAATGTGATGGCAAATTTCAGAGAACTTTGCTACTTCCCTTTACCAACTCTCTCCTTCTCACTTCACCCCCTACAGCTGGCTCGAGAGCATGGAATCCGATTTTTTGAGACAAGTGCCAAATCCAGTATGAATGTGGATGAGGTGAGATCTGCACCGCCCCCCCACGACATAAAATATTAAAAGATAGATTTATCCTCCCCTCCAATCCATTCTTTAATTTTTGTTTTTGAATTTCTTTTTTCTTTTTGGCCGTTCTGGGGTTTGAGTTCAGGGCCTCATGCTTACTAGGCAGGTGTGCTACCATTTGAGTCACTTCATCAGCTCTAATCTCCCCTTTAGGCGTTCAGTTCTCTGGCTCGGGACATCTTGCTCAAGTCAGGAGGCCGGAGATCGGTGAGTTGGTTCTGCTGGGCTTGTTACCACTAACTGTGTGCAGAGGGTAAAAACTGAGGAGGGTACCAATGCTAAGATTTCCTATGAGAGTGGGTCAACTTCAGTTTATAGCTTCATACCTCAACCAGCCCTTCGAATCCTGACCCCTGTACCTTTCTCACTCTAGGGAAACAGCAACAAGCCATCCAGCACTGACCTGAAAACCTGTGACAAGAAGAACACCAACAAGTGCAACCTAGGCTGAGGACCCTTTTCTTACCTCCCCACCCTAAGCCTGGGAGATAAAACTGAGGGAGACAGGACTGAGGGGCTGCCCATGGGGAGAAATAGTGGTAGAACTTGAAGGAATAAGTGAGTAGGTGATAAGGAGAATGAGGAGAAAATGGAGAAGAAAAAAAGAAGGTTGAAAAGAGGAGCAGGGGCAGGGAGAAAGGAGGGGAAGAATCAAGGAAGTGAAAGAAAGTGAGGAGGTAGAACAAGAGAGAGGAGGGAAGAGAGGATAGATAGTCTCAGGTTTTGGGCCTTCCCTGGCTTTTCAGGTCAAACATTAATGTAAATATATTGATTTCTTCTGTTACTAGATCAGGTTTTAGGTTCCTGAGAGAGGCTGGCTCAGCACCCATCTCTGAAGGTTTGTCACTTTATATGGTCTTTCTCAATATTAAAGGCCACTGTTTGCACAAATGTCCCCCATTTGGGTAACTTTCATTATTATCAGAATTGCTCTATACACAAATCAAATTCTTTTTTTTTTTCTTTTTTTGGCAATACTGGAGTTTGAACTCAGGGTCTTCCGTTTGCTAGGCAGGAACTTTACTACTTGAGTTACACTCCCAGCCCTCAAACCCAATTCTTTTTTTTTTTTTTTTTTTTTTGGTACTGGGGCTTGAACTCAGGGCCTACACCTTGAGCCGCTCACTCCATTAGCCTTTTTTTGTGATTTTTTTTTTTTGAGATAGGGTGTCACAAACTATTTGCCCAGGCTGGCTTTGAACTTCAGTCCTCCTGATCTTTGCCTCCTGAGTAGCTAGGATTATAGGTGTGAGCCACCAACACCCAGCTTTTTATGGGTGGGGGTTGTACTGGGGCATGAACTCAAGACCTCACGCTTCCTGGGCAAGCACTGTTACCACTTGAGCCACTCCACCAGCCCTTCTTGTGTTAGTGTTAGGTATTATCAAGATAGGGTCTCACAAACTATTTGTGCATGCTGACTTTGAACTGCAATCCTCCATCTCTGCCTTCTGAGTAGTTAGGATTACAGGCTTGTGCCACCAGCACCCAGCTGTGATGGGCTTTTCAAGATGGGGTTTCACGAACTATTTTCCCAGGCCTGGCTTTGAACTGTGTTCCATCTGATCTCTGCCTCTTGAGTTGCTTGGATTACAAGCTTGAGCCACCAGCACCTGATTCAGATCCAATTCTTGACATTCCAAAATGTTTGGTCCACCTGAGTCTGGCTGGGTATTCCTGTCCCTTCCCCTGATGTTTAATTGGTGACTAAAACAGCAAAGAGCAGGAGGTAGAGTGACCTGAAGGTCTAGACACTCTTTCCTCTCTTGGATCCAGAGGAGTGCTATGGAAAGACAGAGCCTTGTCCTGAGCACAGGTTATTCCAAGAGAGGACTCAAACCTAACCTCCAGGAAACAATAGGACCTCTGATGATTTATCCAGTGATGTGTGAATTTCTTTGAGTCTGCTGTAGTCCATTTAGGTATTTGGTAAGCATTATTATCTACTTTTAGTGGGGAAGAAAATGAGACAGGAGAGATTCATTTATTTATAAATATTTCCTGAGCATCTACTTTGTGATAGGCATAATCTTCAGTGAGTATAGCTTTTGGGTGGTACTTGAAAGCAGTACAATAAGTAACTTGTAACAACAACTGCCTGGCACCAGTGGCTCACACCTATAATCCTAACATTTGGGAGGCTGAGATCATGAGGATCATGGTTCAAGGCCAGTCCAGGCAAATAGTTTGCAAGACCCTCATCTCCAAAATAACCAGAACAGAAGTGGACTAGAGGTGTGGCTTAAGTGGTAGAGTGTCTGCTTTGCAAGTGTGAAGCCCTGAGTTCAAACCCTAGTCCTACCAGAAAAACCAAAAAGCAAAAAGACAAAAAAAATCACAGCACTTAACTCCTGAAAAACAAAGCTAACAAAACTATTGACATGCAAAAGAAAAAACCCATCACAAAAAAGGGCTGGTGGAGTGGCTCAAGGTATAGGCCCTGAGTTCAAGCCCCAGTATTGAAAAAACAAAAAAAAAACAAAAAAATCTGGGCTTTATAAACTACCCCCTTAGCATATATAGCTTTCTAGCTCTCTTGCACTTTTATTCATTTATGCTTTTCTTTTCTTTTCTCTCTCTCTCTCTCGTTGTTTCCCACAGTACTGGGGCTAGACCTCAGGGCCTTATACTTACTAGGCATATTCTCTACCACTTGAGCCACACCCCTAGCCCTTTTTGTTTTGGTTACTTTTTGAATAGGGCCTTGAGGTCATCTTTGAGCTCCCCTCCACTGACCTGTACTGTGATCCTCCTACTTACACCTCCCTTGTAGCTGGGATGATAGGCATGTACCACCATGTCCAGCTTTATTGGTTGAGATGGGATCCTCACAACTTTTTGCCCAGGCTGATCTTGAACTTTGATCTCTGCTTGCCAAGTAGTTGAGATTACAGAAGTGAGCCACTGTGCTAGGCTCACTCTTACTAGATGTAAGGCTTATTTTATTCCTTACAATCTTCTGTAATTTAAGATCCTGCCTATATAAAGCTTGCTTACTGTTCCTAAAGGTTTCAAAGTAGGGATTTATTTATTTATTGAATGTGGTACTAGGGTTTGAACTCAGGGTTTCATGTTTGCTAAGCTCTGCTTAAGACATTCAGCCCCTTAACATTTTTAACACAGAAATATTTACTGGGCACCAGTTCCTTATTCCTGAAATCTTAGTTACTTGGGAGGCTGAGATGGGGAGGACTGAGGTTCAAAGCCAGCTTGGAGAAGTTTATGAGACCCTATCTCCAAAATAACCAAAGCAAAATGGACTGGAGGTGTGGTTCAAGCAGTAGAGTGCCTGCTTTGAAAGCATGAAGCCCTGAAGAAAAATTACCTTAAAGGCTGGCAGAAGCCGGGCGCCTGTAATCCTATCTCCTCAGGAGGTGGAGATCAGGAGGATTTCCATTTGAAGCCAGCCCTGGCAAATAACTCCAGAGACTCTATCTTGAAAAATCCTTCACAAAAAAAGGGCTGGTGGAGTGGCTCAAAGTGAAGGCCCTGAGATCAAGCCCCAGTACCGCAAAAAAAAAAAAAAAAAAAAAAATGGCTGGCAGAGTGGCTCAAGTGGGAGAGCACCTGTGTAGCAAGCAAGAGGCCCTGAGTTCAAACTCCAGTACTGCCAAAAAAAAAAAAATTACCTTAAACTGGATGTATTGCATGTCTGTAATCCCAGCCCTTGGGAACCCTTAGGAGGCTGAGACAGGAAGATTAAGATCCTATCTCAAAACAAAAAACAACCAAAAACCCCACAAAAAAAACAAAAATTAACAACAACAACCAAAAAAAACAAACCCTTACAGGCTTAATCTTTTATTAGGATCAATAAAAAATGTCAGATTTAGTTTTGAAAAAATTTATAATTTGTAACAAATTTTTAAGTTTTACTCACAGAGGGCTGTGCATATAGTTCAGTGGTAGAGTGCCTAGCACATGCAAGGCCCTGGGTTTGATTTCCAGGGTATGTCAGGGGTGAGGGGGACAGACAGAGTCTGTAGTCCATGCTGGTCTCATAGTAGAGATCTCCTGCTTCAGCTTCCTGCTTCAGCTCCCTAGTGCTGGGACTATAGGCATGCACCACTATGCCATGCAAAAAAGGAAGTTTTATTCATGGATATAATATTCAAGGTGATTAAGAAATCCCCATCACAAATACAGGACAGGTGGAGTGGCTCAAGGTGTAAGAGCGCCTGCCGAGCAAGGATGAGGCCCCCAAGTTCAAACCCTATACCACCAAAAAAAACCTTCAGAACTAAGCTCAGCCTTAATTATGTTTCTTTTTTTATAAAACTCCCATTCAATAGTCTTTCTACAGTTTGGGATGTGTAGTTCAGTTGTAGTGTGCTTCCCTAGTATGAGCAAGACCCTGGCTTTGAATACCCAACACCAAAAAAAAAAGTCTTTCTACTATCTGATGATTCCCATTTTTGTTTGAGACAGGGTCTTGCTATATAGCCCAGGCTGGCCTCAAAACCAAGATTTTTCTGTATCAGCCTCCTGAGTGCTGGGATTACAGAGTGCACCACCAAGCCTGGGCCAGATATGCTGTTAATCCAAAAATGAAGTGCCCTTTTGGGCTCTGCCAAAGGGCAATGATAGTGGATTTAAAGCTAGGAAGGCATAGGGGAGAGGAATGGGAGGACACAGAACTGTGGAGCTAACAAGGAAAAAATAAGGAGATAAACCCTTTGCTCTTGAGAGGTAGGATCCACATTATTTTATTTATTTTGCAGTACTAGGGCTTGAACTCAGGGCTTACACCTTGAGCAACTCCACCAGCCCTTTTTGTGAAGGGTTTTTTCAAGATAGGGTCTCCTAAACTACTTGCCCAGGTTGGCTTTGAACCGTGATCCTCCTGATCTCTGCCTCCTGACTAGCCAGAATTAAAGGCCTGAATCACAGGTGCCCAGCTAATTAGATTATTCTACTAGTGTTCATATTTAGATGAGGTTTATTTTAAATACTTCCTTTTCTATCTATCAAGCATCTAACAAAACTAAACTCACATGGTCCCATTTTCTGGGAGGCTGCAGACACATATGTGTGAAACTAGGAGACAAATAAGGGCAGAATTAGGGTAGTTACTAATATATTACCAGATAGTAAAGTGTGACTCCCCCCAGCATGTGGGTCAAGTCCCCACTGTTCTGAGTATATGGAAGGTTTAACTACAGGAGAATGGGAAGCAGGCATGAATCTTTCTCTTTGTCCTGAGAGTTGAACATCTGGGCTGAAGCCTCTTGTCTCCAAGTCTCCCTTGGACAAGTCACTTATGCTTTCTGAGCTTACTCATAAAGCAAGGACAATACTAACTTACTCCTCAGTATTACTGAGGATCAAAATAAACTAACAAATGCGACAAATGTGACACAAATGTGAAGTCGGGCCCAAGCCTGTAATCCTAGCTACTTAGGAGTACTTAGGAGGCAGAGATCAGGAGGATCAAGGTTTGAAGCCAACCCGGGCAAATAGTTTGAGAAACTATCTCAAAAAAACCCATCAGAAAAAAAAAAAAGGCTGGTGGAGTATCTTAAGGTCCTAATCTGCAAACAAAAAAAAGGAAGGAAAGAAGGAAGAAAGAAAAGAAATGTGAAGTCGGGGTTAGGACGTATTTCAGTGAAAGAGAACTTGCCTATCATGGGCGAGACCATGCACCACAAATAAAAAAAAAAAATTAAGTTAGGCAACATTATTGGGAGAGAATACTTTCATAAACATTTCATTTGCAGCTCGCAAAAAATGGTAGAAAATGTACATTAGCATCATCGTTTTATACAAAACACTGGAAACCAGATACTGTCCTAAGCTCCTGAAGCTAGTTAGTACCTAAATCTAATCTCAACCCTTCCTGGAACGTCAAGCCTCGTACTCATTGCACTAGCGATTGTTTCCTTCTGTAGGAGCAACTGGGAGTTGAAAACGTTTGAGGAGGTTATCCAAAGGAACAGCTCTGCGAAGGACTTTAGCAATTAATATGAGGGTATGTGTCACTATTCATCAGTATAGAGCGGAAAAGGAGCCCAAAGAAAGGAGCAAGTTTCGTGTTCGCCCTGTGTCTCGAATATGCCCGCTTTTGCCGGAGGTGAAAAATGCAGTTTTGCCTCCATTCATAGACAACCAACCCAACTTCTCCATCGGGCCATCCGGGGCGGGCATGGGGAAGATGTCAGACTAGAGCTTGATGGTGAACTCCAGGGTTTTAAGGAAAGTCCAAAGTTCTGGCCGGGCAACGTATTGTTCCTTTTCTCGTCTCCTTGGCAAACAGGCGACACTAAGGAATCAGCGAACCAAAACACAAGCACCACAGCCACCTCCTCGGTTAGAGAAAACACTACCCTAGCCGACCACAATTCCGCGGGGCAACCCAACCAATGGGCCGCGTGCTGACGCGCAAACGTAGTGACACCCAGCAAAAGACTACAAATCCCGGCAGGCGACGCTCCACTCGCCTGAGAAGATACGGCGGCACTAACGCAGCATCCCAGGAGTCTCCGCGAGCAAGATGGCCACGCCGGCGGCGGAAGCTTAGGGGAGTGGGTGCTAGGCCCGGGCGTCCCGTGGACCCTTCCTCCAGCACTCTGCACGCCCGTCAGAGGAACTAGCGTTTCTAGCCACAACTCCGTATGGGCTTTTCTCGCTGTAACCATGGGGTCTTCCTGATAGAGCCTTCCCCCTGACAGGGAACTTTGGCATTTCGCCGCTCTGAGCTGGAACCTCCGGGAGGACTGCAAACGGAGGCACGCGGCCAGTCGGGCAGGTCCTTCTGTTCTAACGGGTGGGACACACCGCTCCATGCCTGCGGGCGCGGGGAGGCGTGGCCTCCCCCCAGGTCGCCACCTCTGTTGGTTGCTCTGCGCTTTCACCTTGAAGCTCTGGTAAGGAGGTACTGAGGGAAGGGAAAAGGAGGAGCTGGAGGACCTGACATCCCCGCCCCCCAGGAATAGGGGAGACCTTGTCTTTGGAAATCGGAGGGAGGAGGTGTGCTCTATTTTCTGGATTCTGACTTTTGCCTCTTTCCCTCACCTGCTGCAGCCAAGCAGAGGCTCCCGTGCGGGAGGAGAAACTGTCAGGTGGGTGATTGTCCCGAAACCTGACACCCCCATACTTTTTGGATTTGTTTTGGATATTTTCCACATATACCAACAGCACAGATGGAAAAGGGGGACACACAAGATGGAATGACGGCAAGTGCTGTACTGGGAAGTTGGATAGGTAGAGCCTTTGGGAGAAATGCTTTCTGAATGATCTGAAGCTGGCATTACTCTTTCCCTTTAGTGAGCACCTCAACTTTGCCGTGCTGGCTGGTGGAAGAGTTTGTAGTGGTAGAAGAGTGCACCCCATGTTCTAGTTTCCAGGCTGTGAGTATCTTTCTCTCCCTTTTTGTTCGCATCTAACAGCCCCCAAGGCTCATTAAGCATACCTTTGCATTGTTTTAGGGCTGGGGGAGTGGCTCAATTGGTAGAGCATCTGCTTAGTATTGTCTTTTCCTCTTAGTGTAACCTGAACGTGTCATCCTCCTGAAAATGTGCCTCTTTCTTTCCAATTTAATGATAGTATTCAGCTGTGTTCTGTTCATGTTTTAATATAGTGGGCTCTAGAACCTGCCCTTATTCTCCTAGACTCTTGTCCCCTGAAGTCATCTTTCCAACATACATTCCTAATTGTGCAACCACCACCTCCACCATCCACATAAGAACTCATTAGCTTTTATCTTTTTCTTTTTTGGGGGCAGCTGTAGAGTTTGAACTCAGGGCCTCACGCTTGGTGGTGGGCCTCATGCTTGCTAGGCATGCATTCTTACTACTTGACCCACTCTGCCAGCCCCCCCCCCATTTTTTTGTGATACTGGGGTTTGAACTCAGGGCCTACACCTTGAGGTGCTCCACTAGCCCTTTTTTGTGTTAGGTTTTTTGAGATAGGGTCTCAAGAGCTATTTGCCTGTGCTGGCTTCAAACCATGATCCTCCTGATCTCTGCCTCCTGAGTTGCTAGGATTACAGGCATGAACCACTGGTGCCCAGCTCTGCCAGCCCCTTCATTAGCTTTCCGTTGCCTTCCACTTCTGTCCATAGCAGTTGGGCACCTGCCCCTTCTGGATAGCAGTCTCTGTTTCTCCTGCAACCTCCTCTTCTTCTTTTTTTTTCTTGTAGTACTGGGGTGTGAACTCAGGGCCTACATCTTGAGCTACTCTATCAGCCCTTTTTTGTGTTGGCTATTTTCGAGATAAGGTCTCACAAACTATTTGCCAGGGCTGGCTTCGAACCACGATCCTCCTGATCTCTGCCTCCCGAGTAGGTAGCATTAGTCTTGAGTCATCAGCACCTGACCCTGCAGCCTCTTCTTAACATGAGCTCTGGCCCTTTTCTTCTGGCAGAAAACTACCCCTGAGTGTGGTTCCACAGGGTACGTGGAGAAAATCACATGCAGTTCATCTAAGAAGAATGAATTCAAAAGGTAAGGACCGTTTCTCTTCTTTGAGACTACCTCCTTTCATCCTGTTACTTTAGGAGGATAGTCCTAGCCTTTTCATGGTCTGGGATATTGGAAAGAGTAGGGGATTTGGAGTCAAATTATTTAAACCCAAGTCCTAGGTGTACTATGTTATTGGCCATATTTGCTTATCAAATCAGTTTGGTTAGGAACTGGGGATGTAGCTCAATGGTAGAGTGTGAGGTCCTGTGTTTAATCCCCAGTGTTCCAAAAAACACAAAAATAATAAAATTGTCTGGGCACTAGTGGCTCATGCCTGTAACCCTAGCTACTTGGGAGGCTGAGATTGGGAGGATCATGGTTTAAGGCCAGCCTAGGCAAATAGTTCATGAGAACCCATGCCTCCATCTCCAAAATAACCAGACTGGAGGTGTAGCTCAAGTGGTAGAGTGCTTGCTTTCTTTGTAAGTGTGAACCTTTGAGTGCAAATCCCAGCCTCACCAATAAATAAATAAAGTTGGTTATGCTAGCCCTACTTACCTCACTAGAGACTGTAAAGACATTATGGGGCTAACTCTGGTTTCCTCTTTTACTTTTTGATATTACCTTGGTTAGACCAAAGTAGAGAAAGAGAGACTAAGATAAACTGACTTTCCCTGGAAATAACTCTTCTTTCTTTCCCTCAGCTGCCGCTCAGCTCTGATGGAACAACATTTATTCTGGAAATTTGAAGGGGCTGTGGTGGGTGTGGCCTTGGTCTTTGCTTGCCTTGTCATTATTCGTCAGCGACAACTGGACAGAAAGGCTCTGGAAAAGGTCCGGAAGCAAATTGAGTCCATATAATTACATTCTACCCTATTATCCTGGGTATTATAGACCATATCTCAGACAGAGAAAGAATGGACTGATTTGCCCCCCTGGTTCTTTGGAGCCTGGTGGTGATACTCCCTTTCCCTGTCTTCCTCTTCCAGATCATTAATGAGCACAATAAAGATTAAAATAGTTTCCTTCCCAACAGTAATTTGGTTTGGGGCAAAAAGTCATGGGGAGAAAGGGACTGGGAGAAAAGGGGTGGCAATCTACCAAATATCTATCTTCCTCTTGTTTTACCTATTAAAATTTCTAAGCCTTGCATGGTGGTGTTGTGGCTCAAGTGCTAGACCACCTGGCTAACAGTTGTGAGGCCCTGAGTTCAAACTCTAGTACCACCACCAAAAAAAAAAAAATTCTGGGATATAATCTTAGTTTATTTGTCAGTAAAAACTTGTTTCCCCCTTACTCCTATCCCTAAAGAAGAAATAAAATCATAAACACACAGCAATAGTAATTGAGGTACACTCTTACATAGGCAGACTGGGGCTCAGGATACAGACATTTAGGGTGTCCTGAAGTGATTCAGACCCCTAAGGCAAGACACCTGAGTGGGAATCCCAAGGGGAAGCAGGGCCATAGGGGACCCCTGGATTCCTTACTGTGATTGGGAAGAGGGCAGGAAGATCTCTGTTCCAGCTTACATCTCATCTGCATGGAGCACACTTCTGATGTGCCCACTGGATCCAGGCTTCTCTTCCATCTTCTCTAGCAGTGTCTTTGTTGAGGTGTTTGCACTCTGGGCTCCAGGTGGCTCCCCCAGTTTGGACTCTACTACTGGAGTTTCCAGACTTTCTGTCATGTCCTTGTGAGTCAAGATATTTCTGGAAATCACTATGAAGTGAAAGAAAAAAGTGCAGTAGTAAAGTGTTCCCTTGGGTGGGAGACCCTGGATGACAGGACCTCACACCTTTTTTTTTTTTTTTTTTTTTTTTTTAGTAGTGGGGTTTGAATCATGGCCTCATGCTTGCTAGGGTGGTGTTCTACCACTTTAGCCACTCTGCCAGCCCTTTTTTTTGTGTGTGTTGAGTATTTTCAGAGAACTATTTGCCCAGTCTGGCTTTGAACCACAATCCTCCTCATCTGACTCCTGAGTAGCTAGATTACAGGTGTGAGCCACTGGCATCTGGCTTCTCTCCCACTTCCATTACTGTGCAGAACAAAGCCCCTCTTGCTCATTTCTGCCTTTATGTCTCACCTCCATGAGGCTGGTAATCCTCCGGTCCCACTTCTGGTAGACCTTGAAAAGGACTGAAGCTAGGCAGGATGATGAGAGCCAGGGAAAAAAGAAGGATCTGGAAGAAAGCAAGAGGACATTGGTCTGTGAGGACAATAGGAAGAAGGGAGCAGAGGGCAGAGTGAATGGAGGGTATTTGGGGTTATGAGGATTGGGAAGATAGGTATGGGTGGATAGTAGGGGTATCAGAATGGAAGAATGGTAGAGGATAGTGGAGGTGGGTGAAATGGGAAGTAAACAGCCTAATGATAGTACCGCAACACAAGTGCTGGTCTGGGCAGCTTTGTTGGAGGTTTGAGCAATGAGTGCCTGTAGTTGGCGAAGCTGAGCCACCAAGGAGCTGGCAAAGGAGGAGTGAGGGTTAGTATCTTCTGGGAACCAGTGTCCAGGAATGGTTCCCCTGTGTGCTCTCCTTCCCCGCCCCCAACACACGCTGCTTTTACTCACATGTTATGTCGCTCCAGCTCCTGGACTTTTTTCTGTAGTTCCTGGTTCTGTGCAGAACAGGCTGCCACTCTAGGGGGTGTGGAGAGGCAGAACAAGGCTCACCAATCTGAATCCCTTAATTTGCCTGCCTTGGTGAGGAAGGAGGCCCAACATGGCACACAGGAAGCCAGAAATGTGAGCCTGAACATACCTGCTCTCTAGCCCATCGATGTATTCTTTCTTCCGCCTCCGACTGTCCTGAGCAGACTGCTTGTTACGGATTTTCCTCCTCACCTTCTTAAGGACCCTCTCCTCTGCCTGGAAGCCCAGGGCATCAATCCTGGGCCCTTAACCTCCCACAACTCCTCAGAAGCCATCTTGGGGCCCCTGGGCTGGGACATCCTATGGGGAAGGGTGTTACCTTGGTGAGGGGCAGGTGAGAAGGCAGAGAAACCCCTTCCTGCCCCAGTAGACGCCTCTCCTCATCTGTCAGGAAGAGAGTTTGACAGGGAAGCTGCATGGAGGAGAGGAGGAGAAGATGAGATGGGGGTGGAGAAAGGGTCATCCCCTTTCCAGCATCTAGGCTACTTCTCCATGCCTTCTGGAGAGTGTTGTATACTTGCACTGAGCAATAACTCCAAACTAGGGGGCTGAGGTTTAACTGCAGACAGACTCTGGATCAAGCCAAAGAGATCTGAGGCTGAGAAGGAAGAAAGCATGTGGTTTTGTCATATTTTTGCCAAGACTTGGGACCCTGGAATTCTGATCAAGCCAGGGAAAGGCTGTTCTGGTCTGTATCTCCCCAGACCTTAGGGGCATCTCAAGAGGACTTGGAGGAACTCATTATGGTGAACTTTGCTTAATTACCTTACAGCAGGTAAATGATTCAGCTATTTGATGCAGTATGTTATCCGGTTGCCTGTCACCCACTTCTGGCCCATTCTCCCCTAGGGCCAGAAGTACACTTGTGGCCAAGATTGTCCACTCGCAGACAAGGGCAGTCACACTGAAAAATTTCTTACAGCAAAAGTGTGTGGGGATGGTGGATGGTGTCTGAGCCCACTGACAGACTGAGTAACTTGCCTTCTCACTAGTATTCCTTTTTTTTTTAAAGTAGTATTCCCTTTTGCTTCACTTTGTAACTTAAGAATTTGTAGCCAGGTACCAGTGGCTCACACCTGTAATCCTAGCTACTCAGGAGGCAGAGATCAGGAGGATCACAGTTCAAAGCCAGCCCAGGGAAATCTGTCTCAAAAATCCATCACAAAAATAGGGTTGGTGGAGTGGCTAAAGATGTAGGCCCTGAGTTCAAATCCCAGCACCTCAAAAACAACAACAACAAAAAAAAAGGATTTGCTTAAGCTTTTGCCTTCTAATGGTCTTTGGCTTTGGGCTAAACCATATCCTATCTACCTTTTCCTGATGGTTCCTTTTTATTTCTACAAGTGTTTGGTGGGGCTATTGGTGGTGGTGGGGGGTGTTCTTCCACATAATCAAAATCTCTTAAGAATGGGCTATAGAGGTTTTTCTAAAAAACAAAAACAAGGACTGGCAGAGTGGTTCAAGTGGTAGAGTGCCTAACAAGCATGACGCCTCAAGTTCAAACGCCAGTACCACCAAACACACAAACACACACGAAAAACCAAAATAATCAGAAGCCCCCATTGCTTTGATGTCTACCCAAGTTTAAAAGCATCAGATTTCAAGATTCTAAGATGCTTATCTTGGCTTCTGGTCCCAGCTTCCAACACTTTTAGAGGGAGGCTAAGACCTGTTTCCTGCATTCTAGGCACAAGCAGTACTTCCCAGGGTAAAGGGAGGAATAGTGACCTGAGCAGAGCCCCTCAGCTGAGCTGCAGAAACCTTCTAACAACCTTGGGAAAGCATCTTGTTCTTTGCTGCTCTGTAGCACTGTTTAGTGGTATTTGCTACATTGTAGTTGTTCCAGTGGAAGCATTGTTTCAGTTGCTTCTTTATTCTGTTCCCACTAACCAGTTGTTTTCCCAGGGCGTCTGTCCCAATTCTCCATCCTGACCCAAGGCTGGCTAAGCATAAATGCACATGAGGTCTGAGCTTTCTCCAAAGCCCTCGCCCCAGATTCCCTCATCCCATCCTCACCCCCATCAGGATCTTTCTCCCTTGTCCTTTCCTGCTCTTAATGTTGCTCCTGTCTGGTCTTCGCACCTGATGGCACAAAGTGGTGCAAAGACAGTTCTTCACTAGTGTCCCCTCCATCATTCCCTTTGTCCCATCAGTGTGAGAATATATGTGTGTATCAGGGAGCACTGGTTCTGGCTGACCCCAAGGTTTGGGCTGAGGGCATAGCTCAAGTGGTAGAGTCCCTACCTAACAAGCACGAGGCCCTGAGTTCAAACTCAGTACTGTGAAGAAAACAAAACAAACAAACAAAAAGACTTACCAGGGTTGCAGGAGGCTCTGGGACTAGAGTGCCAGCTCTGGGTAGAATATGGGTATGAGCATCTAAGGGCAGCTTACTGATGGTGCATGCATCGGGCACCATAAATGGTGGGCTCCACTGACCTGAAGGAGACACAAGTAGTTGGGAGAAAGGAGGTAGAGGTACATCCTGATAGCAGCAGGGTTTGGGAAGTGGTAGTTTGGGGAAATGCTCTTAACCTTATGGCTAGGGCTGGGCCTACTGGACTATTGTCCTCTCTCCCAAAAGAACACTGGCTTATTTGGGCACCCCTGGCTCATGCCTATATTCCTAGTTACTTGGGAGGCTGAGATACAGAGGATCTCAGTTCTAGGCCATCCTGGGCAAATAGTCTGAGAGACTCCATCTCTAAAACAATCACAGCAAAAATGGACTGGAGGTGTGATTCAAACAGTAGAGCACCTGTGAAGCCATTAGTTCAAACGCCAGTCCCACCAGAAAACAAAATTCACTGACCTAGCTGGATGGAAATAAGCTCAAAGGTTGGCCCAGCTTCCCCCTGGATCCTCTGCAGGGCACCTGCTTCATAGACAACCTCATAAAGGGCAGGAGAACTGGGTGCCTGAGGGGCAGGGGAGCTGTCTGAATGGCAAGGATCCTCAGAGATGCCACTTTCACTGTCAGGAGATACTTCTGAGCAGTACACCTCATTGGGATCAATGAAAAGCTTCAGGAAATCTTCAGACTCATTCTCTTGAAGGCCCTATAGTAAGAGAGGATACATGAATAATTTTGGAAGTCCTACCTGACATCGGACTCAGTTTCAGCCTTTTCTCTTGGGCATGAAAATAGATACATCTCATGACTATGGGTAAGAGAGTCTGTTTTCAGACTTCTTTCTAAGTAAGCCTTGAAGCCTCTTGGGCTTCTTTACATAGACTTGTGTCTCAACCCCACTCCCACTTCCATTTGTCACACTCACACAGCCATGGCTCCCACTAGACTCCCAGCCTTGCAGCCCTTGTTCTTGTAGCCTAGTCACCGGAACCTGTGGAGGGGAACAGTTGAGTCCCAGCTCCAGGAAGGAGCCTGTAGAGAAGATATCTTCTGGGGGCTCCAGCAATGCATCCGGCAGGTCAGGGGATCCAAGATCCATGCTTCTGCAGGAAGACGTGTGGGACAGCAAGTTACAGAAGGGAAATGATGGCTGCCCTTCTCTCAGCAGTTTCTGGTCTCTGCATCCTATTATTTCCCTTCCCCACCTGCCGTAGCCCCTTCACCTGTCATCCGGAGATCTTGCCTCCAGTCTTATCTGTTGAGTTCAGACAAACAGGACCCCTGATATTTTTACTAGCCTGCTGACCGCCCCAAACACTACACTTTTTCTTTCCTCCAGGATCTGTATCCTGGTCCTGCCCAGCCAAACTCCGCCCCCGCCAAACAACAGAAAACTGGGTTGCACCTTGCCAGGGGCACCGCACTGTATCTGAGAGTAGGGAATTAAGACGCTGAACATGCGCAAACTGATTTTAAGGAAACTATAGGCAGCCACGCCCTTTCTGCCTCAGTTTCTTTTAGCAATAGTGGCTCTTCCTGAGGATTCGGTGTTTTGCTTAGGGAAGAGCTGAGATGGTTGTGATGAAGCACAGGACGCTAGAGTGCCTGTTCTCCAGACGTCGCTTTTACAAGCGAGGGAGACCACGTCAGGGCTGCAAATACAGCTGAAAGGAGTCACGAGGCAAAGCCAAGATTTACAGTCACGCCCTCCCACCGCGTGGCACTTTTCCCACACTTGAATTCTGATTAGAAGCTAAAGACTTAGAGGGTTTGAGGGACAAGGCATCGAGCCAATGGAATTACCCTCTCGAGGCGTACTCCTTCATAATTGGCCGTTTTAGGGGAGCCAAGCCAATGCGGCCGCAGTAATTTGTCAGACCGACAGCTGGTCCCCGGACCAAGGGCGGTGTACAAGCCAGAAAATAAATAGTAGGGAAGTTGGAGGGAAAGTTTCCGGGATGTGGGTTTACTTACCGCAAGACTCTGAAGCTTCAGGTTTTTACCTAGGCGGGCAATAAATAACCTATTGTCGTTTACGACAGGGCTTTGATTCAGCGGGCGGTAAATTGCGCAAATGAGCGCTTTCCAAATCTGTAATCCGTGTTTTGCGCTTGAGCATTTCACAGACACACTCACTAGACTGTTAGCTAACGGAGAAACACGGATCGGGGAAACTACACCAAGTTAAAAATATTTTGCGGTTGGTTTGGAAATTTGTATTATTATTATTATTATTATTATTATTATTGAGACGGAGTCTTGCTGTTTTGCCCACAGCTGGGACTACAGGCGTGCTTTTTTTTTTTTCCCCCCGGTACTGGGGCTTGAACTCAGGGCCTACACCTCGAGCCACTCCACCAGCCTTTTTTGTAAAGGGTTTTTTCAGGTAGGGTCTTGAGGACAATTTGCCCAGCTGGCTTCCAACTGGGATCCTTCTGATCTTTGCCTCCTAAGTAGCTAGGATTACAGGCATGCACCACCAGGGCCTGGCTGGCTTGCACTTTTGTATAGTTTAAAAATACTTTTCATAAATATCGTTCTGTCATTTAATCTACAACAGCTTGGAGGCACATAAAGCAGGTACTATTTTGCCAGTTTTACTGATAAGGAGACAGAGATCAGTGACTAGAAAATTAAGTTCAAGTAAAATAATGAAAGCAGGGCACCAGTGGCTCATGCCTAGCTCCTTGGGAGACTGAGATCAAGAGGCCCTTGGAGGTCAGCCTGGGCAAGTAGTTCCCAAACTCTGTCTCCAAAATAACCAGAGCAAAATGGACTGGAGGTGGAGTGGCTCAAGTGGTATAGAACATGCTTTGCAAGCATGAAGCTCTGAGTTCAAACCCCAGTTCCACAGGAAAAAAAAAAAAAAAAGGTAAAATAATGGGGCTATCTGATTTTCATATACCTCCCAATACTTTCAGCTATAGGGTGATTGGATATGTAAAGCAGAAAGGTTGGTGGTGATCCAGAATTCAAACTGATACTAATTTTCATTATGAAGATATAACTAGGTTACAGGTAAAAACAGAAAGAGATCTAATGTTTACCAGAAACTGTTATTTGTAGCCATTTTCATGTTTCTCATATCAGTTTCATAGCAGCTCAGAGCTGACAGAAGTTAACTTCCTAAGGTTACTCTGTATGTAGCTGTACCAAGATTTGGAGCCCTAAACCCACCCTCTGTTCTTCAACACTATACCAAGTGCCTTGCTGGGCTTTTTCAAATGTCCCAAGTCTGTCTCTCCTGCTCAGGTAGTAAACAGACAAAGCAGGTTTCCTAGATTGATGCAGGGCTGTAAGGAAAGCAGAGCTCTCCTTGTTTGTTTATTTATTGTGGTACTAGGGTTTGAATTCAGGGCCTGCACCTTGAGCACTCCACGAGCCCTTTTTTGTGATGAGTTTTTTCAAGATAGATCTTGAGAACTATTTGCCTGGGCTGGCTTTGAACTGTGATCCTCCTGATCTCTGTCTCCTGAGTAGCTAGGATCAAAGACTTGAGCCAGTGGTGCCCAGCTTTGTTTAGGTTTTTCTGAGTGCAAGGAAGGTGGCCAAATGCTTTTCAAGGGGCTTCCTGCAGGTTGTATTTGTAGATGATTAAGTGGAAAATACAACTACCTTTTGTGAATGTTAGAACTGGAAGGAAACTATCATCATCTGCTAACTTCCCCCTTTCCTTTAATTTATCAAGCTCTACAGAGTTAAAAATGACTCCTTAAACCACACATCAAATTAAGGTAAAATTCAAGAGATCTGGTAGGGCATCTACCTAGCCAGCAGGAAACTCTGAGTTCAAACCCTAGTACAGCCCCCTGCCCACACACACACAAAAGAGATCTGTTGTACCACACGGTGATGATAGTTAATAGCAATGTATTGTATAGTTGAAAATTGCTAAGAGTGGATTTTTTTTTTTTTTTTTTTGTGGTACTGGGGTTTGAACTCAGGGCCTCACCCTTGCTAGGGCTTCACCACTTGAACCATTGCACCAGTCCTGTTTTGTATCGAGTATTTTCAAGATCGAGTCTCAGGAATTATTTTTGAGCATTAGTCCTCTTGATCTCTGCCTCCTGAGTACCTAGAATTACAGGTGGAGTAGACTTTTTTTTTTTAAAGTGGATTTTTGGTGTCCTCTTTAAAAGTAAGTAAGTATGTGAAGTAATGAATATGCTGATTAGCTTGATTCAGCCATTTCATAATGTATGTATTTTTCAAAACATCATGTTGTACACTACAAATACATACAATTTTAGATGTCAATTTAAAAATAATTGTATGTAAATTAAATTATATGTATATAAGATGGTGTTGGGACTAGAATCCAGGTGTCTTGAATTCCTTGTTAATACTAATTACTAAATATTTAAAAAGCATAATTTGCCATAGACAAACTGTAGCACCCATAATAGTCCCTTAAATGATCTAGATTTTTTTTTTTTTTGTGGGATTGGGCTTTGAACTCAGAACTTCATGCTTGTTGCAAAGCAGGTGTTCTACAGGTTAAGCCACACCTCCAGTCCATTTTGCTCTGGTTATTTTGGAGATGAGGTGTCATGATCTCTTCGCCTAAGTTGGCCTTCAACCTCATTCCTCCTGATCTCAGCCTCCCTAGTAGTGAGGATTACAGTTGTGAACAGTACTGGGTTGAATTTAGGACCTTGTACTTACCAGGCAAGGTGCTTTGCCACTTGCTCCCGGTTACTATTCTACTCTCTTAATGAAAAATAAAATTTTTGCTGGGCACTGGTGGCTCACGCCTGCAATCCTAGCTACTCAGCAGGCAGAGGTCAGTAGGATCGCGGTTCGAAGCCAGCAAATAGTTCGGAGACCCTATCTCGAAAATACCCATCACAAAAAGGGCTGGCGGAGTGGCTCAAGGTGAAGGCCCTGTGTTCTTAAGCCCCAGTACAGCAAAAACAAAACAAAAACCCAAAAAACAAAAAGCAACCTCCCTTTTATTTTCCTTATTTGAGAGGAAGAAGATTCTTTTTTCTTTTCCCTATATTTTTGAGGCACTGAGGTTTGAACTCAGGACCTTACACTTGACAGGCAAGTGCTCTACTGCTTGAGCCATGCCACCAGCCCTACTAGAGAGTTATTGCAGCACAGGGTTGTGGGCTGAGGAAACAGTGAAAGTCCTGAATAGAAAATATTTTGGTGCATTCAAAGAACAGAGAACAAAAAGGAGGCCAGCAGGGCTGGAGGGAGGAGTTGGAGTACGCAAGTGAGCTTGGAGAGAATCTTGGCAGATCGGAGGCATGGTGAGTGGCAAACTGACGTGTGCTAAGAGAGGCTGTTCACTCAGTGGTGTTGCAGCAACAGCTGAGCTGGGGGCGGCGGGGGGAGAGGGGGAGGCACAATTTCTCTACCCACTCGGAAAATGCGGGAAGCTTCGCCGAAGTCAGCTGGGCCACTGGTAGTCTAGAAGGGATGATTTTTCAAGACCTGCCCTCTTTGCTTTCCCCTTTTCCAATTCCACCTTTTTTTTTTTTTCCTTGTGGACGCTGGCGAGAGAAGTTTGGAAGTTTGTCCCACGAAGGAAATGATTTGTCTTTGGCGTCACAGCGCACTGACTGGGCCTTAGAGTCTTCGAAGAGATAAGATAAGCCGACTGGGCCAAGGCCAGGCAGACATCCTCAGAGATGTGGGGCCGGAAGACTGGGGAATGCGGGAGCAAGGACGGGAAACCAGCCTTGCTCACAGGGTTCCTAGCTCCCTCTTCTAAAAAAAAAATTCTCCATAGTCTTTGTTGCCTAGGCAGCACCAGCCGGTCAGACCTCGACCCACAGCAGCCCGCCGAACTTCTCCCCATTCTCCTCCGGGTCTCGGGCTCCCTCTCAGCTAATCTGGCTCACCAGCTCCAGATGCCCGTCTCTGATTGGATGTAAGACACGTCATTCCTAGTCTAGCACCGCCCACCCTCGTAGTCATTGGTAGTTCTGCGCTGGTACGCAGCGGCCGTGGGGGGAGGGGAGAGCACTCGGGGAGGGGGTGGGAATTCCCGACGTGAGACCGGAACCGAGCGGATACCATGTAGTGAGACCCTCGCGAGGTGAGTATGGGTTCCCCGAGAGCCGGACTGAGGCCGGCCTCCCTGGCTCCCCGGGGTGTAGGTGCCGGGATAATAGCTTTTTACGTTCTTCTGCTTCCCACGACGCTGGCGACCTCCGACTCCGCCTCCTGGAGCGTGTCTTCCAGACACCGCCCTCAATGTCGTCTCAGTCCGTCCCGGGACCTAAGGCCCCATTCCTGTGACCATCCGCTCCGACGAACCAGCCCAAGGCGTGAAGCTTTGGTTTACTCTTTGCTTTCCCGGGGATGGCGCTAGGGAAAGCGGGGCGAGAGACTGCTCCAGCACCCAAGTTCACCCTGTTCAGGTGGTCCACTAGCCACTTCAGGTGGTCCACTAGCCACTTACGACTGCTCTCCACAGCCCGAGTCCTCTTTGCTTTACTTTTTCCTGGGGGAGAGGTAGCTGGCTTTACCTTCCTTAGGGAATCCCAGCTCCAGCTCCTGTTTGGAGGTTACCTCTAATCCTCTAGGGCGCCAAGTGAAAGGGTAATAATATATCCACAGAGGCCTCGTCCTCAGTTTCCCCCTTCTTGGCAATCTAAAACAGTCATTTGGGAGAATTAAAGTCTGAGGAGAAAAAGGAATGTTCCTGGTGCCGAGTGGATGAGTCACTTTCTGGCGTTCCGGAACGCCAGAAAGTGACCAGGGTGAAGGAAGTGTATTCTGGTGACCAGCCTTCCCCTTTCCTTGGCCCCATCTTCCCTGTGTTATGATTCCCCACCCACTCTAGTCTTTTATATCCAGGTCTGAGAGTTATTGGAGCTACCACAAGCACCATGGGGCCCTGGGGAGAGCCAGAGTTCCTGGTGTGGCGCCCAGAGGCAGTAGTTTCAGAGCCACCAGTGCCTGTGGGACTGGAGGTGAAGCTGGGGGCTCTGGTTCTGCTGTTGGTGCTCACCCTTCTCTGCAGCCTGGTGCCCATCTGTGTGTTGCGCCGGCCTGGCTTTAGCCATGAAGCATCAGGTGAGCCTCTCCTTTCCCTGCCACTGCAGATGTTTGTGTAGGGAGGGCTCTGGGGCTAGGAGAGGTGATCTAAGAAGGAGGAATAGCCACTGTTTGGGTGGGAGAAGCGGGGTCTGCAAGGGCTTTGTTTGATCACTCCCCTCTGTACTCCACTCCTGCCCAGCTTCCCGCCAGAAAGCCCTGAGCCTAGTGAGCTGCTTCGCAGGAGGTGTGTTTTTGGCCACTTGTCTGCTGGACCTTCTGCCTGACTACCTGGCTGCCATAGATGAGGCCCTGGCTGCCCTGCACGTGACGGTGAGCATTGGCCTCAGCATGTGACTCTATTTATGGGGGCATATGTAACTGCATACATGGTTTGTATAGATCTGTTCATATGTTACCCTGTGTCACAGTCCCTTCACATGTGGTCCTATGAATTACGGTTTTTGGTTATAGAGCATAACTCCTTGCATTCCTTCCCTACTGCCAGCCTCTGTGTAAACCTTGTACTCCTTGAGACAGTGTGAGGAAACTTATTATCAGGTGTGTGACCTACTCTGTGGGTTTCTCAGTTTCAATTGCTAGGAATTTAGCAGTGCTCCAAGAATCATCTTCTTCCCTTCTTCCTTTTTTCCTTCTTTCCTCCCTTTCTTATTCCCTCTCTCCTTCCCTCTCCTCCTCTTCCTCCTCTTCCTTTCTCTTTTCTTTCTTTCTACAGGGTCTTGCTATGTAGCCTAGGTGTCCTGAGCTCCCAAACCTCCTGCCTCAGCCTCCCAGATGCTGGGATTACAGACATATGCTGCCACTTCTGGCTTTTTTGCCACTTCTTTAAGGGCTGGAGACAGAAGTTACTGGAGGCCTGGGAAGGGTAGGAAGCAATTCCCAGAGGCTTGGTGTTACTGACCAAAAAGGCTTTAACTCAAGGAAGTGGGATGTGGGGAACTGTGAGGTCCAAGGCATAGAAAAGCTCATTATAGGAAAAACTGAGACAGTTGGTAGTGGCTAAGGGAAGTCATCCCAAGCTTTTTTTTTTGTTTTTTCTTAAGACTGAGGAAGTAACAACAGATGATACTCTGTATCTGTGACTGAGTGACCTGTGTCTCAGTATGACTGTATATGAGTCTGAATGTCCCTGTGACTCTGTGTGACTCTGTGTGGCTCTGTGTGATCATCTGGGAAGGTGGGCCCATGTGTCTCAAACAGGAGGTTTTGTCCCTCAGGAAACATTTGGTAATGTTTGGAGATATTTTGGTTATCACAGCTGGCTTGAGGAAGAAATGTTGTGCTTGCTACCTAGTATCTGGTGGGTAGAGGGCAGAGATGCTGCTAAGTGACCTACAGTATACATGACAGCTCTGACAGAATTATCTGGTTCAAAATGTTAATAGTGCTAAAGTTGAGACACTGTGGTCTACATATAACACTGTGCATGATACCATAATCTGTGTGATTGAGTATCATCCTATGTCTGTGCCACCATGTAATTTCATCATTGTGTGACCAAGAATGGTTCTTTGTGTAGGACTTCCAGTGTGTGTAACTGGGCTCTACTAGGTTCTGCATGTGACTCATTCCCATTCTTGTCCTGTTTCCTGAACTGCTTGCTGCCATTTCTGCCCACAGCTCCAGTTCCCCCTGCAAGAGTTCATCCTGGCCATGGGCTTCTTCTTGGTCCTGGTGATGGAGCAGATCACACTGGCTTACAAGGAGCAGTCCGGGCCACCACCTCGAGAGGAGACAAGGGCTCTGTTGGGAACAGTGAACGGTGGACCTCAGCATTGGCATGATGGGTCAGGGATCCCACAAGCAAGTGGAGCTCCAGCCCCCTCAGCCCTACGTGCCTGTGTACTGGTCTTTTCCCTGGCCCTGCACTCAGTGTTTGAGGGGTTGGCCGTGGGGCTGCAGCGAGACCGAGCTCGGGCCATGGAGCTGTGTCTGGCTTTGCTACTCCACAAGGGTATCCTGGCTGTCAGTCTGTCACTGAGACTGCTGCAGAGCCACCTACGGGTGCAGGTGGTGGCTGGCTGTGGAGTCCTCTTCTCATGTATGACACCTCTTGGCATTGGGCTGGGTGCAGCTCTGGCAGAGTCAGCTGGGCCTTTGCACCAGCTGGCCCAGTCTGTGCTGGAAGGCATGGCAGCTGGCACCTTCCTCTATATCACCTTCCTGGAAATCCTACCCCAAGAGCTGGCCACTTCTGAGCAGAGGATCCTCAAGGTCATTCTGCTCCTAGCAGGCTTTGCCCTGCTCACTGGCCTGCTCTTTGTCCAAATCTAGTAGGCTTCAAGAGAAGTGCAGGGGTAGTTGACTGTCAACTGCCCCTGTCCTTCCTCCCCTCCCCCAGTGTGTGAGGAATAGGAAGTAATGGTGAAGGGAGGTACTAAGGACCAAAGAGTTCTCTGGGAGGTAGGGATGAGCATCTGGGACTATGACTCATGAGAAGGAAGTGGGCAGAAAAGAGGCTGGCCCCAGACCCAAAGAACAAGAGATGGCCAAGTCACTAGGAACATGATCAGGTAATACTAGGATTGGGGCAGACCCTGAATGCTAGAATCAGAGGTTGGATACTACATCTAAGGAGAAGCTAAGGATGGAGGGAGTAGTGGGGGGATGGGAGTGGAGGCAGGCAGCCAGCTGTTGTGGAATAAAGGTATGGAGAGGGCATAGGCCCAGAGTGAGCACTCTGTTGGTTCTAGCTCAGTTTAACTCTCTGCCATTTGAAGTGATCCTGTTCTACTTTTCACACCTCCTACTCATATATATCTCCCTCTTCCCTTCTCCCAGGGGACTAGTGCCAAATGGTCTCTCTCTGCCAGTTTTGATACCTTCTCTGGCCTCTCCAGTCCTGTCCACTCCTCTATTTTTGAAGTGCCAACTCCCCTACTCCTTTTCTGAAAGCACAGTGATATTGCACTGGGCCCTGCCCAGCACCTCAGTGGAGGAGGCCTATTTGCTCTTTTATTTTGGTCCCAGAATCTGGAGTGGAGCAGAAATGTTTCCTGGGCTGGGCTGGGGTTTGAGGAGAGCGACATCCACTCACCGCTGCTGCATTCTAGGAATATGGGAGGTGGACATGGTGCCCCATGCCCAGATAATAAACTCTGAGCTGCCAAAACTTTTTTTATACCTGAGAAACTCAAGGGGAAGGGAAATGCCCATCCCAGGGATATTTTTTGGGTAGGGAGGGTTATGCATAGGGCCACTATTCTCTAGAACTCTATTTTACTAACTGACATGTTTTGGGACATATTACCCAAATAAAAGATGTTTCTGTACATCTCTGGATTCGTTTGTCTTGGGAAAGGGGTGGGCATGTGGCAAGACTGAGTAACAGATATTTACAGCTGTTTTAAGATCCTTGGTCTCCTGTTTTCACTCGCCTCAATAGTCCCACTTCCTGAAGATGAACAATTTTTTCCTCCTTTGTCTCTTTCTTCCCTCCTTGTCTCCACTCCTTCCCTTCCACTTCATTCCCTTCCTCTTCCTTTCCTCTCTGAAACCCTCTCCCCTTCCCGTTCCTAGGCTCTAGGACTAATGTAGAACTACCCCTCCCGGCGTGCTTCGCGCGGGGAGTAAATGAGGGGTGGGCCTCCTGCCGGACTGCCGGAGTCAGCAGGGCTGCCGGGAAGTGGAGTCCGCTTCCTCCCCGTGCTGCGTAGCTGTGGGCGTAGAGAAGGCGCGTAAACAAACTACCGGTCCCGGCAGGCTACGCGCCGCAGGTCAGGGCTAGGCTGGGGCCGTGCCGCGGGGCTCGCGGAGGCGGCGGCGGCGGCTACGGCTGGAGGAGCCGGGCCGGGCCCGCGGCAGAGGCCGTGGCTGGGACTGGGAAGGTGGCGGGGAGGGACTTGGGAGGAAGATGGCGACGTCGGGGGCGAACGGGCCCGGCTCCGCCACGGCCTCAGCTTCCAATCCGCGAAAGTTTAGTGAGAAGATCGCGCTGCAGAAGCAGCGTCAGGCCGAGGAGACGGCGGCCTTCGAGGAGGTGATGATGGACATCGGCTCCACCCGGGTGAGGGGCCGCGCCGGGGAGTCGGAGCGGAGGAGAGCAGTCACCCAGCGGAGCGGAGAGGCGGGGCGGGGGCGGGAGCCGCAACGCAGGAGGCGGAACGCGGCAGGGGGAGCGGGCGCCGCCGTCTGGGAGGCGCGGATTGAGGGCCGAGGGTCAGGAAGACGGATTTTGTTGGGGAGACCGAAATACTGGAGAGGTTGAGGGTGTGGGAGCTACTGGGACTGAGTATGTGAGGCACGTACTCAGTGAACCGAGAGGGGAGATGGGCCTCTGAAGTCCGACAGAAGCGAGTGGTCCCGGTGCATCCCGGGTGGAGTCCCCTCCGGGGACTCCCTTCAAGAAGCATCTTCGATCTTGGGTTATGGGTTGGAGAGATGGTCTGCTTTTCCATAATCTGGCTCCTCTGAGTTTGTGATCTGCAAACTGTCCCTGTGCCCGGTTGTGCTACTCTCTGCGCTTTGGTACCTACGGGAAAGGGCCCCTTGAGTGGTTTGTTCGAGTAATGCTGGGTATAGTGGGGCAGGAAGTCCCCTCCTGCGTCCCGTCCTTTTGCTTCCTTTTTCAAATACTTCTTGTGGTTTCCTGACGTGAATGAAGGTGAGGTCCATTGCTCACAGACTGGTGCTTGGTGTTTTGCCCTGGCCGCCTTGCAGGATAGGTAGAGGTTTGAATCAAAAGTGAGTAAACCGATTAGCTTTCGGTTGTATGGAACCTGATGGTTTGCTGAGTTTTCTATGGAGATGGCTTCTTTATGGATCAGTTTCTGGAATTCTTTCCAGGGACTGTGTAGGGAATGTGTATGTGCAGGGAATATTCATTACCTGGAAGTTCCATAAAGAACTTTCTGCCAAGCTGCCTCTGCAGCCCCTGTGGCCTTGGTTTCTTGCTTCCTATGGCCGGATGTCAGAGGGAACTAGGGGCAAGAGTTTGCCCAGTTGATATGCGGACCTAACTTAGGGATACTTCTCAAAACAGCAGGTGAGAATATTGCAGTGATCCCTCATGGCAAAGAGTTGGAAGGACTTTAAAGGATAGATGGTGGAACATAAATACCACATTTCAAGGCTCTTTCTGCTGGCCTGACTGTGATTGAATCTATCTATGACTGTGACTCTGATTGTATTTTTGTGTGGATCTCCCTTGACTTTGTCTTTTTTGTGTTTTTCCCCTTTGAGTCTCTAGGGACCTTGTGCCCTAGTTTGTGGGAGTCAGAACAGAGAAAAGATAATGGGGAGTCAAATCTGGTGTGTGATTGTGTGTGTGCATGTGCTCGCATAACCCACCCTTAACCACCAAGAGAATTGTGATCTGTTGACTGCTCCCTTTAGGAGCTTTTGCTCATGGTGGGGACAGGGACAAGAATATGGGAGAGAGGCTGATCTTCAGCTTACATCTTGAAGCCTGCCTCTCTGGGTAGTGATTCTAGCTGAGGCATGGTGTGATCTTAGGGCTTCTGTGTTCAAAGTCTATAAGAAATTTGAAGCTGGAGCTTCTATCTTTGTGGTGCTTTGGTTTATGAAAAGTCTCCTACCCACCTTTCCTCTGCCAGTTGATTTCTCTGCTACACAGCAAAGTCTAGTGGACATACAGGGCCAGGGCCTTGGGGACCTAAGAATCTTGATGAGAGATGCAGGGCTCAACTCCATGCATACCCACGGTTCAACCTGTTACCTGGCCAGCTGGAAGGGCCATTTGAGATAGTTATGGCCATGGGGGCCTGTACAACAGAGAGGTTAGGGTTGCCATATGTATTAATAGTGAACTTGAAATGGCACAGAGGTTAGCACAGTGCCTATTGAACTCAATGGACTAACCTCCTGGAACAGAAAGTCAGTTTTGAGGTTGGCTTCACTGCAGCATTGTGACCCTGGAAGCTCTTAAACTTACCCCCTCCTCAGCTGTCCTCCTCCCCATGGCCTTGTCGTGGCTCTACTTACTTGGCTGGTGTGCTGGCTGAGCTTGGAAATAGCTGCTCATCTCTCACAGGGACATGAGATTTATAGACAGACTAAACCCATGTCAGGCTGAGGGTTTTAGTATCTTGCCTCTGTGCTAACCCTATCTCCACAATGTGGAAATGGCTCTGGCCCAGGCTGAAGTGGGCTACTGTGCCTTTTCCCTCACCCATTCTCCAGGCTTCCCTGCCAATTCAGAGGCATTAGGTCCTGTGAAAGAGTGTCTCTTGGTTTTGTCATTTATTTGCTAGCTAGAACACTCATTTCTCCTAGCTTGGGAAGTGCAGACTCTATATAACCTTGTCCTGAGGCTGGTTAAGTGGCAGAGCCCTGAAACCTGTGCTTTCAAAGTGTGAGGGAAGAGATTGGAAATAATAATTCTGTGACATCCACCTGTGGCCTTCCCTCATCTTCTAATTAGTCTTGGACGCATCTGGAAATGAAGACAGAGGTGCTTAATAGGCATCTGTTCCTGTAACAGCCTCAGGGCTGCTAGTAGCTGCTCAGGGACTCTGCTTAGACTGATGGTGACTGAAATGGGCCCTAGCAGAGTGTCAGGCCCTGTTAGGCAGTAGTGAGCTCATTGATGGGGTAGCCTGCTGAAGTGTTGGGGTGGATTGTTTGTACCAGGTCTCAGTGACCTTTCCTTCAGCACTGGCCTTTTTCTGGAAGAAACCTTAAAATCAGCTGCAGCCTATTCTGGTGACAGGGATGGGAAGGATGGTCAAAATGAACAGTGTTCAGGACCTTCCCTGACATTCCCTTCATCTATCATGTCTCAGTTACAGGCCCAAAAACTGCGACTGGCTTACACAAGGAGCTCCCATTATGGTGGGTCTCTGCCCAATGTTAACCAGATTGGCTGTGGCCTGGCCGAGTTCCAGGTGAGTGGACACCAGGCAGGGTGGAGTGGAAGCTCTTAGGCTGCTTCCCCTGCTGATTCCACCTGTCCCTTTTGGCAGAGCCCCCTCCACTCACCTTTGGATTCATCTCGGAGCACTCGGCACCACGGGCTGGTTGAACGAGTGCAGCGAGATCCCCGCAGAATGGTGTCCCCGCTCCGCCGATACCCCCGCCACATATCCTTCACAGAGGGTTTGAGGGGGTCAGGGAGTGATAGGAAGGGTTCCCTCAGGGGAGTCCCTTGATGGAGTGGCTCAAGTGGTAGTGCACTTGCCTAGCAAGCATGAAGCCCTGAGTTCGAACCCTGGTATTACAGGGGGATGGGGATGCCCCTTTCCATCCTTCTTCAGGAGTTCTTCACCCAGCCTCCCTGAAAAGTGACCATGATCCTGTGTCCGCAGTGGATACTGTGCCAGAGAGTTGTTACTCCTGAGGTGTGCCCTCCTCTCTGGCTGACCCTGGCTGTCTTTACTTTGCCTCTCCCTGACACACAGCAGGGATCCCTGATAAGTCTCCTGCCAAGGGAGACTTGGTCCCTTTTCCCATTTCTGTTGGGAGCTTTTGGTCTTAGAGACCTGTACACTTGTCTCTCCTAGCCCTTCCCAGACACTGTCTTAAATTGTTCCCGCTCCATTAGGTCTGATTTCATCTTTTTTTTTTTTTCTTGTGCTGAAGATTGAACCCAGGGCCTCATATGTATGTACCAGGCAAGCCCTGTACCACTGAACTACACCCCTAGTCCCTTTTCTTCCATTCTTTGACCATTATGCCCCCTTGTAAAGGAGGAGAAAGGTATGTTTATCTTGAAATAACTATCTACTGCCTCTGTAATTCTCTTATCTGGCCTCTATCCTATCCATCCCCTTCCACTTTTTTCCTTAACTGGCGCTGTTCACATTGACAGTTCTCCCTACAGTCCTGCCTACTTATCTCCTCCTCCGGAGTCCAGCTGGAGAAGGTGAGTCCAAGGGAGGCAGAATCTCCTGCTGGATCTATGATGTATTGTAGAGGGGCTAGGGCTGAGATGGGATACTGGGTGAGGGTTTCAACAGTACCTTCTCTGGTAGAGCTGGGAGGGTGGGGCAGCTGGGGTAGGTGGTCAGAGTCCAGTCTTGGCCATGTTGACATGAGTGACCAAGCCTCCCATTGCAGCCAGAGCAGAACCAATGAAGTGGTAGCCAAGCTGGGGTGTGTATGTAAGGGAGAGGGGAGAGTGGCAGGAGTAAATAGCTGCCTTCTGTTAGGGGTGCCTTCAGTCAGATGTAGTACTGTGACACTGTTAGGTCTGTGAACTCCTCTTCTGTTCATCTCAAGCCCCAGTACTCATATTCATTCAGCAGAGTTGCTGGGCTCCAATATTCCCATTCAGCTTGTCCTGGCAGGGAGGAATTGAGGTTTCCAGATCCCTCAGATTGACTGGGGGGAGGGGGTTCATGGGTCACAGGCATCAGAACCACCAAAAAGAAGGCAGCATGATCCTCTCCATGCCTACTTTGGCTTTTCCACATTTTCCAACCCCCATGTCTGCTATCTTGTCTGTTGCCTGCCTTCCTCATCCTCAGGACTTTGTTTTTTCACCTTAGGACGATGCCCTGGGGCAATTTCCCTGCAGAGAAGGGGCAGTTGTTTCGACTGCCATCTGCACTTAACAGGTGATGGCCCTTGCCTTCTTTAGGCCACATCTTCTCTTATCTGGAGCCTGGGTTGGGGACTGGGAAGACTGTCATTGCCAGCTCATCTCTGCTCCTCCAACAGGACAAGCTCTGACTCTGCCCTTCATACAAGTGTGATGAACCCCAACCCCCAGGACACATATCCAGGTCCCACACCTCCCACTGTCCTGCCCAGCCGCCGTGGAGGTGAGTGTCACAGGGTGGAGAGTAGCTATGGAGTTTTTCATTGAAGTTTGGGGGCAAGTGGGCTCCACAACCAACTCCACTGTATCCCTTGCAGGTTTGCTGGATGGCAAAATGGACTCCAAAGGTATGTATTCTTCACCACCATAAAATCTCTGGGCTGATGTTGGGGACTTTGTATAGGGTCAGGGAGCAGGACTACTTCCCATTCTGGCTCTGTTTCCTGTCCTGCCTTCCTGGGTCCTTCTCCAGCCTTCCCATCACCATTCTTTCTCTTTCAAGTCCCTGCTATTGAGGAGAACTTGCTAGATGACAAGCATTTGCTGAAACCATGGGATACTAAGAAGGTAGGTGTGGGCACTGGGTGTCATCCACTATGCCTTTGCTCTCTTGTTTCCATGAGCTAGGCCTTCCAGCATTCCCACTAAACTCGGTACTCATTTTCCACATTCTCCCCTCTCTCCGCAGCTTTCCTCATCCTCCTCCCGACCTCGGTCCTGTGAAGTCCCTGGAATTAAGTAAGTGCCACTCTGAGGTTGGCTGGGGAGTGGGAGTGAGGGAGGGAAGTGGACAGAGATATGGAAGACTGATCTCTGCTCTTCTCTCACCACTGCCTTTCCTGTATTTACATTTTCCTTTTTTCTGTCCTTTCCCTAGCATCTTTCCATCTCCTGACCAGCCTGCCAATGTGCCTGTCCTCCCACCTGCCATGAACACAGGGGGCTCCCTACCTGATCTCACCAACCTGCACTTTCCCCCACCGCTGCCCACCCCCTTGGACCCTGAGGAGACAGCCTATCCCAGCCTGAGTGGGGGCAACAGTACCTCTAATTTGACCCACACCATGACACATCTGGGCATCAGTGGAGGTCTGGGCCTGGGCCCAGGCTATAATGCACCAGGTGAGTTGTTATCCTGGTCATTTGCCCACTAGGTACTGCCTCGCTAAAGGGATGAAGGGAGGGAGGCTTGAGCTAGGATCCTATGACTGCCTACCAGCATACCAACCCTGACCCCAGACCTCCTTCCACTTCTGTTCTTAACCTGCAAGAGTGGGTAAGAATGGCTTTTCCTCAAAAGAAGACGGAGAACAATCCTTAGGTGGGCATGCACCAATCTCACTGTCAGGGACAGCATAGGGAGGACATTGTGTTGCCATAGTCTGGTCACTGTTGCCCATTCTGGGTGGAGAGGGGCCCAATTCCCATCAGTAATGTTGGCATCTCTGGTTTTTTGTCTGTGCCTGCAGGACTTCACTCACCTCTCAGCCACCCATCCCTGCAGTCCTCCCTAAGCAACCCCAACCTCCAGGCTTCCCTGAGCAGCCCTCAGCCCCAGCTTCAGGGCTCCCACAGTCACCCCTCACTGCCTGCCTCCTCCTTGGCCCACCATGCACTGCCCACCACCTCCCTAGGCCACCCGTCACTCAGTGCCCCAGCCCTCTCCTCCTCTTCTTCTTCATCCTCTACTTCATCTCCTGTCCTGGGTGCCCCCCCTTACCCAGCTTCTACTCCTGGGGCCTCCCCCCGCCACCGCCGTGTGCCCCTCAGCCCCCTGAGTTTGCCCGCGGGCCCAGCCGACGCCAGAAGGTCCCAACAGCAGCTGCCCAAACAGTTTTCGCCAACAATGTCACCCACCTTGTCTTCCATCACTCAGGTATGCGTGGTTGTCTTCCTTACATGTCTTTTTTCCCTTCCCCTTCTCTTATCTTGCCAAATTCCTTTCCTCACTCTCCTTTCCTCAAATACTTCTTCTTACTCCTTTGTCTCATCCATCCCCTTCCATTCCTCTGTCCTCCCTGTCCCATTTTTTATCCATCTTGTCTCCTCTTTGCTTAAGAGTATAAACCCTGGGTTTAAGCTTCTCATTTTCACATCCTGGCTCTGCCTCTTGTTAGCAGTCTCCTTTGACAAATTATTTTAACTCCTATGAGCCTCAGTAGTCTCATTTATAAACATTGGCGGTTTTGTAAACATCAAACGCATTAATATCTATGAAGTACTTAGTGCCAGGTTTAGCATAGTTACATGCTCAGCAGATAGTAGCTTGTCTTTCCCTTCTCTCCTTTCTTTGTTCCTGTTTTTCTTTTCTTGTCTGTGTATACCCTATCCCTACTCCATACCCTCTCTTATTTCCCTTCCTTCCTTCCGAGAATTCACAGAATCAGAGAATCTCAGTCGATGGAGCCTAATCCCTTCATACTTTACAGTTGAAGAAACTGAGGCCCAGAGGGAAAGTAACTTCCCTAAGATTACAGAGCAAGTTAGGAAGAGTTGGGACTGGAACCTTAGGACTTTTTCCTCAGTGCTAAAATTCTCAGCTCGTCCTTACCCATCCTTTTCTTCTCTTCTTCTTTCTCTTCCTCCTCCTCTCCTTTTCTTTTTTTTTTTTTTTCTATCTCTGCTTCACTTTTCCTTCACCCTAATGCTCTTCTCCCTCTCCTCTGCCCTACTTTTCCCTCCTCCATTACTGATCCCTGGATGTGTGTTCTGTGTTTCATCTTTACCTTCTCCTGTAGGAAAGATTAAAGCCTTGCTAACAAGTGTTCTACTTTCAGTGTGGATTGTGGGAAACTTAACCTCCTGCCTTTCCTCCTTTCCCTTCATTCCTTTCTCACTCTGAGTTTAAAACAGCAGCTCTTGTCTTCACTATGGTGTTACCAGTCACTTGTGAGATGTGTCACAAGTACTCAATTACTGACAACCATTTAAGTACTAAGGTTTATAAATGGTTCTCTTCTGGAATGGCTGGAGTAGATTCAATGTTAACCTGTTGTTTGCCTAACTTAGCACTTCTATTCTCATATGCAGTTTTGAATAACTACCACCAATCCCAGGAATGCCCATAGGAACATGGAGTGTTGTGTGGTTTTTTTTTTTTTTTTTTTTATTATTGTTGTTTGCTTACTTGTTTTGGGCAGGGTCTCGCTACATAGCCCAGGCTGGCCTTGAACTCAAAATCTTACTTCAGCCTCCAGTGCTGGCATGATAGGTGTGAGCGAGCCACTGTGTTGACTTGGAGCATGAGCATCGTCATGTTTGTGTTGAGGATGGATGCAGCTTACAGAGCGGGGAGTCTTCACTAAAAGTTATCCTTGGGGGACACACCAAGGGATAAACCTTATAAACCTTCCCTTTTCCTTCTTTTCAGGGCGTCCCCCTGGACACCAGTAAACTGCCTACTGACCAGCGGCTGCCTCCATACCCATATAGCCCCCCGAGTCTGGTCCTGCCCACCCAGTCACCCACCCCAAAGTCTCTACAGCAGCCAGGACTGCCCTCTCAGGCCTGCTTAGTGCAGCCCTCAGGTGGGCAGCCCCCAAGCAGGCAGCCTCATTTTGGGACACTGTATCCACCTGGGTCTAGTGGGCACGGGCAACAGTCTTACCACCGGCCAATGAGTGACTTCAGCCTGGGGAACGTGAGTACTCAGCCTTCTAGCTTGGAAGCAGAGGAAGGGATGAGGGTGGGTCAGGGAGCCTGAATGGTATCTGGTGCACTCTGAATTGGGAAATCTAGGGGAGGGCATCTCCCCCCATCCCCAGGTACCACAGCACTGCCAGCTTGGGGCTCTTCTCTTCCTGTGTTTGACCCCTACTCCTGCCCCTCTGTTTCTGCTCAGCTTGCTCTTTGATGACTCCTGCCTTGACCTGTTCTCTTCCTGGCATGCACACGCTCTGGCCTAGCAGGTACGGTGCCCATACCTACTTCGGGCCCCGTGCTCGCTTCTGTTGCTCTGCTTGCTGCCACCTCCCTCTGTCTTTGCCTCTGTTCCTGGGGTGGAAGAAGAATTCTGGGCAATTGTGTTAGGAGGGCTAGGCAGGGCAGGCAGAATACCCTGTCCTGAAGCCAACTTCCTTAAGGTCTGTCTGTGTATCCATAGCTGGAGCAGTTCAGCATGGAGAGCCCATCTACCAGCCTGGTGCTGGACCCCCCTGGCTTTTCTGAAGGGCCTGGATTTTTAGGGGGTGAGGGGCCAGTGGGTGGCCCTCAGGACCCTCATGCCCTCAACCACCAGAACTTGACCCACTGTTCTCGGCATGGCTCAGGACCTAACATCATCCTCACAGGTGAGGGTGTGTTTGGAGATGGAGAATGGAAGGGAGGGAAAGGTATCTTCACTGATATAGTAAGAGACTGAAGGATTTGGGGAGAGTTTATGGGGCATTGAGTCCTTACCTGACTCTTGTATCCACAGGAGACTCCTCTCCAGGTTTCTCTAAGGAGATTGCAGCAGCCCTGGCTGGAGTACCTGGCTTTGAGGTGTCAGCAGCTGGGTTGGAGCTGGGGCTGGGGCTTGAAGATGAGCTGCACATGGAGCCACTGGGCCTGGAAGGGCTAAACATGCTGAGTGACCCCTGTGCTTTGCTGCCCGATCCTGCTGTAGAGGATTCATTCCGCAGTGACCGGTTACAGTGAGGGGATCTCACCCCATCCTTCTTCTTGGCCCTGTTCCCCATCACTGTCCTTTTCCTCCCCACCCCCTGGCCAGTAGAGATGCCACTCTCTGCCCCTAGATCCTCTTTCTAACATGAATAAAGGATCCTAATGAGAAAAGGCCAGGGGCTTGCCCAGGTGGCTCCTGAATTCTGCACGATGGGTGGGCCTGGGGGAACTGAAGGGAGGGCTTAAAGCACTTGTAACTTTGAAAACCGTCTGTCTGGAGGTCAGAGCCTGTTGGAAAGCAGGGGATGGGAGGAACTACAGAGGCAGGGCTTGTCCAGATGCCTAGGGGTGGGCAGTGCCAGCCCCTGCTCACCACTCTTCCCCTTGCAATGGAGGAGAGAGCCAGAGTGGATATTATTTTTTATTAAATATATTATATGTTAATAAAAAAATCTTATCAAACCCTTGGTGTGGTTGGCTACTGTTTGATGTGCAACTGGGGATCTATAGAGTTTTGGGGGCATAGGCTCTTTTATGTTAGGCATTTTGCATCTGTTCAGCAGGGGCTCTGTGGAAGGGCCCCTAGCCTCAGATTTGTACCACAAATTAGACCTGGGAGTCCAAGATGTAGATAGGCTTTCATGGACGGCAGCAGGAAGTCACCTCATGTGCCCTCATGTTTGTCTAGGGCTCTACTGCATCACCAGGGACAAAGGGCTCTGGGTGGCCAGACAAGTTACTTCTTTTCATCAACCAGAGGTCTGGGTAAGGAGGTGGCTGCTGGCTGAGCTCATAGGTCTGATGTTTCTGGTAGAATGATTCCAAGTACTGGCCTCAGTACTAAGGCTTTCAAGAAGAAAGAGGAGATTTAAGAACTATGAACTAAACACAAACAAGCAAAACAACAACAAAAAAAACACCTGTGAACTACAGGTAGGCCTTAACTGGCTTCCTTCTTTATGGTCTTTTAAGGTTGGAGGACTTATACAAGTCCTGACTCCATGCTCCTAGGTCTCAGGAAGCTCTTATTCCCACCATGTCCCTATGCGTGAGTACTTCTGTCCTCCTCCATTTATTTGAGTTTAACTCCACAGCCATGTTTGTTTTCCCTGAGGTACTGGGATTTGAATCCAGGGCCTTGCACATGCCAGGCGATCCACTTGCCACAACCCTAACCCCACCAGCCATTTCAGAAATTGTTCTTTGCATCAGTTTGCCAGCCTGTTGGTGATCTGAGCCTCTGTTCTTTTCCCAGCCCCGCATAGTGAGGAGTGCCCCTCTTCGGTTACCCCACCTCCACTACTGTGCTCCACATCTTATAGTACTGGCCACTCTTCCTCTTTCCAAAGCTCTTGTTTTTAGAAAAGAGAACCGAGAACGTCTGGCTCTGCCTAGTAGTGAGCCCTAAACCTGGAAGTCGGGGAGAGCCACCTGGGTCTCCCAAGTCTAGTCCTTCAGTGCCTTTGCCTTGGCTCACAGTCTGACTGTAGCACCGAGGGCGGGACCGAGCGCGACTTCAGGGCCACCTGGGGTCAGTGTCCCTCGGCATCTGCCGAGTGGTGGGAAGCCGCTTGGGTGTAGGGGGCCCTCCCAGCCGCCAGGGGTCGCGCTGCAGGCGGGCGGGCGCTGGGCAGGCGCTTGCCAGGGTCACGGCCGCCGGCCGAGGAGGGGGGTGGGGGTAGCGGCGGCGCCCGCGGCCCCGAAGTTGGGGGGGCGGGGGGAGTGGAGAAAGCGGGGCGCGCGGAGGAGCGCCGGGCCCCCAGCGCCGCGTGAGCCGGGAGGACCGTGCGGCCCGACCTAGCGGCGCGGCAGCACCGTCCCCGCGTGTCGCAGCGCGGCGGAGACGCTGGGACCGTCCAGATCTCGCTTCACGGCGCCCTGGTGCCCTCGGCCGCCTCTTCTTCCTTCACTCGCAGCCCGGGCGAGAGCGGCGCCCAAGTCGGGTGCGCCATGTCCGGGGCCGGGTAGCCCCGCCGCCCGCCGGCCCGCCAGCCCGCCCTCCGAGCCGCCCGCCAGCGGGCAGGCCGGCCGGGAAGTCTCAGGGCAGGCAGGTAGGGGCCGGACCGGGCGGGGCGGCGGGCGGGGAAGGAAGGGAGGGAGCGCAGGCGGGGCGGGGGACAGCTCCCAGCTGCTCTCCAGCGCTGCACATCTGGTTCCGCTTCCTCTCTCCCGGGGAAGTGAAAGTGGAGGGGAGGGCACTGGCCTGGAGTTGGCTGTGCCGGACACCCTGCACCCCTTCTGCTCTCGTGGGTGCCAGAGCACCCCTCCCTCCCTCCCTCCCGCCCGCTCGGGTCACGCGGCGACCGGCGCTGCTGCCGTCACGTCCTCGGCCGCCCGCGCGCCGGCTTCTCTCTGCCCTCTTGCTCCTTGCTCAGCCTCCTCCCCTTCGGCGCGCCCTCTGCCCCAACCCCAACTTCCCGTCGCCCGGCATGTGGGCGTTGGGACCAGGAGTGGCCGTTGCTTTCCCCAAGAAGAAGAAAAGGGCTGCCCTCTATAGGACTCTCCCCTGGCTGGGTGAGGGGAGGCTCCGGTGCACAGGTTCTCGCCCCTAAGATGGTCCCACCTAACGGCCTCTGCTTGCTGTCTTGGGCATAGGGCTCCCACTGATTTGCAGTGGATGAAGGAGGGGACTGAGCCCCGGAGTTAAATCAGGAGGCTGACGCTGACTCCTGGCTTCACCTCCCAGACATGATGGCTAAATTTAGCTGGGGTTGGGACGTGTGTGTCCAGAAGCCAGGTTAAGGAGAGAGCCGACCTGGCTCCAGGAGATTCCCTGGCTCTCTGTTTTCTGGGGAAGGGTGAGAGGTTAAGTAGACTACATCCTGGAACCAGTGGGAGACCCTCACAGTCTCCTCAGCCTTCCTCAGGGTCCTTTAGTCTGAGGTTCCAACTTGGCCTGATGCTGTTCTGGCACCTTCAACAGTCCCTCCTCCACCCCCACCGCTGCCGCCACCACACACCCATAGGCTGACTTCTGCTGAGCTGCAGCTTCCCCTCCACTGCTTCAGGAAGTGTAACCTCCCTTCCCCTCTGAAGCACTCCCCCAGCCTGCCGGGCCCCCGGCCGCTAGGCACCTACCAGGCACTTTCCCAGCTTCTGCACCCTGGGGTGCCTCAGGACTCTTGGGGTTCCTACTCCCTGGGGTCGGGCCATGGAGGCAGGTGAGAAAACACTTACTGAAAGGCTGCTGTGGCCCTGATTCTGTCTCGGGGCTCCATGGCAAGAGGACATGGGTGGCTGGAAAGGTCACAGCCACTTTGAACTTAACAGGAGATACCTAAGGATCCTGGAGGGGGGAGGGCACTGGTTGGCCAAGTTGGTGGAGTTAAGCTAGAAAAAGGACACTTGAGTCTGGTTAAAAGATGCTAAAAGCTTGGGTTTTGTGAGCTTTCCTGGAAACCTGTGGGGTCCTCTAAAAACTCATGAGTGGGTTTTTTGAAGAACATTAGCAAAATCACGAAGTTCTTATGATGTCACGTCTAGGACAGGAAGGCCAGAAACCTTTCAAATGACTAAGGTTGGTATGATATTGTGGCCAGAATGAATGATGTCATTGAAGGCCATTACAGAAAATACCTTGAGCTCTGTGATGTTATGGCTGTACATGGGGATTGAGGAGGGATGGGCCTTGAAAAGGGTACATGAGCAGTAGGATGTCAGAGCCTGCATTAGCTATGTGGTGGGTAGCATTTGGGTTCTTTGAGGAGAGAGGGCTGATACAACTAAATGGGAAGGACCTGTCTCTTTAAGAAGCTGTGAGGACTGGAGGAAAAAAAAGGAACTGTGAGAGCCTCATGATGTCATGGGCGGGAGAGTTCAGGATTGGCTGACTATTTATCCTGCCTTTCCTTAGAAGGACTAGGAAGAGGAGGGGAGCGAGGGGGGGCACTGGTTGCCATGGGAAGCCTAGCCCTCCTTGCTCCATCTTTCCCTCAATTGACCCTTCCAGATGCAGTGAGTGAGGGGGGGGCCATGGCAGAGGAGCGGCCCCCCCGGTTGGTGGATTACTTCGTGGTAGCTGGGCTTGCAGGGAACGGAGCACCCATCCCTGAGGAAACATGGGTTCCTGAACCCAGTGGCCCCCTGCGCCCTCCCCGGCCAGCGGAACCCATCACAGATGTGGCAGTCATCGCTAGGGCACTGGGCGAGGAGGTGCCCCAGGGCTACACATGCATCCAGGCTTCTGCTGGGGGCCACCCCTTGGAACTCAGTGCTGGGCTCCTGGGTGGAACTCAACCTGTCATCTGCTACCGGAGGGGCCGTGACAAGCCCCCCCTCGTTGAGCTGGGGTGTGTGCCCCTACCCATGCTGGCACCAGGGGAGGCTGGGAGGAACTCTAGGTGTGCTGGGAAGAGGTAGAGGTAGGAGTGTGGGACAAAGTGGGGGGTTGTGGGGATGGGAGCTGGTGGTCTAGAGGCCAGGGAGTGGGGGGTAGTTTTATGTACTTAGTCCCCTCACATTTGGATTCATATACCAGTGCTGCTGATTACTAGCCCTCTGCTTTTAATCAAGATATGGAGCCTCTCTGAGTTTGTTTCCTCATCTGCAAAATGGGAATAACTCTTCCTCGTAGGGTGGTTTGGAAGATAAAATGGAATAACTCATGGAAGGGGTTTGTTAATGAGCAAGAAGTATAGACTAGGGCAAGCGTGGGCACAGGATTCCAGAGGACAGCAGCAAGAAGAGGTGGGCCCTAGTATCAGATTTGACAAGGCTGAAGTTGTAAGGCAGGTAGGTATAGGAGACTAGGTAGGCAGATCTGGCAGGATCAGGGTCTTTTTCCTACTCTGACCTCTTGACATCTCTCTCTGTTTTCTGTGCCAAGGGTGTTATATGAAGGGAAGGAACGTCCCAAGCCTGGCTTCCAAGTGCTTGACACGACACCCTACAGCCACTCAGCCAATCTGGCCCCTCCAGGTCCTGGGCACCCCCGTACCTACCTCACTTACCGGAGGGCAGCAGAAGGGGCAGGGCTGCATGCCTTGGGCATCACTGATCTCTGTCTGGTGCTGCCCAGCAAGGGCGAGGGCGCTCCTCATACTTACTGCCAGTTGACCCGCAACCTCAACCCTGGCATGGTGAGTGGAGCTATGGGGTCGAGAGCTGAGACCTGTGCTTTTGGTGTTGGGGTGTGGACATTGGGTGCAAGGGACATCTGACACCACGGGCTGATCCCAAGGGATGACTTGGCTTGGAGGACAGATTAGGGGAAGTTCTGAAGACAAAAGATCACTTGGGGTGGTGGAAAGCAAATAGACCCCAGAAACCTTCATCAGCTGTGTGTCTGCTTATCTCTTGCCATTTCTGGGACAGTGGGGCCCAGCAGTGTACCTGTGCTACAAGGTGGGCCTAGCCAAAGCCAACACGTTGGTGTATGAGGCAGGTGAGTTCTCCTTTTGTCCCTTCTACCATTTGACCCTCAGTGTCCCACTGCTCTGATGTCTCTTGGTTGTTATGTCAGGTGTCCCCAGAATTTACTTCTTGCCACTTGGCCCTTCTCTGTGATCCTGTGGTTCTTTTCCCTGGAGTCTGATGGATGCCCCCCTTTTGGATACTCCCCACTCTGTTGGGGTGCAGATCTGCTGGGCCGCTACCCCGAGGAGGACAATGAGATGTTCCCGCTGCCTGAGTCAGTGCCTGTCTTCTGCCTGCCCATGGGGGCCACTATCGAGTGCTGGCCTGCCCAGACTAAGTACCCGGTGCCTGTCTTCTCCACTTTTGTGCTCACGGGTGCTGCTGGTGATAAGGTGAGTGTGTGTAGTATGGTAAGGTGTTCAGGCTATGTAGAGCCCACCTGACTGTCCCTCTGCTTCCTGCCAGGTGTATGGTGCCGCCCTGCAGTTCTACGAGGCATTCCCAAGGGCCAGACTGTCAGAGCGGCAGGCACGGGCACTGGGTCTGTTGAGTGCTGTGGAGCGGGGCCGGGCACTGGGGGGCCGAGCTGTGCGCAGCCGTCGTGCCATTGCTGTGCTGTCCCGCTGGCCTGCCTTCCCAGCCTTCCGCGCCTTCCTCACCTTCCTTTACCGCTACTCCGTCTCAGGCCCCCACCGCCTGCCCTTGGAAGCGTGAGCATAGCTCCCCTTACGCTGGGAAGGAGTTATGAGGGGATAGAGAAGCTGCCTATTGGGAGAGATTAGGACAGAGATGGGGTAGGCTGGGGTAGGGAGAGGGGTCAGGGCTGAAGTGTATGGTTTTACAGTTTGTCCATTGGAAAACTCACTGGTTGGTGGTTAGTGGAGCCTGAAATCTGGCCTGCACTTGCAAGGATCATGTATGACTCTTCTGATTTGCACAAGTTCTATGTATAATGGAGGTCTGGTGGCCGATGCAGGTCTTGAAGTGGGGTTCAGGGAGGAATGATGTTCTTGAGGACATGAGAAGGAATAGAATGTGTAATGGAGCTAGGACAGGGATAGGCCAGGAAAGTCTGCCTTACCTGTTTTCCTCCCTCCACAGGCACATCTCCCACTTCATTCACAACGTCCCATTCCCTTCCCCACAGAGACCCCGCATCTTAGTGCAGGTGAGAGCTGACCCTGGGGCTGGGCTAGACAGAAGGAGGGAGTTGGCAGGAGCTAGCCATCAGCATCCTGACCCATGGTTCTTCTGCTCTCCCAGATGTCTCCTTATGACAACCTGCTCCTCTGTCAACCTGTATCCTCACCCCTACCCCTCAGGTATGTGTCCAGGTTGGAGGGAGGGGACCTTTGATGACACAGGATGTAATAGGTACCAGGCAGGTGGGTGCAGTTATTGAGGTCTATGCAGGTTGGCACAGGTGGTGGCTGTATCCAGTATCTGGGGAAGTCTCCAGGGTCTCCTGGTGAGCCTCCCTCCACCCCTGCATTGCCTGCAGTGGTGCCAGCTTCTTGCAGCTGCTGCAGAGCCTGGGCCCTGAGCTGGCTGTCACCCTGCTGCTGGCTGTACTCACAGAGCACAAATTACTGGTCCACTCACTGCGGCCAGATCTACTCACCAGTGTCTGTGAGGCCCTTGTCTCGGTGAGTACCACCCTACCAAGTTCACCTTCCCCAGAGCCACTGTTCTTTCTGGTGCCCCCTCCCTCCATCCTTGGACTTTTCCCTGTACTTTGCCTTCCTTGGCAAGGGTCCTCAGACCCTCTCCCTGGGTACAGACTTCAGGGACAGGGTCTTCTTTGGAGATCATCCCCAATAACCTCTCTAACAGGCACCACTACCCCAAGGACAATATCTCTCTCTTTCCTGCTAACCTCACTGCTGCCCCAATCCCTGTTACTGGTTCTTGTTCCTTGGTGCTTCAGATGATCTTCCCACTGCACTGGCAGTGCCCCTACATTCCGCTATGCCCACTGGTGCTGGCAGATGTTCTGAGCGCCCCTGTGCCCTTTATTGTGGGTATCCACTCCAGTTACTTCGATTTGCATGACCCGCCTGCTGACGTCATCTGTGTTGATCTTGATACCAACACGCTCTTCCAGTAAGAGGCTGGGTCTCATTTGGGGGCTGAGCATATGAGAGCTGGTGTGTGGGGTACCACTGGCACAAAAGGGGGGAAGCTTGCAGGAAGCCCCATCATCCTTTCTCCTTATGCTTATCTCTCAGGACAGAGGAAAAGAAGCCCCTCTCCCCTAGGACCCTGCCCCGCAGACCCTACAAGGTTCTGCTGGCCACACTGACAAGCCTTTACCAGCAGCTGGACCAGAGTGAGAAGCCTGGGGGCTTTGGCAGCTGGGAGCTGTCATTGTCCTCAAACTTCAGTTTGGGGAGGTCTGTGGGGAGCTAGACATTCTTTGAAGAGGTTAAAAGAGTTAGGGTTTGGTGGAAGTGAGGGGGTTCCAGTTCCATTGAAGTTAGAGGGAGGGGTGGACCCACATTCTTGAAAATGTCAGGAAGGTAGAGTTTGTCACCAGGGAAGCTCAAAACTGTTGCCTGACAGTAAGTTTTTAGCTGCTGTTAGTGCAAAGTCTGTCAGAGGTGGAGATGGTGATGCTGGTGTGAAGGGCAGAGGTGAGGCCAGCACTGGGTACCAGCCCTGACTCTCATGCACATTGGTCCTCAGCTTACACTGGACCAGAGGAGGAAGCATCTCTGGAATTTCTGCTGACAGACTACGAGGCAGTGTGTGGCCGCAGGGCTCGCCTGGAGCGGGAAGTCCAGGGAGCCTTCCTGCGCTTCATGGCCTGTCTGCTCAAGGGCTACCGGGACTTCCTGCGCCCTCTCACACAGGCACCCTCTGAGGGAGCACGCGATGTTGACAATCTTTTCTACCTTCAGGGTAAAGAGGGCTGGTCTCTGCTTGGAAAGGGTATCATGGAAGGGGATAGCCAGGGACTAGAGTCCATGAGGAAGGTTGAGGATACTGGGAGTTACTTGGTTTCTTATTCCTTCCCTTGGTAAACGTTTTCATGGGTTCCTATTTTGAGCCATCCACTCTTCTGGTCTTGAAGGGAGCAAGGGCACAAAGAGGAACCAGATGTGGTCCTGCTCTCTGGGAGCCCAAGGTATGGGGTGTGCATAGTGATAGTGTGGTGAGCAGCACCCATGGGCAAAGTTCTGTTGAGGGACCCACCCTTGGAGAACCCCCAGTCTGGGGCGGTGGGTGCAGACAGACAAAAGGAAGGGACTCCATGGGAGCAGAGCTGGTCACTTGATCTGTGGAGTGGTTGTGCCAGAGAGGCGAAAGAGAGAAAGCTTTGACAATGAGTCTTGAGCAATGCAGGGAGGGAACAGCTGTGGTACAGAGCTCAGTTGTCCTGCCTCCTCCACCCCATTCTCACCCCCTCAGGTTTCCTCAAGTCCCGGGAACGCTCCAGCCACAAGCTGTACTCTCAGCTGCTGCACACACAGATGTTCTCACAGTTCATTGAAGAATGCTCTTTTGGCTCTGCTCGGCATGCTGCCCTTGAATTTTTTGACTCTTGTGTTGACAAGGTATTGGGTATTGTCCCTTCTCTTTGTACCCATTGGCCTCTGGTCTGCTGTTTGTCTCTGCTGCACCTTATATCTCAGCTGTGACTGTGATGGTGGCCCTGGAATTATACAAAGTACGTCTGGGGCAGCCATACCTGGCTGACTTCATATACTTCCTGTCCTCCTGTTACTGACTCCAACTCCTAGCTGTCTCCAGGACTCTTTCCCTGAGGATGTGCTTTTCTGGGAGATGCTATCTTCTGGGTACTCAGGCTCTGCTCCACGTCCACTGCCGTAACACTCACTCTTTTACCTTCCTGTTCCAGATCCACCCAGAGCAGGAGAAGCCTGAGCCAACACCCTTAGTGGAACTGGAGGAGCTTTCAGGAAGTGAGCTCACTGTCTTTATCACACCTCCTGAAGAGCCCCCAGTGCTGGAGGGCAGTGAATCCACTCCCCAGTACTGGTGAGAGTCTCTTCTCCCCTCATGTGTGCCAAGGCTCCATGACAGGTCTAGTCCACTTGCTTGACCCTGCTGTTGCCTCTCTCTGCCCCTCCAGCTATGATGGATTTCCAGAGCTACGGGCTGAATTGTTTGAGTCTCCTCAAGAGCAACCGGGGACCCTGCCTGTGCCAGGCCCATCCCGTAGTGCCCCCAGCAGTCCTGCCCCTCGTCGAACTAAACAGGTAACCAGTAGGTGGGCCCCACAGGGCCTGGCTCAGGCCAAGGGCTGCTGCTTCAGTTTCATCTGTCAAGTGAGGCTAATAATGGTACTTACCCCATAAAGGTGTTAATAAGTTTACATTAGCCTGACACATGAACAGCACAGTACAAACATTAGCTATTGTTAAACATTGTCGTTGTCATCACCATAATAATCATCATCATCATTCTTGAGCACTCTGGGAAAACAGAAGCTGGCTGCATCTTCCAGGGCATCTTCCCACTCCCAAGGGCCAGGCCTCTCTGACCCTCTGCTTGAGGCTCTAGGGAGGGCTGTAGCCTGTGCCGTACTACATCACCCTTGCCTCTTCAGAGCACAGGTCCTTCCTCAGGGAAGGTACTGCTTCTCCCAATGCCATTTTAAGACCTTCTCTGGCATTGTTTCACCTTCTGGCATTGTTTCACCTGGCATTATTTCACCTTGTCATATATCCTGTCCCACCTAGGAGATGAAGGTTGCACAACGGATGGCACAGAAGTCAGCAACTGTGCCTGAACTGTGGGCCCGATGCCTACTGGGACACTGCTACGGGCTGTGGTTCCTATGTCTGCCAGCCTATGTGCGGTCAGCACCTTCCCGGGTGCGGGCCCTGCACACAGCCTACCATGTACTGCGTGAGATGGAGAGCCGCAAGGTGGTACTTCCTGATGAGGTGAGCAACCATTTACCTATGCAACATTGTCTACCCCGGTTCCAGAAAGGCTTGTGCAGCCATGGGGGCTCCGAGAAATAAACTTGATGGAAAGCCCAGCATTGGGCAGATGCTCCACAAACATTCACTAAGTGAATGAGCATGTTCAGGGCATAGTGACGGAGAATGCAGGACATCAGGGCAGCAGGAAGGAGCTGCCAGGGGCCAACAAGGTCCGTGAGAATTGGGGAGTCTGGAAAAGGATGCTTGCTGAGATTGGAGATTTTTGTGGGTAATAGGTCTCCTGTCCCCTTGTGCCTCTCTTTGCCCAGGTGTGCTATCGGGTGCTGATGCAGCTCTGCTCACACTATGGGCAGCCTGTGCTGTCTGTGCGGGTCATGCTGGAGATGCGGCGGGCAGGCATTGTGCCTAACACCATCACCTATGGTTACTACAACAAGGTACCTAATTTTGGGGAAGAGGTGGAATGGCAGCCTCTGCAAGGGTGTGTGTGGGGAGGAGCTGGCTCTTTGACAACTGTTGTTCTCCCCACTGCTTATAGATTAGGTCTGTGTAACTCAACTGGGTCATGTAGTCATTGTCACCCATAGTGTTTCTGCATGGCTTAGCACTGAAAGGTGTTTTTTTCATACTTGATTACTTTGATTTTCACTCACAACAGCCCTAAACTTTTAACAAATAGTGTTATCCAGTATACCAGGCACTGTTGAAATGCATTACACATTTTCAGTGATCATCCATATCTTACAGGTGAGGAGATGAGGCTGTAGACAAACCTTAACTTGCTCAAGGTCCTTCAGTGAACAAGTTAGGGAATCAGAATACAAGCAAAGGCATCTTCATGTTTCCAGAATTCAGCCTCTTAACCACTAAACTGCCTCCTGTTTTTCAGATGAGAAAACTTAAGGACCAAAAGTTGAAATGATTTCTTCAAAGTCATTCAGTTTAAAAACACAAATTTTCTATAAACAAATTTTCTTCATTACTCCTGACTTTTAGGACCTCTCAGAGGCAGCTGCTGACAACTGTCTCTACCGGGCTCCATTAACCAGATAGTCCTAGGCAGGGTGCCTGGAGGGGAAAGTGGTCCCTGGAGCTCAAGGACAGGAGGTATGCATTAGGCTGGGGTGAGAGTATGAAAGTAGGCCATTGTGTGTTTGGCAGGCTGTGCTGGAAAGCAAGTGGCCGTCTGGTACACCGGGTGGGCGCCTGCGCTGGGCTAAGCTCCGGAATGTTGTTCTGGGGACTGCTCAGTTCCGCCAGCCCTTGAGAGAACGGCGGCAGCGGCAGCAGCAGCAGCAACAGCAGCAGCTGGTGGTAGCAACACATCAAGACACAGGAAGCTCCCAGATAGGTGGGTAGGGACTGGCAAGACAGGCTTGAGCATGGGGTGGCCAGGTTCAGACAGGGAGAGGCAATGGAGAACTGGGCTAGCCTAGTAGCTGGCATGGGGCTTCTGGGGATGGGTAAACTGCACTTGTTTGGTAGCAAAAAGGCTAAAGCTCTGCCTGGGAGGAACCCCTGCAAACCCAGGTATATGCAGGAGCTCTGTTTTGGAACAGGTGCTAGGTTTCTAGCTAGCTGCCTCTAAACCCCCTCTCTACCTTCCTTAGAGTCCTGTCTGGAGCGTCCCTCCCCAACCCGCCCCCTTCAGCGCCAGACTACCTGGGCTGGGCGAAGTCTGCGGGACCCAGCCTCACCTACTGGGCGCCTAGTGAAGAGTGGCAGCTTGGGCAGTGCCCGAGGGGCACAGCCCACTGTGGAGGCTGGTGTAGCCCACAGTGAGTGCCCTGTCTGATCCCTCCTCCTCTCCTCAGTTTGCTTTCCTAACCACTTGCCAGTGAGAGAGGAGAAGACCAGGGTCAGGGTGGAAGGGTGGCCCTCTGGGAGGTACTGTAGACTCTGAGGGACTCTTATGTAGAATATCAGAGTGGGGTTGTACCAGAGTTTATTCAGCTAGGAATTGTGTTTGCTTAGGAAAGGGGCAGCTGGAATTGAGGCTGGACTCCATCTCCCCTGATTCTTTTTTGTCCTGCAGTGATAGAGGCTTTGGGGGTCTTGGAACCTCGGGGATCACCTGTACCCTGGCATGATGGAAGTCTCTCAGACCTGAGCCTGACTGGGGAGGAACAGGCACCTGGAGGCAGCCCAGGAGGCTCAGGCTCAGCCCTGAGTGCCCAGTCTACTGAGGCCCTGGAAGGGCTAAGTGGGCAGGGGCCCAAGGCTGGTGGACGACAGGATGAGGCAGGCACTCCCCGACGGGGGCTGGGTGCCCGCCTTCAACAGCTGCTTACTCCTTCCCGCCGCTCCCCTGCCTCTCGTGTGCCCTCGCCTGAGCTGTTGCCTCGTGACCTGCCTCTCCCAGCCCGCCGCAGCCCCATGGACAGCATTCTTCGGCCCCGGGAGCGCCCTGGATCCACTGCCTCTGAGGTAGTTAGTGAGGGAAGGATCCAGACACCTTAATGTCAGGAGGCCTGGGGAAAGGAAGCTAACTGGGTGAATGCCTCCAAAAGAGGGTCCTGAGGGTGGCTGAAACTAACATTTCGGCAAGGAGGAACATGGGACTCGCTGACTTTGCTTTCTTTGTGTAATGGCAGAGTTCAGCTTCTCTGGGCAGTGAGTGGGACCTCTCAGAATCTTCTCTCAGCAGCGTGAGCCTCCATCATTCCTCAGAGCGTCTCAGTGACACCCCTGGATCCTTTCAGCCACCTTCCCTGGAAGTGAGGAAAACTCTGCCCACACAGCTGTGTTGGGACACATATGCACGTGTGCACATGCACACCACATACACACCACAGTCACCCTGACAAAAGCAGGGGCTGGGAAGGAGGTGGAACCAGGAGGTCTGGCTGGGGTTTGGAGGTGGAAGGGCTAAGGAAGGGGCATGGGCTGCAAAGCATTGAAGGCCAAGCTGGGCCTACTTCCTGGGGTGTCCTTGCCTGCAGATTCTGCTGTCTAGCTGTTCCTTGTGCCGTGCCTGTGATTCACTGGTGTATGATGAGGAAATCATGGCTGGCTGGGCACCTGATGACTCTAACCTCAACACAACTTGCCCCTTCTGCGCCTGCCCCTTTGTGCCCCTTCTTAGTGTCCAGACCCTTGATTCCCGACCCAGGTGCCTGAAGCAGGGCAAGTGCTGTGGGTGGGACTGGGAGCTGGTGTTCCAACAGCTGACCCCTCCTGCTGTTCCCCTGCAGTGTCCCCAGCCCAAAGCCTGCCCCTGCTGGTGCCAGTGACAACAAAGATGCTCCCATTCCTGGGGGTCCTGGGCCTGTGCTCAGTGACCGCAGGCTCTGCCTTGCCTTGGATGAGCCCCAGCTCTGCAATGGGCACTTGGGGGTAAGAGCTGCCCCGTGTTGGGGGGACTTAAGGGGTGCTAGGTAGGTGGACACTGAGGGCAAGGGGCATCCCAGAAGCCTTTAGACATGCTGGCTCAGTGAGAAGCAAGGCTCTGGGGATGTAACCTGGTACATGCCCTCCTGCTTTGTGCCTGTAGAGTGCTTCCCGACGCATCGAGAGTGGGGCATGGGCATATCTGAGCCCCCTGGTGCTGCGTAAAGAGCTGGAGTCGCTGGTTGAGAATGAGGGCAGTGAGGTGTTGGCATTGCCTGAACTGCCTGCTGCCCACCCCATCATCTTCTGGAATCTTCTATGGTATTTCCAACGGCTACGCCTGCCTAGTATTCTACCAGGCCTGGTGCTGGCCTCCTGTGATGGACCCCCACCTCCCCAGGTCTGTACTCCTATATAGTCCCTGCTTCCTGAGTGCCTCCCTCCACATTTTCCAGCTTTTTGTGTCTTAGTCCTGTCATTGACTGTAGAAAACTCAGGTTGTGGAGTCTATTGTGTCTAGTTTGACTCCTGGCCCCCGTATGTGAGCACTCTAAGTCTCAATTTTGTCATCTGAAAATTGGCATAAGCAACAACCTCACTGGCTGTTGCATAGACACCTAATATAGTTTTTGGTACCTAGAAAGTGGTTCATTAGTGTTCGTTCATTTCACCAATATTTATTGAGCATCTTTTAGGTTCCAGGCACAGTTTTTAGGCACTAGGGATGTAGCAGATTACAAAATAAAGTCCTTGCTCCCGAGAACTTATAGTTCCATGGCAGATGAGGTTTCCTTTCCCTCTTCTCCTTAACTGTGTCCTATAACATCTGTTTCTTTGAATATCGCCTGTTCATTTCTCATTTTCTGCCTCCCATTCTATGAGCTTAACTATCTCCTCTATCTCAGCTTTCCCAGGTCCCATCTCCTTGGCTAGCTCCTGATCCAGCCTCTGTGCAGGTGCGGCTGCTGTGGGATATCCTGACTCCTGATCCCAATAGCTGCCCACCTCTCTATGTGCTCTGGAGGGTCCACAGTGAGTTTAACTTAGGGATGGGAGGGTTGGGTCACTTACCTTGAGGGCTCAGCGATCCTGTTGATCTTCCTTCTTTTTACCCAGGCCAGATCCCACAGCGGGTGGTATGGCCAGGCCCAGTACCTGCATGTCTTAGCTTGGCATTATTGGAATCATTATTGCGCTTTGTTGGACTCAATGAGGTGCACAAGGCTGTGGGGCTCCTTCTGGAAACTCTAGGGCCCCCTCCCACTGGCCTGCACCTGCAGAGGTATGGTGCTCCTATCTGGATGGCCCCTGACCTGTCCTGGACTTCACACCTTTTTTCTGTCACTCACACCCTTCTGCCTCTGCTATAGGGGCATCTACCGTGAGATCTTATTCCTAACAATGGCTGCTCTAGGCAAGGACCATGTGGACATAGGTGAGGGAACAGGCAAGGGGCTGAGGAATTTGGGGATCTGGGGGCAGGTGTGAGAGGCTGGGATCCTGATGCATTGACTTCCACCTTCTTCCCTAGTGGCCTTCGACAAGAAGTACAAGTCTGCCTTTAACAAGCTGGCCAGCAGCATGGGCAAGGAGGAACTGAGGCAGCGGCGGGCACAGATGCCCACTCCCAAGGCCATTGACTGCCGAAAATGTTTTGGAGCACCTCTAGAATGCTAGGGACCCTTAAGCTTCCCTCTCCAGGAGTAGGGAGGTGAGGAGAAAGGATTCTAGAGATAACCTGCTTCCCTATTCCCTTCATAGAGGAGATGGGAACAGGCAGGAAAGCCTGTTCAGCTGTAGGCTCCAAGTGGGAGCAGCAGGAAGAGGGACACTTTATTACCAAAAGTCACAATTCCCCTATCTCCCACCTACCCAATTCACCCATGCTGATGTTGGGGAGAGCTGGGGGAGTTGACACAGCCCCTCTCTGGTCCTGTTGCAGGAATTTCTCTCCAGGGTACCCACACATCTGTACTGCCCTGGTCATCTTAGAAGTTTTTGTTTTAAAAAACAACTGGAAAGATATAGAGCTACTGAGCCTTTGCCCTGAGTGGGAGGGAGAGATCTCATTCCCCACCAATGATGGTTCTTCTTCCCTGGCATTATTGAAGGAGCCTAAGGCTCTCCATGCCTTTCTACCTTAGTGTTTGTGTTTTATTTTAAATTATTTATTCTGGAGCCACAGCCCCCATGATTATGAGATTCTTATGGAAAGTAAGAAAGAGAAGGGAGTGGGGCACCATGGTTTGTAAAGGTTCCTTGAAAGCCAGGTAGTGAAAGCTACCCTTGGGAAGAATTGGTGCCTCCTCCAGTCCTAATCCTTCTTGTCCACTCCACTTTGGGAAATGCCTCACCTACCCAGGGCCCTGACCTGTGCAATAAGGATTGTTCCCTGCAAAGTTTTGTTGGATGTAAATATAGTAAAAGCTGCTTCTGTCTTTTTCCTTCTGCCTCCTATTCTCTGGATCTGGGGTAATAATGGGGGACGACACTCATGTTCTACTATCTGCACATCCTCTTTTCTACCTTTTCATCCTTTGTAGCCTTCAGGTATACCTGGCATTTATGCTGATCATGTCTAGTACTGACCCCCTGGGGCACAGGGCGTTCTCTGAGCAGGAAAGGGGTGAATCCAGTGCTGGCTACGGCAGTGCCAGTCTGCATGGCACTTCCGGCCCTCCCACACAATCACCCCCTTGTCCCTCATCTGTACCCCACACAAAAGCTCCATTCTCGTCTTTCCCTTATTTCCTTTCCCTAGTGCCCTCCTCCCCCTGGCTTCTCCAGTACCTCCACAGAGATGACAACCCTCTCCCCAGTAGTTGGTGTTGGCAGCCCTCAGATATCCTGGGTCCTCTGGCAGTCATCCTGCCCTCCTTAGTTGCTCTAGCTTCAGGCAGTACTCCTCCAATGAGGGTCTCAGACTGGGGATAGCACTGGGAAGAAAGGATCAAGGAGTAAGGGGCTCGCTGCATGTGAACGAACATCAGGGAGACAGGCTTCATTTTTCTAATCTCTCTGGCCACTCAGAGTTCTTTTTTTTTTTTTTTTTTCCCCCGTATAATGAAATAAACACAGGAAACAACTCCTAACAGAGCTGCAAAACCAATTATCAAAGGGAATTAGTTAAGAAAACAGAAATGCCTTGGGGAAGGAAGGCAGGAATATCAATGGAGGAAATGACTTACATAAATTTTTAGTGCAAATTCCTGGGTGGTGGTGATCAGTGGATGAAGAAAGAGGTACTACTTGTGAGTGCTGGGACCTTCGAGGCAGACAACCCTTCCTCATCCTGTCTTGAGCATGGTAGGATGCCTTTCCAGTGTCCTAAAGGAGCTGCAAAGGAGGGAAACCAAAGAGCTTAGAAAATGCCATCTGTCTTGCTAGAAAGGAGATATCCTCTTCACAGGGGAACCCTCATGATTTGCAGTATCTGATTAGACCCTACTCACCAAAATCAACCTCCTTTTTTGCAGTGCTAGGGATCAAATCCAGAGCCTCACGCATGCTATGCAAGTGTTCTACAATGAGCCCCAGGCCATGGATCTACCCTCTTAAAATAAGTTTCTGTTGGATGTAATAGCTCAGTACATCACTGAACTATAGCAAGAAAATTTTAGGGCTCAGTTCCTGGCCTAGTACCGGTCTAGGGTATGCTTAGGTTCACACACAATGATAACTCCACCTTCCAGCTTATGTTTCTCATTTTGAGGCTTCCTTCTAAAGGAAGTCAGAATTCCTTAACTACAAGAATATCTGGCCGGGTGCCAGTGGTGGCTCATGCCTGTAATCCTACCTTCTCAGGAGGCAGAGATCAGGAGGATCAAGGTTCAATGCCAACCCAGGAAAATAGTTCTTGAGAACCTATCTTAAAAATACCCAGCACAAAACAGGGCCGTGAGCACTTACCTAGCAAGTGAGAGGCCCTAAGTTCAAACCATAATACTGAAGAAAAAAACATTCTGGGAATTCCAATAGCAAAGTACTCACCTGATGTTTGTCCATCCTGTGGCCTAGGGAGCTGTATGAGGGGAAAGACATGCCCAAATTACCTAGCTCAATATGGTTTTTTTTTTTTTGCAGTGCTGGTGGGACTTGAACTCAGGGCCTTCACCTTGAGCCACTCCACCAGCCCCCTTTTTTTTGTGAAGGGTTTTTTGAGATAGGGGCTCTTGAACTATTTGCCTGGGCTGGCTTTGAACCATGATCCTCCTGATCTTTGCCTCTTGAGTAACTAGGATTACAGGCTTGAGCCACCAGTGCCCGGCTTACCTAGCTCAATTTCTTTTCCCAGATTTTGAGTATATAGGCTCAAGAAAATTTTGAGGTAAATCTTACTCCTGCCACTTGCTAAATTTATGATGTCAAATACATTATTTAATTGCTGTACCTCAGTTTTTCTTCTGTACATGCAGGGTGTGGTTATTTAACAGTTATATAATTCATGTTAAATGCTAAGTATATTCAATAAATGTTAGCTTCTGAAAGGAAACAGAGTTCTGGTGGAGTAGCTTAAGTGGTAGAGTGCCTGCCTAGCAAGTGAGAGGCCCTGAGTTCAAACCCCAGTACTGCCAAAAAAAGGAAACAGAGAGGTAGAGCCTATGTAAGGCAAAGGGCATGTCCAGTACAATATTGGCCTCATTTACTTGTCCTCCTTAGAGCTTAATCACTCCTGATGGGAAGTCTCTCTCCAATGCCTGATATTTAGTGGGAAGGCACTTTCTCAGACTTGTGATGTCTTCTTCAGGTTGGTGTCTTCTACTGTTTCTCATGTTTTCTCAAAGCCTTGAAGAATGGCCTTTCAGACAACAGAGAATGTATTGGACTGATAATGGACAAAGCAGTAACTAAAGACTGTACACTCTTGAGGGAAGTGGTTTTGTTTCATTCACTGCTATATCTCCAGCATATGGAAGAGTACATGATAACATAAGAGGTGCTTTATCATCTGTGTCCAGTGACTGAAAAGAATCAGTGAAAACATTAAGATGATAGAGATAGAGAAATAATTGAGTGCAGCACAAGACAGGTTTGGGCAGAATACCAATAGAAGCTGAATTAAGAGCTAAGAGGTTGAAGTTGGAAGTAATTCTCATAATAGTTAATTATGTTTTTCAAATGCTTACTGTCCTTGGCACTGCCCTGAGCATTTGTAATGTACTATTTTATAATTCCCATAATTACCTATGAGTTATTCCCATTTTACAGATGAGGAAACTAGGGTATAGAGAATAGAGGTTAATTTGCACCCAATCACACAACTGGTAAGAGGTAGGGCCAAGATTCACTCAAGCACTCTTTTAACTACCAACCATATTCCTTATCTGGATCTTATTCTAGAATGGGAACAGTTGTTTTTATCCTTTTAAAACGAGAATTATGGCAAATGTGAAGTCCTGAGTTCAAGTTCAAATCCACTATCACCAAAAAAAAAAAAAAAAAAAGAATTGGGGCAGGTGTGTTTGTATGTGTTTTCAGGGTCTATATTCCTATATTCTTTCTCTTTTGTTTTTTTCTAAATCTTTATGTGGTCATGTCCTCGATTACAATTTCAATTCCTTCCTCCCTCCTGCCTTCCTTTTTTCTCTCCCCTTTCTTCTTTCCTTCCCTCCCTTTCTTTTTGGACCCAGGGTGTTCCTATGTAGCCTAGGCTCACCTTGAACTCTAAATCCTCCTACCTCAGTTTAGGAGTGCTGGGATTGTAAATTGTGAGCCACCAAGCTCAGTTTACAATTTCCACTGCACAGCAGGAATTCTAAATGATTTGAAAAACGTGTTCTAGGTTTCTAGGTTGAAATCACTGCTTCTTCACTAGGTGTCTGACCTTGGCAAGTTACTTAGCCTCTCTGAGCCAGCTTTCTGATGATACACTTAGGTACAAATTTCAGCTCTGCTACTTAACGTGTGTACCTCTGGAAAATTCGTTATATCTGTAAAATGGGGATTACAGTACCTACCTCACAGAGGTATGAGGAATAAGTAAGAATCCATGCACATCTTAGCACGGTGCCTGGCACGCACTCCCTTCTCATTACTCCTTCAACATAACTTATTCTGTGATAGTTGGTCCCTATTCTCCAGGTGCTTTCGAAGAATGCTTGTGATAAAAACACTGGAAATCCAAGAGTAGTTTAGGCGGGCCTAACTGCTTTGGGCAAGTAGCCAGGCTAGCAAGAGAAGCAGGGCCTTGGGTTGGTTAGGTGGGATTGGGTGGGGTGTTAGGGTGTTTCTTCACTGGGAATCTAAAAAAGACCAGAAGATCCCGAAGGAGGACGTTGCGAGGGCTCCGCACGCCGTAATTCATCAGTAAATTTGTCTAGCTGTCTTTTTAGCCTGCTGTCGTTGGTTTTGTCACCACAAGACCAACCAGAGGTAGAGGAATACCAGGAAGCCCAAGGCCTTTGGCAGGCCACGCCCCAAAAAGACAGAAAGGCCCAGTCTCTTAAAGCTAGTTCTATCGATAAATTCCTGGATTTTGACGCGATGAAACACCGCCCAAACGCAGAGCCCAGCGCCGTCCCCAGTCTCCATCTTTAGAAATGAAAGAATGAGAGCTGGCCCAAAGGGGAATCCCGGTTTTGGAAGACTGGGGTACGGCGGCTGCCTGGGGACCAAAACGTCTCTAAGGTAAAGCCGCAGCCTGAAGCGATTTTTTGACCCCCGACACTTAATGGGCTGTCGAAGACCCGGATGTGTCTGGGACTGGCCGAGGTACCCATTAACGCGCCCCCGCTAGACCATCCCCCTCCTTCGTTCAGGACTGGGCCTTAGGTACGGCAATCATCACTTCTCCGACCACTCACTCTCCAAGGGCGGGGTGAAGTCTCGGTATCCCATTTTCTATTGGTAGGACCAATAAGAAGAGGGCGGGGTGGCCGGCTTAGGTCGTCCAATGGGCGTCGTGGCGTGTGGGTAAGGCGGAGTCGAGGCGCTTGGCAGCTGCCCAATCAGCGTCCTTGTTTGTGTGGTGCCGCCGCCGCCGGTGCAGCCGCCGCCGCCGCCGCTGCCCCCGTCTGTACCGCAGTGTCTGCTCCACCCGCCCGCCCCGGTCCGGCCCACCCCCTTCCCCTACCCCCGCCCCCAGTCCCGTCAGTGGGGTCTGGAGCCCACTGTGCGTCGCCTCTTCTTTTTTCGACGCCTCCGCCACCGCCTGAGGAGGCGAGCTAGCCGGGAGTTACACCGCCACCGCCAGGTGAGGAGCTTTGGCCTAGGCCAGCCTGGCCGCCCGCCCGCCCGGGGGCGGTGAGGAGCGAGAAAGGGAGGGAGGCTGGGAGGAGGCGGTGGTGGCGGAGGTGGGGGAAGGGAAAGGTGGAGGGGCGGGGGGAGGGGAAGCGCCCGCGAGCCGACGCCCGCCCGCGCGCCCCCGCCTTGCGTCCCCCTCCCCCCACCCCGGCACCGCGCGCCCCCGCCTCGCGCTCCCCCTTCACCTCATCCCCTCCCCCCCTCCGCGCGCGCGCCCCTGTCTTTTCACTTCGGCCTCGCGCGCCCCCCCCGTTCATGTCCCTTCATTTCTTCTCCTTTTACTCTCTCCCCTCGCGCCCCGTTTTCCCCGCCATCCCCGCTTTCACTCACTACCTCATGCCCGCCATGCTCCCCTTCTTTTCTCTCTAGCGCGCCCCCCCTTTTTAAACTCTTTCCACCCCCCACCCACAGTGGTGCCCTCAGGGTGCGGGGGCCGCTCCCAGCGCTCAGTCTTGTGTTTGACGGCGGATGGGACAAATGCGGGCTCCTTAAGAGTGAAGGGAGCCAAGGGTAATTATCTTTCTTCAGGGAAAGGAGCAGGAGTGCAGAACCTTACCCCTTTATTTCGTCGTCCATGGTTCCCTCGCCCTCCCGTAGAAGGGAATTGTCTCAGCCTGTGTGGGAACTTGTCTTCTATGGCGACTTAAGTCACCCTTTTTTCCAGCTGGGCTTGTGGGACACACTGTTTCCCAGTTCAGTGACTGAGGGTTGATGGAGCTAGAACTCACCCTTCCCAACTAAACGAGACTTAGACTACTTTTTGTCTCCCTGCTCTCAGTTACACTGAAGAGCTTCTGCACTCTTGCAAGTGCACAAGTTTAGGTGTCATTTGCGCTTGGGACAGCTATCCCCCTTCAAAAAGGTATGGTAGCCTCTTTGGTTTCATCCCCAGCGCCAACTTCCTTCAAACACAAGATGTGAGCTCATAGGGCCGGCCCTGAGGTGGAGATGGAGAATTAATGGTGGCTGGCATGTGGATGCTGAGTTAGCCATCATTCTTTTTCTCTTCTGTTCTCTGGAGAATCAGGTGGCCTCCCGAGTTTTCTCATCTGATGAATGACAATGTGGAGGATTTTTGTAAGAGAGAGGTGAATGCTTAATATAGTTCAGCGAAGAGAAAGAGCCGTGTTTTCAGGCAGCCTGTAAAAGAGGGATTTGGACTAGTAATTGATGTAGTAAAAGCAGGTTCTACAGGTTTGTGTTGAAGAACTAATGCTTTTGTAGTTTTAGGATATTTTCTTTAATAAAATTCGTATTTTGAATAGATCATGAATGCATGTGGTACAAAAGAAATCTTCCCTTCCACCTTGTCCTCAGCCAACCAGTCCCCCTCCTAGAATATATTGTTGTTTTTTTTCTGACAGCAGTATTGTGTCTAATGTTGCTGAGGATTAACCTACTGCTCTTTCTTTGATACACTGACCCAAACTCTTTCTTGAAGTTTGCTGACCACTTGGATTCATACTTTTGGTGCTGAAGCAGTTTTGAGTTGTATTGTCCTAGAGAAGCATTTCCCTCTGTAGTTGCTTAGGAAGGAGGAGCAACTTCCGGAGGTGCTTAAGGTGGTGCTGTGGAGGAGTTCAGAACATTTTGATGGAAGGGTCACACTTACTGGAAATGGTGCTCCTGCTTTTGTGACTGATACTCAGTCCCTGGCTGTTTGGGATGGGATGGACTGGGTTAGTGATAGACGTTCCTTGGACTTTTTAAGCAGATAGGTTGTATGAATAGTTAGTTAACAGGAAGTATTCTCTAGTAGGCTCTTACCTGTTTTTGGAGGAATATAATTTTTAGTCAGGGTGCAGTGATAGTCATCATGGAAGGAGGTAGATAAGAATTAATCAGGAATTGGAAGGCTGAACCTTGTAGGCTGAGTGACCCAGTTTGAGGAGAGGTGAGGTTTATAGACTTTTGTTCTTCCAATTATTTCTTAGTTGAGAACATTCTTGATGAAGTGAGAGTGATTTGTAGTTGACAGCAGAATCCATCTTTTATGACGCTGTGGTTTGCCTCCTCTGACTGTATGTAATGTCTATTAACTTCCGGTTTAGAGGTATTCTGAATAGAAGCTATATTCAAATACAGAAATGATGTTAACCAAGTTCCCTGATCAGTCCTTTAAATCTAAGTTCTGACAGTAACTTTTACTGCTGTGTTTAGCATAGGGCCACAGGGCGTTAGGAGAGATTATGAGGAATTGGTTCTGAACCGCGCAGCCTTAAAATTCTTTGAGAAGCCTGTGTGCTGTTTCCTCCTTTTTTGTTCCCTTCCTCCCTCTGTTTTTGGTTGCAGCTGGCCCAGACTGAACCTTCAGATTGGGTTTTGGCTAGAGAATAGTAGGAAGGTAGAGGTGTCAATGTGTCAATAAAGGTATTCTAATCAATGCTGGGACCTCTGGATTCATCCTAACTTTAAGCAGGGACTATTATTACATGTTGTATATAAGGCAGGTCTCTCTTTTCTTTTTGCAGTACTGCGGTTTGAACTCAGAGCCTACACCTTGAGCCTCTCCACCAGCCCTTTATTGTGACTTTTTTTTGAGATAGGGTCTCATGAACTATTTGCCCAGGCTGGCTTTGAACCTTGATCCTCCTGAGTAACTAGGATTTACAGGTGTGAGCCACCGGTGCTCTATGTAAAGCAGGTTTCTGTATTGATTTTTTTTTTTTTTCTCCCTTCTTCCCCACTCCCTGAACAATCTGGAGGTGTCTGAGTTAGGGAAACAACAGCTGTACTGTCCTATTTTCTAGACTCTGGCGCATATTCCATGTTAGCCACCCCATTGGGAGTCATGCTGATAAGCAGCCCCTCTGCTCTTAGCTCAGAAGGCTCACATTGCTTGGCTAATTGAGAAAAATCAAACCAGTTTTGGTTGATTAAAACAACTGTTAAGAGAAATTGTAAGATTTGGGCCATAACTGGGTCCAAGGGACTTTCTTTTCCAGACCTTTACAATACTTAAAGCCCAGCATAGCATCATTACATATCAAGGCACAATAGCCAGACATTTTCCGAAGTGGTTTGGAGGGAAAGGAAGAAGACTATGACACATTTCAGATTGACTATAAATCTAGCTCTGGCATAAAGCTGTTCACCTATTGCTTGGGAAGAATCTAACCTATCAGACAATGCCACACAAAGTTGTAGTTCCTTTGCTGGTTGTCTAAGCGTGAGAAAAGATGGATACGAAATTTGTTTCTGTTGAAAGGACTGACTTTGGGGGAGAAAGATTTTATTAGTCCTGCTTGGTTTATCTTGGTTAATCTGGGAGGCTTTTTCTTTATGCATCAGTTGGGAATTTTGGAGGGTGCAGAATTTTTTTGTTTGTTTGTTTTGCATTTGAGGGGTTTGGTTGGTGCTGGGAGGAGGGGGGTGCTGCACAGTACTGGGGATTGAACTTGGTTTTGTACTTGCACAGGGAAGGCTGTAGAATTTTTAAAAGCTGGAAGGCTCTTCTCTGTGTAGTATGATAAAAAGCCTCTGAAAAATAGGTCTGACTTGATTGTTTTTTGAGTCAGGGTCTCTCCATGTATTTATTCCACACTGGCTTTGAACTCAAACTCACAATCCTACTGCCTTAGCCTCCTAAGTGCTGGGGTTTTGGGTAGGTACCATACCAGCTCAGTAGGTCTTATTTGAAATGGACCTCTCCTGTTTGATGTTTTTAACTTCCTATCTTACAGATTTATGAAATACTCCCATATAGCTTATATTCATCAAGTAGGAATTACCCATGATCATTAGGATTTACCCTGTCTACTGAGATGCTTCTAAATGGTAGCTTGGTAATCTTTGATGTATCCTCAAAATCCGCTAACTTTTGCCACTGCCTTAAATTGTTACCTATTAGAGTTTGGGATGAAGGTACAAAGATCAGCAGGTGAATAACAATACATTTTACTACTTTTGAGGTGTGAAGTGTTCAAATCTCAGATTTCAAGAGTCACAGTAACCACGGAAGCATTTTTGACAACACGTGAACTTAATCTTTAAATTTTTTTTTTTTTTCAGGGCTTTACCCTTGCAAAGCAGGCACTCTACTGCTTGAGCCACAGCTCTAGTCAGTTATTTTGCTCTGATTATTTTGGAGATGATGGTCTTGTGAATTGTTTGCCTGGGGTTGGACTCAAACCACAATCCTCGTGGTCTCATCCTCCCAAGTAGCTAGGATTACAGGCATGAACCACTGGCGACTTACAATCAGTTTTACTTTTTTTTTTTTTTTTCCCTGTGAGTTTGAACCCAGAGCCTATACCTTAAGCACTCTGCCAGCCCTTTTTTCCATGTTGGGCTTTTTCAGGACAGGGTCTTGCCTATTTGCCTGGGCTGGTTTTGAACCTCGATATTCCTGATCTCTGCCTCCCAAGTAGATAGGATTACAGTTGTGAGCCACCAGCACCCTACTGGCAACCAATTTTAATATTAATCAGTGGACTCCTAAGAAAATTAAGGAAAATGATAATTCCATATTTTTGAAATATTTTCTTGTTGCTTTTTGTGCTTGGCTCATATGCATTTTTTTAAATAATTCAGATTTCTGTTACCTGAATCTGAAAGTCTTACTTTAAGTCTCCTGATGGAAGCTTTATTGGTCTTGTCTCATTTGTGAGGAAAGTAGAGTTTGGGCTGGGATGTAAGAAGGATTTATATTCGATGCTAGAATTAATAAATTCCTCGTGTTATTGTAGGGATTGCAAATATTAACTGGAGGGCTTGTGCATCTCTTATGCAGAAATTTATAAAGTTAGCTTTTTTTTTTTTTTAAACTTTTTTTTGGTGGTACTGGGGATTCTACACAGGGCCTTCCAAAAGTGCTCTACCACTTGAGCCCTGCTCCTAGCTTTCTTTTTTTTTTTTTTTGATGGAACTGAGGTTTGACCTCGGGGCTTCATGCTTGCAAAGCAGGTGCTCTTCCACTTGAGCCACACCACCAGTCCCTAAAATTGGCTT